CTCTTTCTCTCGATGGAGCCTGCGATCCGATATCCACGCGGCAAACTGCTCCGTTTAATTAGCTAATTAAATCGCCTCGGCCTCGATTTCTTTACCCCCCGAGTAATCGAGTCGGGATTATTCACGCGAACGCGAGATAAGGTTAGTGTACCACTGGCCGAACACTTAAGGTGATATGAAAGTGCGATGTATACGTAAGAAAAAGTGTGAAGGTAGTTATAAAAGATTTCCCCAAACTGGGTGCACCGAATTATCGGAGGCTTTAAGGTGATGTGAAAGTGGCATCGAAGAGGTTTTGTTTATAAAACTTTTCTCTCAATTCGGTTGGCGTGCATTGGGAGACATCAATGCCCTCTCATTCTGCACTGGCGATGCCGTATCTGCAGCGGAGGTAGTATTCATGTCCGCCATTGTACATTTAGGAGGAAGCAGTTCCCCAATTCCTGGCTAGCTCGAAATAATGCACATCCTCGGGGTGGCCCAAGACATCAGATCTCGTTTCTAATTCACATCCCTGTTTTCTAACTGCGGCCGAGGTGCTAATTGCATTTTCTTTATTAAACGCCAATTGCCCACCCGAGCTCAGAGCCGGCGAAAACCAACTTTAAAAACTAGCCTTTGAGTGTATCTAAAGTAGAGTTCACAGATATCTATATACGATTAACTTACGGATATTCCACTCTCAGCGGGGTCTGGGTCGATACCGATTTCAAGCCTCGACGAGGATGCTCGTCCTCGAAATCGGGGGGTGGTGAATTAGATTTGGCCCTTTTCTTCGCCAAGATGGCGGCCCTTTTGGCGCTCCCGAGAGCGTGAAACCGATGTGCGATGCTCGGTTACGGCCCCCAGCCTCTTCCAGGAGGAGATTCAAAGTGTCCCCCGCCTCCTCGGCGACATCCTCGGGATAAAGTCGGTTATCCTTCGGGTTAGGATTACCTTAAAATGCGTCTTCAAGGATGGAACTCGAATCCGAGTCGATCGAAATTATCGGGATCCAGGAATCGAGTTAAGAACACGTCCTTAAATACGTGGATGAAGATTTGCCAGCGGAAATGCGGAATGAAAGGAAGAGGGTAGATAGTAATTTTTTCCCCTCTTATCTATAAATAATATATCAACGGAGAATCGATTCGTATAATTCCTGGGTGGTGGTCTCTTCGACATCCCTCGAGATTAACGATCCACGAGAGGAATAACACGGATCGTCCTCCGATCCTGCGAGGAAGGAGATACGTCGAAGGGAAGCCGAGGTGCGTGCTCGGCAAAGGCTCTGATGCACTTTTAATTGAACTTAAATCTCTCTTTTACGATCCCTCGTATCCCTCTCCCGTACACACCTACGTATGAACGCACACGCACGGCCAAAGTAATCCTTTATCCCGCACCCGTTTCCATCGCAGGATCCAGATCCTCCCTCGAGAGAGCTCCGGAGAACCTCCCCGAAATCTCCTTTCTTCGAGAAAAATTCGAAATCGAAGAAATCGGCCCCTCCGAATAAGCACTTACAAGTTAAATCAACGTTTCTAAGACGTTATATTCGTTAAATGAAAGTATCGGGTTGGAAAAAATCAACGTCGATTTTTCGTTGAAAATGATACCGTCACATTTCGATATTACTTCCAATAAACCCCTTCAGCACCGAAATTCGTCTGACCGTGCAGGCGATATTGGACCAAACGTCGGGCGGTCATAGTAGTAAAAGGGTGTTTTATTTTAATTTTTCCGTCTTTAAGGCTTATCACGAAGCAATCGCGGGATTGTATCGATGATATTGGCAGATCGATCCGTCGACGACAGCGGATAATCGACCGTAATCACCGTCCAAGTGGCGAAGGGACGCGTCGCCCTCTCCCTCTCCCTATCTCGTTATCCGTCGGCGCGATATCGCGATATCGCGTTATCAATCCTCCTTGTCAGGACGCAAGCGGTATCTCTTCTTTCCGTCATCCTGCACCTGCGTATCTCCGTCGGCGTGACGCTACACCATCTATCATTCGCCTCGGTATCGTTCCTAGATCCTTGCGGATGCTGGACCGAATCTCTCACGCAGCCTCCGTCAAATCTCCGGAGAAAAATTAAGAGTACATTCAAATCGGTATTCCCTCGAAAAAAGGTATAGACGACGAATTTCACTTTATCGACGTCGATTAAATTTCTTACCGCCTTTCGTATCCTCTTAAACTTCGATCCTTCACGGTGCTTTCTCCATAATCGTATCTGAAAAATCCTTGGACGGGTGGGATTAATTATTTTTCTTTCGTCGGGACGATTCCAAGGATCATGGGAATTTGTTCCCCTAGGGGGAGAATTCCCGTCGGATAATTATTCGGGAATGTCGGATCGTCCTTTAATCGCTCCGTTCGCGAATTCGCATCGCGAGGTCCTCCTCCGTGGCGAATTAATAGAATTTTTAATTAAAATGCCCCGTAATTGTCCAGCCAAGGGAAATCCCGTCGAGCGGGGCCAGGAGTAACGAAGTAGTGTAATGGGGAGGGGGGTTATTACGTCGATCTGATTACAGAAGGGGGTTTAATCTCTCTCTCGCGAAAATCTCGCGGATCGCCACCACGCGTTGCGTACCTTTTCTCGCTTTTTGCCGATTTTCGACCTCAACATTGCCGCAAATGTCGAAATTTTCAAATATAATCCCAGGAATTAATAGCCCCCTTTAATATTAATCAATTTTTCTCTTTAATACGCGATTTTCTTTTTTTGTTCCTTTTTTTCTACGCAAGTGTCGCGGCCTCGTGTCGTTAATGTGACAGTAAATTCCGACGCGGCGCGTCCACCAAAACGGAGGGTCGCAGAATTTTGGGAAATTTTCCGAAGAATTATAAATGGAAACCGTTCCCAATTGCGGTATCTCGATCGCGGCAATGGCCACGGGGACGATTAATCGGCGTAATTGCACCGGCTGTAAAACCTCCGAATTACAAAACATTGCCGAGATTAATATCGCGCCGCGATATCGCCGGAAATATCCTCCACTTACTGAAAAGCGGTCGTAAAGTAAATCCCGTCTAGCAGTCTCCGATTTGAGCAATACACACAGGAGCGAATTATTAAATACATCCCCCGATAAGACTGGAAATCGAGGGTTCGGCGAGACTTTGGGAATATTGTTGGCTTTCGGGGTTGAAGCCTCCTTCATTTTTTTCATTTTTTTCCCCTTTTCTCTTTTCTCTCCTATTTTCGCGAGCGTTGCAGTTTGCATCCGCAGCGGTTGCGATGCACCGGAAGCGGAACGTGTTGCTAGGCCGCGTTTGTCGTGGCCTAGCATCTTTTCTGATAGTCGAAATATAGATAGAACTCTTCTCCAAACTGGGTAAACCGAATTATCTAAAACATTAACACGCGTGAACAATGAAATTTCACGAGCATCGCGTTATTCCTTAGGGCCTCCATAGGTGCACCCAATTGGGAAAAAGCTGTACAAATTCCTTCGGCTTCCGTCATGTTACTGCGGTTTGCGTTATCGATAAGCTCGATCTCGGGAGTGGCTAGGCATAATCGGGGAGAAAAAGAGGGGTTAGGTTGAATCGAACCTTTTGTGTATCGTTACATGCCTTTACGACGTATTTTAGCCGCCTACGGACCGAGATACCGCGACGTGAATAAGTTGGAGGCGCATTGCGTGCATCGCGTTAATTCGTTTCGCGAACAATTACGGGGAAATCGTGATGGGTCAATTGCGCGGCTCGGCCGCTTATCAGTGATCGGCGGACGGTGCCGATCGAATTTTGGACGACCTAGGGGAGTCCTGATTTCATCCCTCACGAATTCATGCGAAAATCCTTACGGCGTATCCTTCGTAAGAATTGCACAAAGAACGTATGTAAATTACAAATTATTTTATATCGTCTCCAAGGAGCGTAAAACATTGAATTCGTGCCCGGACCCCGCCATGTTGGTTCCAGTCCATGAAAAGTAAATCAATTTTCGATGAGAAATGAAATTCCATGAGTTTAAGGACCTACTTTAGCGCCTCCATATCCACATGGGAAAATTTCAAAGAAATCGGTACCTCCAATTCGGGGAATACTTTCCCCAACGATTTCACTTCTTATATATATATATATATATATATATATATATATGGGCTGACTCTTTCATATCCTCCTAAGTACAGGAAGAAAATAAAAGGATAGAAAAAGGGGGAGTATATCCCATTTCGGCAGGAGCATCCGCGGATTGTTCTCCCTTGGCGGATTCGACCGAATGGACGATCTTTTTCAATGGAGGAGAAAAGAGGATTAAATCCTATTGGTTTCCGCCGGAAATCCGGCGCCAAGTTAAGCGAATCCTTTAAGTGGACTTCCGCCAAACGGTACGATTTCCGAGCCGAGGATTATTTCTCGAGGCAGCCCTAGCATCATAGAATAATTTATAAATATTTTCTTGATGTCTTTGCTAAATATTTCAACCGACAGATTTTTTAAGATATCCTGTAGATTTCATTTGAAGACATCTAAAATATTTGCTGAAAATCTCAGTGACATGTTTAATTTAAATAATTTATAAACATAATATATATATTTTTTGTTGTACTTTTCGAGTATCGGCGAACGCTCCATTTGATATTAAAACGCACGGAAAAGTCATGCCGTTGTCACGTTGTTCGCCTCTTTTTCGAAGCCTTTAACAGCGGTCTCCACCTGGGAGGCCGATTTTCCTGGTTTTTCCTTTTTTCTTCTATATTTTTCCCTCCGCCGAGTGGAAGGGCGGGAAATGCCGCGATAACCGAACGAGATTTCCATCGAGGGCCTCCCCGGGTATATACCTAGATAATTCGCCGGTGAAAAGACTTTGTTGGGGAAACAAAGAGTTTGTTTTAAGCCCTTCTTGACCCGCTTACCGGTTAACTCGTGCCGTTCGCTTCGAGTACTTTGGCGAACTTTCCTCTTCCTCTTCCTCCTTCCTCTACTCGGCCGAGACCAATAACTACGCTCGTGGAATTTAAATTTGTTCCCGGTTAGTACGGCCCGGACTTTATGTTGCAGATCTACCGAGGTTCGGCAAGCCGCTGAACAATCTCACCGTCTCCGTCGGCAGGGAGGCCATTTTCACCTGCATCGTCGAGAACCTCGGCCCCTACAAGGTGAGTCCTCGAGTGGTACCTCTTCAAGTAATTAATCGTTTCCTCATTAATTCCTCCTACGTGAGAGGGAACGGTCAAGTCCGAGATACGAGTTCGGCCATTAGCGATTTATAGGGAATTGTCGCGATTTATAATGAATTCCTTTGAATTATCGCGATTTATTAAGGATTATCAAGGATCATCGCGAACTACTGTAGCTGGCACGACACTTGGAAGTTTATCGCCTTATCGCGAAAAAGAGTGCTCCGTCGCAAGATAATTAAAAAATGCATTTTCATTAGCGCGTCGTGGGATCGATATTTTTTTTTTTATTGCCGAGGAGGGGAGGAAACGAATTTCGATCCATGGGAGCGGAATCGGCATCGAGTGGCCTCCTGGTTGATTGAATTAGTAATGCGAGCAGCGACCCGGCCACGGCCGAGAGAGTTATCATTTCACGGGTGAGGATTTTTCCCGAGGAGTCCTGGATACGTAATTCGCTATAGGAGTCCATTAAGTAGGAATAAAATCCCTCGGGGCGTGAATTAAGCAGTTTGTTAAGCGACCATCTCTTTTTTCTCCTACGGTCTCCACTTTCGCGGGCATATCGATCTCGGGGAATTTTCCTTCCCCCCTCGCCGAGGACATAACCTCGAAACCGCGAGGGCGCGTCGCTACTTATCTAGGGATTTATAGTTTAACGGCTCAATGTTTAATGGTTCGGATAGGTTGCAACCTGGAACTAGTTAGAGAGAGAGAGAGAGAGAGAGAGAGAGGGCTTGAAGGTTCGGAAATGAAAACGCCCCGCAGGGTTGATTTACAAAAATAACTTGGCCGCCGATCGCCCCGGCCAGATTGCTTGAGAGCGCCGCTTCTCTAAAAAGAGGCTTTATCTCGGATTCCCTAAATCTTATTTGAATCCCTCCTGGCGCTGAAATTACTTCCGAATTAAAGCCCGGGAACGGATAGCTTACCGATCGGCCCGGAGTTACGGAAATACATACGGAAAGCGCAGGCGTCGCGATCCCCGGATTATTCATCGCGTAGGGTTTATTCCCGCTTGCCCCGGAAAAAGTCACCCCTTTTTACGTGTAATTCAACCCTCGTTCCCTGATTTTGCTCCCGAATTGTCCCAGTGCGACTATTCCAAGAGTAGGGTACGGCAAATCGATGAGAACCCGCCGCGCATGTCGAGAGATTCTCAGGTGACGGCCCTCCTATCTCTGACCGTAGGATCTTCCGCCTCCGACGAGTTCGCGTTTAAGGTGATGTGAAACATCTCGAGGAACTTGATCGACGTCGGTAAAAGAGATTTATCTAAATTACGCATCCCCGAGTGGGTGGAAGAAAAAAGAAAAAAGAAAAAAGAAACCAAAACAGTTTCTCGAGTTTACGCGAGAGGATTTCTCTTTATTTCTTGATATTCTCTCCCTCGGTTTATTTATTTATTTCTCTCATTTCTTTACTCATAGAGTACTTCCAGGGGGACAATTCTTTACGGTTAAAAGTTTCGCACCCTTTACGCATTACTCCCCCGACGGGAGAGGGGTAATTTCACAATTCCATTAGTAAGGTCGGAAATTACTTGCGACCGCGATTCGCGGATGGGGATCTTTACGGGGGTAAGCCTAATTGAAATGGGGTACTCTTTAAATTCTAGGGGAAGAAAACGCCCCTTTGAATCTTCGCGGCTTTGGGGAGACTACTCTCTTCCGATCACTTGAGAAATTATCCGGATTTTCGATCTAGGGAATTTCTTCTTTCGTTTTTTTTTTAACTTTTTTAACGTTTTTTTAGAATCGATAATGAAGAGTTTCAGGATCTAGCTCGAACAATTTGGAATACCGTAGAAATGGAATATTACAGAGTCAGGTGGGAAAATGTGGTAAATACTTTCATCAACGATTGCAAGAGAATGCTGGCTCGTCCTGCGGCTAACGCGGGTTTTTGGAGGAAAAATTTAGTTGCAGCTAAACGTCACAGATGGCGACGTCGGTTCGTCAGAATATAAAGAATCATGAATTCATGGGATTTCGGCAGTTTTACGTCGCTCTTTTTATCATTACTTCCCCGAAATGACATATAGAACCCTTCGGTTCGTATAATTCTCACCGTAGACCGTAAATATAAATGTCGGTAATGGGACGCGCCAGCTTATGTTCCCCCTTGAGAATTGAAATCGGCATTCCCCCCAAAAAGGGTATAGATGCATTTCACTTAATCGACGTCGATTAAATTTCTTAGCGCCTTTCGTATCCTCTTAAGGTGGACGATGCTAGAATGACGTTGTCGCAGGTGAGCGGGAGTCTGTTGGGGGTCTGTCGGTCGCGTCATTTTTCATATCCAGGGCTCGGGAATATCCGCCTACGTCGAGATGCCGACAATGTGCCGCGTTGATTGAATCGTCGAACGTCGGGGAACGACTCTCTTCCTTCCGGGCCATCGGCTTCCGGTTCGGCCTCGCCCCTTCCGGAACGCTTCTATCAAAGTCCCGACCTAGAGGTCAGGACCTACCGTAGGGCCTCCACGTGGGAAAATTTCAAACTAATCGGCACCTCCAATTCGGGGAATACTTTCCCCAACGATTTGACTTCTCGGGTATATACAGGCCGACGCTTCCATATCCTCTTATTTCATTACGATGTTCAGGAATTTTCTTAGAGACCCCCGACCTCGGAAAATGCCCTTCTCCGTTTCTCGGCAAAGAAAGGAAATTGCCGAGAAATCCAAACGTCGTCCTTTATCCCCGTAGACGGTCCAAAGGGTCAGGACGTCGCTTGCATCCTCGGAGGAATAAGAAGGCGAAGGAAATGTGCCTTTTCTCGTTTCGCCCTGAGGAACGGGGGCAATTCGCAGTCGCGTAATAACGGAAGGCCGCGATCGTAAGGACCTTATTGCTCGATAACGGGGAGAGGGCTTTTCTTTGCGCGCCGTCTTATTGCGAGGTCGCGCACCGGAAGTTCGCGGCCCGCCATTGCCCGGTGGCAAAGTGCTCGTCTTTCGAGTCCCTGACATCCGGGATATCGACGGTCCTCGGGTCATTCCCCGGGTCATTCCCCGGCGAACTGGCAGTCAAAAGCCGAGGAGAGGACGACGGGTCGATATCGACGGGACGACGGCTCGTAGCGGGGAATTCGTCCTTATGGTGCGAGGGAAATGTCGGGCTACTACGAGGAAGTGCCCCTACTACGCGAAAAATCCACTCGCGATGGGTACTTGCGAGGGAAGTGTCCGAGTACTATGGGAAAACTCCACTTGCGACTACTACGTTTGATGGGAAAAATTGACTTCTTGAGTATAAAGAGTCATGAATCACGTAAAAGCCTTCGACATAAATATAAATGTCGGTAGTTCCACCTCGAGAATCCAAATCGGCATTCCCCCAAAAAGGGTACAGATGAATTTCACTTTATCGACGTCGATTAAATTTCTTAGCGCCTTTCGTATCCCCTTGATGCATCCACCTAGCTTACACGGAAATGTCCACAGCTCGTTACGAAACGAGAAATGTTTAACAGTTTAGGCGTTCTTTGGGTAAGTCCGAGGCTCGCAGCTACTTTCGAGGAGCAGAAATCCCAGCCGGATGACGGGGGGCGGGGGGCAAACCGCCCCCGTAATCTGGGAAAGTTCCCTGCCTCGATTATAAGTTTCCCAGAGAGAGAAGGGCGAGGACGCAACACTGGAAACCACGGAAAATTAACAAGCCCGAATACCGAGATCATCCAATTTCAGGACCGAGAGTCGAAAGTCTTAACCCAATCTGCGCGTTATCATTTGATAAGACCCCCCGCGGAGACTTCGGCAATTAATCGGCCCCCCCGTTCCGTATTTTCGGTCCATGACGAGTAAATCAACTCTTTTCGTTTTCTCACCTCGAGGGTAGAGATGCGAATCCCTGGACCACCGCAAACCCCGGAAACCTCCCTCCGCGAATTAGTTGATAATTTGTAACCCCTCCGTTTCCCGTTCCTTCGTTCCGGCGCGTTTCGGCGCGTTTCGGCCGCTAGTCTCGGACCCTCTCTCCTTTGGAGCCATCTCTCGCAAGGATCCCGCAGAAACCGGGAAACCGGGAAACTTAACCGCGGTCCTTTTGCGCGAGTAATCGCGGCCGTTCCGCATATACCGTACGTGCGTGATTTCCGCAACCCCCCTTTCCGCAGCTTACGCGCGCTTGATAAGTAGTACACACTTTATTACCCGGCCGCAAAGCCGGATATTTCCGGCCCTCCCCATTGTCCTCGAGGCTCGTTCTCTCCGCATGCGGATACGCAATTAAGTCCCGACTGCCCCACCTTGCGGAAAACCTGCGGCCAAGACGGATCGTTCCGGAGGAGGGAGAGTTTCTGTGAAAATCCTCGGTCAACCTCGACTAGCTGACTAAACCGAGGTTACATCGCGAATCGGGAGACGTCGAGATTTAACGGAAATAAAAATGCATTTAATCGAAGAAATGTTAAATGAAGTGTTAAAAAATACCCCAGAAAGGACGAAAGAGATATTCCAAGCCAATTCAAGGGACAATATAAATTGGCAAAAGATTCCATGAATTTTTATTTCGGCGTCAGAATTCCTGGAAACGGAGGCGGAAAAGAAATCCGCCGTTTCGAGATTTCGCCAGGAAAATCTCGAAGCCGACATGGGGGGAAGCTCTTCGCGACTTCTTCGTTGACATTTGGAGGGGTCTCCCCATTTCATTTTGTCCAAAATGTCAGAGTAACGCGTCTACGTCGAAATGTCATCCTTTGCGTCCTTTCCGCGGAGCGGAAGAAACGCCTTCCTTATCAGGGCCGGATATAAACGCGCCACTTTTTCGTAGAAACCGTTTCTCGCAAAATGCCGGCCCGGTTTACTCGGAAAAGCGATGCCTATCTTCCAGGAGGAGCGAGGGGTTCTGCAATTTGCAGGTGGTAAACCTCCCTAGGTGCATAAGACGAGAGTCGAGGGTGCCAACCCTTTCATCGAGCCGACTCGAGCCGACTCGAGTCGCTAACTAATTCCCCCGAAACCCCTGACGTCACTCGCGTATATAGATAGGGACCCCTTATCCGCCCCATCTACTCTGGGGGTTGTATATTTATCATGGAAAGCATCATTTATTTACGGGTCTTCAAGATAATGGGCTTTCCTGCCGGTGGCGTGTCGGGGGACGACCACTCGATTGCGGCCATATCTCCGGAATTTATGCGAAAGTGTCTTAATACCGCTGGATGTAATTAGGAACAGCGATCGAAATTCCTGGAATATCATCCCGCGACATTTATACCACAACTGTCGATGATACTACATTTTTTTTTCCTCGCATTCATATTTCTGGCCATTAAGGTCAGCCTCGATGCACCTCTAACGGGGTTCCATATATTTCTTTTATTTTCTCCCCGCAGGCTTCGAATTCCTGGATCCTCCAGCCTGAGATAAAGGACCGAATGGGGATCGGCGCTTTGTTGTCGAAATATTTTCAACGATCGAAAACCGAGGATAAAAATGGCCAAATTTTCGGTTCGCTGGCGCCGATTATTCCCGGCAGTTTTCGACCTCGCGAAAAATGTCCCGATTGATATACGATATATACGTCCCAATGACGGGATATTCCCAAGAGTACGCAATCGCGGATTGATGCGTTTTATCCCGCCGACGTGCGTACATACTGCCGGCGAGCGTCGAAATAAAAACGCGCGTCCTGTTTTTGTTTTTTTTTTTCAGTTTTTTTTTTTTTTTCATCCAATGTCTTCATGCGTGACACCTTCCGCTCGGATTAACAAGTTGAAATATTCCCATTTCGAGGGAATGTACATCGAGTACCATCAAGTGCGTGGGAAATATCTAGGAATAATTATTTCCAGGAATTTGAAAGTCTCTCATGGCGATCTCTTGCGCGCGTAATTAATCCTTTGAATACGGAGCCATTTCGACATACGGGCGAAATTCGCCTGACCGTGCAGGCAATATTGGACCGAACGTCGGGCGCCTTTATGCGCTCTCGGTAGCCAAAGGATTAAATTCATTATAGGGAAAAAATGATTCTGGTATTACGCGTTCCGGGACGTTGTACTCCAAGTTTCTCGGAAATCAAGGTTGAGGAAAACAATTAGCGCACTTACTCCGTTTCTATCAACTACTCGATGTACAATTGATCCCCGCTTCCGTGTCGAACGACTATCGCGTGCTTTCCGCTTTATCGCGCTATCCCTCAAAGTGAATTTAACCTCGGAATAATCGTTCCTAGTTTCGATTGCAGGGATTCCTCTCCAGAATTAAAAGAAAAGCGAAAAAAAGGAAAAGAAAAGCCCTCCGCGAGCCATAACCGCCGAAAAGAGACACTAGGGGAATAAAACCAGGAATTTCCTGCTTTTATTCTCTTAAAAGCAGAAAATTCCTGGATTTAAGAGGATAGGTATATAAATCCCGTCTCTTTTTCGGGTAGCGTGAGATAAAGTGAAAATGACCGGATCTTCCCGATGGGCAAAGGACATCGATTTCTCGAAACTCCGAGAATCTCGATCCACGCGATCCGACCGAAACAGGACTCGTTTCCACCGAACGTTTCACGTGAGAACCTTCAATTAGGCTTGATGAGTATTATCGCCCAAGTACGGGGTCGACGGATACACGAAATGTCCGTATATCCAACGTGGGGAACAATCGATGCGTTTCCAAACCACCGACACGCACCGGCTCGATTATTCCTCAGGATTATTCTACGTCGTCTACGTGAACATGCGCCTTGATTATCTCCTCATAACATAACTCAAAAAACCATAAACCCGTCGAACGTTAAGGCGACGTGAAAGCGGCATCGTTCGTTTATAGAAAAAATGAGAAAAAGCGCGCCTGTAAACAAATTAAGAAAAACATGTAAATTTCACGGGGGTCAGGACCTTCCTTATGGCCTCCACCCTCGTTTTGTAAAGTTCGAAGCGATTCGTTAGGGCCCAGTTCGGAGAAGTTCCGAAATTGAGAACTCTTTGTCGCCTTAATGCCACTTAATTTGCATATGGCGGCGTCAAAACGTAATTAAGGGAGTCGAGGCTTAGAGATCTGTCGGGGAAACTTGGGAATGGTCGTTTTACGTATTTAAGGACCGAACGTAAGAGGCACTCGCGGCGCGAGGGGCTCGGAGGTCGTTACAATAATTACTCTCGCAATTAGCGCCGCCACGGATCGCGAACAATTAACAATTAGCTGCTAGCCCCTTGTTTATTAACGCCCGTGCGATCTCGTCGGTTGCGGAAGAGGACCGGTCGTCAGAGAGAGAGAGAAGCTCGCATGTCGAGTTCCTTGGTCGGACGAGGAGGGACAATAATTACGAGGGCGCCCACAGGGAGCTAATTACGCCTCTGTGTGTTACTCGAACTGATTCCGATCGTCGTTCCGATGCGAACTTTGATGATACGGTACGACGCGCACCTCCGGCTCGCGTCTTTGATCCAGAAATTCGACGGCCGGTCGAGATCGAGAGTTTCCAAGAATTTTCTGTCATTTTCCAGGAATCTGACGGCATCCGAACGGCGGCCAGGAAGGGAAAAAAATCCACCGCGAAGTGATCGATGTCCGGTCGACGAACCGGGAAAAACTCGCCTATGGTGCTCTCGGCGGTTGCTCCACTTGCTCTTGTTATTCGCATGCGTGCACTTTTCATCGATATCACTCGTGGAAAGCGGCCGGAAAAACGTTCCATTTTGTTACATCGTAAACACTCGAGTCGCTCGTTCGCAATCCATCGGATAATCGGGTCTCCAGCGGACGCGTCGTTCCTCGTCCCCTAAACCTTAGAATATTTTTATATTCACGCTTATAAACTAACGATCCACCTTTAAACAATTTTACTTCACATCTCTTTCGGTGGACCTCGATTGTGGATTTTCCGGGATTTTCCGGGATTTTTCTTGACGACTCCGCGTCCTCGAAGAAGGAGGATCTTCGTAATTCTCGCGGAGTCGCGACCTCGTTAAAGTTAACCTCAAAATCAACCTCGTCGGAGGGTAAGGAACACTCGTAGCGATTCTTTCCTCCCCCGATCGAGATTTCTTTGTCGGAATCTTGGGAGCTCCTTCGAGACTCGCGTTTCCGCGAGGCGGAATGAAACCCGCGGGCGGAATCGCGTACGGATAATTATCGGCACAAAGACGCGGCTCTTCCGCACGCGTCCGACCCGCTCAATTATTTCCTCCCTTGAGGGACTCGCCTCGCACTTCCCTCCGAAGTCCTCGAACGGAAGGAAGTCGCGAGGCGCAACTTCCTCGCCCTCTTGACAAAGGACGCCGCATCCATTGCGGACTTTTTCTAAGGCGATAAATCCCCGAAACGCCCGTGTAAACGGCGCCTGAAACGGTTTCCTTCAATGGGGAGGAGGACAGAAAGGATTCCGTCGTCGGGTGCATCCTTAACGAGGTGGAGGCGCGTCTCTCCGCCGTCTTCTTCGGGATGGACAATGCGTACGAGCAATCTTTCTTGGGGTATTTCTTTTTCTTTTTAGAATAATGGAACGATGTACGTCATCCCGCGGGACAATTACGCCTTGGTTGAGGATCGTGTCCTCCCCGGGGATTCGTAATTGCGGCGTAAACGGATCGACTGGATTAAGGGAACCTCCGGAGGCGCCGCTAATGTCGACCGCTCTTTTGGGAATCGGATTTCTAAGGATCGCTGATTCTCCTCTTTGGGGATCTTCCCTTGCTCTTCTTTCTTCTCTTTTTCACGAAGAATATTAACGTCCAAACGCTGTTATTAATGACCGATACGGTTTTTAAATATTACAATCGAAACGCGGGTGATAAACGATCGATGCGATTTTTGAATGTTAAAATCGAATCATTAGTGGAATAAGAAAATTGTCCATTCTTTTTCTCGGATTTCAGGTCGCGTGGCTCAGGGTCGACACTCAGACCATCCTCACGATCGCCAGCCACGTGATAACGAAGAACCACCGTATCGCGGTCACCCATAGTGGACATCGCACGTGGTCGTTGCACATACGTGACACCAAAGAGACCGACAGGGGATGGTACATGTGTCAGGTGAACACCGATCCGATGTCCAGCAACGTCGGTTACCTGGAGATCGTCGGTACGGACTCGTTCGATTTTCCTTTCCTTCTGGACGAGAAATGGATTTCGATTTTTGGGGAAAGGGGACGTCTTTCTCATTTCTTTTTCGAGGAGTGATTTTGATAAAACGCGCTTCATAAACGGCGGACTCGATTAAAAAGGATCTCCACCCTCCACCGAGAGGAAGGATGTTTCCCTTGCGAGTTTTCAGCGGAAGTAACCGGAGGAATCGCAAACTCGCGGCAAATATTTGCGAAACAAATCGAGTGTCGAAAGCCACCGAACAAACTTGTCCTGTTATCAGAGGGGGAGCCTTAGAAACTGCTGCCGCGATCGTTATCAGAATTTTCCGCGATTTTCCGGGAGGACGCGCCTCCCCTATCTGGAGTTTCGGGACCTCGGAAATAGATATATTTTTCATACGATCCTTAATAAAAAAAATTAAGTACATTCTGAAATGTATCGATACATTTTTTTGGGGCGAGTTTAAAATCAACGGAGTACTTTAAACGGCAATTACCAAGGGAGGGTCGCGGAAATCCGCGAAGTCCGGCGAGTGTTTCGTCCAGATAGAAAGGGGGGTTTCGCCCCCCCCCCCGGTGAGGCATGCAAATGTATGTAAAGTACGGGGTACACCGGTACCGGCGATTGCACCGTTGGAGGGCTATTAAACACCTTCCTGGCGACGTGCCCTCGACGCTAATAATCCCGAGCAGGGTCCCCGGAGCCGGAGGTGGCGGGGTGTATAAACATAGTTTAACCTAACCGCAACCCCTCGTTAAATTCCCCTTTATCATGCGGCCCCGTCGGTTATGGAGGCGCGAAAATAAGAGATCGCCGATATTATCGGCCTTTTTATTACGGTAAATATTCGGGGCGAAAACCCACCCCCAAGTGATACGAATTTCGCCCATACGTCGAAGTGGCTCCGTGTTCAAAGAGTTAAAGGGTGGGAACCTCTTCGGCGGTTAGGACAGAGCGGGAATTGTCCGCATTGGGGAGAATCGTAAACCATCGCTGCGTGAAATAATAAATCCCGATGCAATTGTTTCCCTCCCCCTTCCTCCCTGTCAATAAATACTATATCTCGCGGATCCACGGCTCTCCTCCCCTTCTTCCCCGTTGTTGCCGCCCTCTCTGCCGCTGTCCCTGCCGCGGTCCCTGTCATGGCACCCTCCCGGATTTCCCACTTTTCTCCCCTTTTCCCTCCTCGGTGGTCTTTGTCGAGATCCAGAGCCGGTGCTCCGAAATGAATTGCCGCGCGGAAATCTGACGGCCGCGCTGCCGTTCGAAATTGCTTTTCGCTTCGACGCCGGTACGTTTAATTCTTTACGAGGGGAGGAACGTTGACACCTCCGGCCGCCCCGAATTTCCAGCTCGATTGGCCCTACGGAGACTTATCGCACCCCGTCAAAATCCTGGACAAGTTTTGCGCGGAAATTCCGGAAATTCCGGAAATTCCGGAAGCCCCGTCGAGGGAGATTACGAAATTTGATTTTGGAGAGGGTCCTTTAACATCTCTTATCGTTTATTTCTATTCTTGGCACGTTTAAGAGGGAATGCATTTTTTTATCGAACGCGATGAATTTTCAATTTCGATAGGGTCCTATCCTAGGCTCCAACAATTTCACTTCTCGGATATACACATAGGCTGACTCTTTAATTCTAGATTTTTATTATCAACACCACGCAAGGTAGCGCAATTTAGTAAAATACATTTTCTCAGGATTTTCCCCGATGTCTCCATATTAAAGTCGCCGCAGCTCCTCGCATGTCCGAAGCCCATTAGCGACTAATGTCTTCTTTAAGAACCCCTTATAATTCCTGGAGTTCCCCGGAAGTTTCACCCCTTCTTTTCATAAGTTGATAAACGCGGCATTCCGGAGATAGTTCCCTAACGAAGAGAAATTTCTTAACTTAGCCCAGATCAGAACCAAACTGGCATCGAGTATATAATATATGTATGAATAAAAAATAGAGTTACGATTAATATACGTATATAGCGCGTTGAACGGTGCCTAGGACGTTCCGGATCGGCGGTCCAAATGGATCGGGATTTTACGGTGCGATGGGCGTTACAAAACCCGGTCGGCCCGATATTTCGGAGGCTGGGGTGCATCGGAATAACCGAGGGCCATTGCGCCCCGTGCATCTCGTTGCAGTGCCCCCGGATATCCTGGACTACCCCACCAGCACGGACATGGTGGTGCGAGAGGGCAGCAACGTGACGCTCCGATGCGCCGCCACCGGCACCCCGGAGCCCACCGTCACCTGGAGGCGCGAAGCCGGGGGCACCATAACCCTTTCCAACTGGCACGAAGGTATGGGGGTCTTCTTTTTCGTAGGTTTAGTCTCCTTCGCGCGTGAACTCGTCCAAATTTCTACGGAGATTACGGATCTTTGTGTTCCTCTAGGGAAGTGGGAAGAAACTTTGCTTAATTATCTTCGACGTCTAATTTATTCATCCCGAAAAATCGGACGGAAAAGGCGAGAGCTCTTTTTGCATTCGTTGCATCGGAAGTGCATCCTGGGGGAGAAAAGTTCTTGAAAAATCCCCGCTGTCTCTGGGTACCCTTTTTTTCCCTGCCGACCGATATCCGATTAATTAAGCGCGGCTCGTTGCCCGGCATTAGCGAATCAAAGGAATATTCCATAATAAAAGCCCTCGGTTTTTTAGCGAAATTCCGGATTCGACTCCTCTTGCGCGGGCAAAAGGGCGAGCCGACTTCCACTCCACATCGGAGCTATAGTCCCCTATATAGTATTTCCGGTTTTAAGAGGATACGAAAGGCGCTAAGAAATTTAATCCACGTCGATAAAGTGAAATTCATCTACACGCTTTTTGGGGGGAATGCCGTTTTCAATTCTCAAGGGGGAACATAAGCTAAACGTGCGCGATATGATAAATTCGATTGATCGGGTAAGAAAAAAATGTACATATTGGCAGATTTCCCGGGGCGAGAAAAATCCCAGGGCTCTCGGCAAATAGGAGAAGCTCGGTGTAACTTATTCATCCTCATCTTCAGCCTGGAGGAATCGCTCGAGAGGATTTGTCGAGTCCCATGGATTTTCGTCGCGCCTCCATTAGGACGAGGCAACGTTAAATATTCCAGGGGTATTCCATCTCTTCGGGTGACACCCTCGACGCGTTTCTTCGACCCTCCACTTCGGCGACCTTCACGGGATTGCTTCTCAACAGGTGTCTCCGAGGTGGAGAACTCGATTCCCGAATCCATTATTCCTCGACGAGTCGAGATTCACCCGATTTTCCCCTCTGGAATGGTCCATGGGGTCCATGGGGTCCAGGGATGTAAATCCCGTCTTCCTAGTCGCGGATCCGACACCCATGGTTGATTAAACTTATCGTCTTCATTGTCCCTTTCATTTCCACGAGGAACCTTGGAAAATCTGTCACTCGCGATATTTAGCAAAGGTTACAAGGAAACACTTGGAAATTATTCTATGCTACTAGGGAGGTTCCTTTTCTCTAAAATTTGTCCAATCCATCGACACGGGCCAAAAAGCTCGAAAAAAATTGGAAAAGATTCTAAACGGTCGAAAATAATAAGACACGCGACTTTTTCTGTCGTAGTGGCGAGCATCGAGGGCCCGGAGCTGGAGATAACACGGGTTACTCGTCTCCACATGGGGCCGTACCTCTGCATCGCGTCCAACGGGGTGCCACCCACCGTCAGCAAGCGAATAGTCCTCATTGTTCAATGTACGTATAATCGAGCGGCTCTCCTCCACCCTGGAGAAGATAATTCCAGCGGACCCGCGTCCGGAAACGCGATGCTTTCCCTCCGTCCGGGTGAATGGCGGGCATTGTCTCCGGGGACAAAGAGAGGACGTAATCGCCGATCGGATAACGATTGGCCACTTCTGTCGACAGTTCCCCCGATGGTCTGGATAGAGAATCAGCTGGTGGGCGCCTTCGAGGGGCAGAGGCTCACCCTGGAGTGCCACACCGAGGCTCATCCCATGCCCATCACCTACTGGACCAGACCCACCAACGAGACCATCGTCAGCGGTCTGAGGCTTTTTTTCACATTTTTCATATCGATATGGATATTGGGTATTAGGAATGATCAGCGGGAACGATGCAAAGACCTTGACAATAAAGTCTTATTTATAATTCGGGGTCGCAAAGAGCGTGGGGAGGAAGCTGTCCAGGGGGAGAACGTTCTAATGGAAATGATTCGACCATCTGGGGCACGCATTATATCTAGGGACTTTGGGTTGACAGTGCTGCAACCGCAACGACAGCCGACAGGAGCGCGTGACATCGGATCGCATTAGCGTCCTCCACGCAAATCGCGAACCCGAGGCAGTAATATGGAATTATAATATATCGCCTCGAAAACGCGAACCAATTGTAGTAATTTCCACCCCGAGCCTCGATATTGCAGGGCTAATCCTGACGGGGGTGGTTCCCCTAGTCTACTTCGACAAGACATCGTGATGCCGTTCCGATTGCATAATTCCAATTTTAATATAATTTTAGGGTGACTTTGGAAAACTACCCCTGGAAGCCCTTTAAGAAAAAAAAGGGGAAAAAAAATTCCCTCCATTGTTATCACTTCGAAACTCTACCTTGGCAATAATATCCCCACGTGGAGTGGTTATATCGCTTTAGGTTTTACGCCCGGCGTAAATTAGTGCATTTCGCTTAAAAGCCGAGGGAGTTCCTATCGGGCTCACTTCGTGTGTACCTTATACTGTGTTTCTCTTATTTTTCCATTTTTATTCCCGTCCTTTGAAGTCGACAAAATTCGACTCGCACTGTGCGCTCAAGTTGGCGTGCTTGAACCTTCGTAAGAGCGATTACCGGTATAAACGAGTTTTATTAAACCCCAGGAAAAGCGCTTACTTATCAGGGGATTAATTTCGATCGTTTCGAGTGTCTCGCCCCGATTTTTTAATACGCGTGCCAGTGGAGGAAGGGGCGAGGAGCCGTTTTTCAAAAGTCCTCCATTTTCTGTGACCGTAGTTTGTGAAAAGAAAAAAATTCATTCCTACGTTGCGGTATTTAAATCTCGAATTTCAAGAGACACACCGGGATCGATTGGTCGTCATCGAATTTTCCATTGTTGCAGATAACAATTACAAGGTCGAGACCATCTCCACGGGATACGAGATCACAATGAAGCTGACCGTACAATCGGTTCGACCTACGGATTTTGGAGCCTTCAAGTGCGTCGCGACGAATTCATTGGGCGAAACGGATGGCAAGATCAAATTATACAGTACGGAGTAAATCTTATTACCTAGTACGCGGAAAGCGTAGTAAAATCTAAACCTGGAGGACTTAATAAAAAAAGAATCAAGACGATTGATTGAAAATTGGCGGAGCTAGAGTGCCCACCGATTTTGAAAATGCAGTTTTACAAAAAAACGCGTTTAAAGTATAAAGGCGTAAAAATTTGTTTGATTTTTTGAAAATTTCAAAGTGGTATAACTCCTTAAAGACGAGGACACAAGGGGAAATTAATTCCCAGGAAAATTCGTTAATTCGTTAATCGATCGCCTAATTAGGGGTTCGAGACGGAAACCAAGGGGGTGGTTAGAAGAAAGACCACTTTGCGGGCTCTGAGACGTCGAGGATTGATTTTTTTTTTTTCATTTTTTTTTTTCACCCCCCGTCGACTGGAGGGAAACACGCGATTTTCTTTATAAATCGAACCCCGACGCGAGAATAATTGCCTGGGGGCTAATTGAACGCTATCGGGGGCGCTAACGAGCGGAAATGTTCTCGATGTCGAGTAAATTTCTCGTCCAAAGGTCTTTATCCTTAATTTTCTGAAATTTGCATTTCGAGAGTTTCTCTTCATTTGGAGGGCTACGGGGCCTGCGAGTGACAAGGGCGCTCTGGTTTTGTCGAAACGTCGCCGAGGGATTCCAATACGTCAAAGCAGGGGCCGAGAGCCAGAGAAAGTCCATATTCATGTCGAACGAAACTATTTTTCCTGAATCTGAAAGCTTTATCAATATTCGCGGTTCGCCATTTCCTATTTCCGAGGGAAGGCACGGACCGTAGCCGCGTCACCTGTGAATCTCTCGAGGGAACTCGATATTCCGGTCGTTACTTCCGGGATTTCTCGTCCGGTGAAATTCACCCCGAGGCGAAATGCGAAAAGAAAGAGGCCTCCTCGAATTTCCCTGGATTTCCCAAAATTTTCCCGCACTCGGATCTTTCCAACCCCGGAATTTCCAGGCCACGGTTCCCGGGAAAAGGAAATTCCCTGTGTATTAAATCGACTCTCGGGACACCCTGAGACGAATTATGGGACCTAGGGGAGGTAATTTCCCTCCGGATGTCGCGATTGGAATTATCCCTAGTATCTTTGATTTTCCCAGGGATCGCTAAACCCCCGACGACGCGTCGACCGACCTCCTGGAGGGACTCGAAGAACTCCTGGAAGAGCGACCACGGACACGAGAAGAAGAGCGCGGGGATGAAGGACGAGGCCATGGCGAAGGGCGAAGAGGTCGACCTGGACTTCCCCTCGGCGACGACCTCGCCGATCTTCCACCAGCATTCGGCGAATCTGGGGATCGTCTTCGCCATGGCGATGCTGCGCGAAAAACTGGCCTCCTAGGTTCCTGGACTATAAAAGAAACAAAAATCCCTGAAACTACCCCCGGGGGACGAACTTCCAAGGGCCATCCAACTTCCTCTTTCTCTTGGAGGAAATTGTCAAAAGGATACACGACAATGTCCGATCGGCTCGTCCGGGTGGTCCTAAGAAAAACCCTATGACGGAAGTTATCCTGGAGATACTTGGGGTGGAGTGAAGCAAAGAGATCAGGTCTTCCGGTTCAGTATCTGGACCGGAAACCAGGTTAAGTGAGGTCAGTGATACTGGCTACTGCACCGGAGTACTCTCGTAGGAATCAACCCTCGCCATTACACCGATCGAGGCGAGGGCGATCCCTCGTGAAACGGGAGAGGATTATTTTTTTTCGCATTTCCTCCCCTGAAGGAGATGATCTCAAAACGTATTTCACGTATATAATACATTAAATAGACGTTCAGTGAGAATTCTTATCGTCGAAATTCAATAAATTCAATTAAAATTAAATCCCACGTTTCAATCATGAATTTAATCTAAGAAATTCAATTTGAAATTTCGCGTTTCATTTCTTCTTTAATGGTCATCTATCTTTTGTTATGTAACAAATAATTTACAACAAAGTATGAGTGATTCCAACTGCTTCCCTGTATGGTTAATAGAAAATGTACAAAGTGTAGATGTTAATAAGACGTACGGGGAAATCGAAGTGATATACGTATATAATACGTTAAATACGTACATAATACGTTAAATAGAGATTAGTGGGAACCTTAGACACTGTTCCAAAGCCTCATAGGGAATATGTACACTGGGAGACATCAATGCCCTCCCATTCTGCATAGGCGATGTCGTATCTGCAGGGGAGGCATTCATGTCCGCCATTGTACCGATAGAATTATTTTCATGTGCTGTAAATATGTAATTGTTACTTCCGAAAGCCCCAATCGCGTTATCATGTAACTGTACAAATAATTAATGTATTATACGTAGATTAAGCCTCAGGGACGTGTAAATATGTTATACAGTGTAAGGATATTAATATATTACCTTTTGCATTAATAAATCACGAGAGAGATTCATGTAAATACATTATGCGTCGTGGTGTAACTGGGCAATAAATGTTAGACAATCGTAACTGTTACTAACAACTACACAATTATTAACGTATCATAATTTACTTTTATCGTCCGTGAAGTTTAACAAACGTGCAGATACCTATTATTTTATTTTTACACGGGGAATAGTTGCATGGAATAATTTAGAAGACAGCATTATTTTTCTTTTCCTTGAAAACATCTGTTAAATAAGGAGTATATGCCTTATAATTTTTCTCTTTGCAAATAAATTAATTGAAATTATCTTTAGACAATTATTGTGCTGAACGATTTGAATGGTTTGCGCGCTTTTTATTATAGAAATATGTATTTAGTACGGTAACTGGACGACAGGAGCGCGCCGATCGCCACGGAGATGACTCTCTATTATTTTTTATTTCAATGCATGATTGGCGGCAAGTTGACCAACAAACTCAGATTTTAAACGTGCCGGTGAAATTTTTCTTCCTTTTAATGCCTTTTTCAGCTTTTCTTCACTTTTTACAGTTTTAAAACATACATTTAGCAAATCTGGATGAAACCAAGGAGAAAATGATCGCTGCCTCAGATCCGCTGGTACGTCACGGTTTTTAGGTTATGTTTAATAACCTCCTACGAGAAGAAATTATTACGGATTAAGGTTAGAAATAAGATGTTTCGGTTTCTTGCCAGGAATTTGTCCCAGGTGGACGTCAGACGGTTTTGAGGCATCCTGGAAGTGTGATTAGCCAACATTCGGGCAATCATCCAGGACCAACCGATAGCCTTTTGTTACAAAAATTCAGCCAAGTCAACATATCGGACAGATCTCCGGTAAACCTGATTGTAATTATTCTCATGTCGGATTGAACCGTTAATCAATTTTCTTCTGCCTTTTACTCGTAGAAAGAATTTTGGACAGTGAGAGATAACGAGATATGCGGAGAAGAGGAGCTTTACTGTTCTGGTAAAATTGCCGTTCATTCGAAGGGCGATAGGTCGACTAGGATTCTGCAGACATCTTATACTTGCGAGACGGATATTAAGCATGCGCTTTGGTGCACTTTTTGCACGTCTACTCCTGATCACTCGTCAAAAGCCAAAGAACCCGACGAGAGTGATATAAGTCTAAACGGTATCGACTGTATTTGCTTGGTCGATTCGTACACTCTGAAAGTCTTTACAGCTTCTGGAGAAGATTATATATCCAGTTTACAATTTCAAGTAAGATTTAATAATCATATCGATCACAGAAGAATCATTCAAACGACAGTTGGTACGATTGATTTTTTTTTCGGTAGGTCTCTGCGATATGGGCTACGAAGTATGGAATATTACTGGAGAAATCTCAGGTTCCAACTTCGGTGTCTAGGTATGGAAGGTACATTATTACCTTGATCGTCTTGAAAGTATCGTAACTTTTATATTGTTTTTCGCACAGGTATATCTCATTGGAAGCTAGCAGAATAGCTACCCAGAATGATAACCTACTACCGGTAGCGTTTTCCCTTATGCATCCTTTGGACGAAATATGTCCTCTTCTCATTAAACACGGTAGAGTTATTTTTACTACAGCCAAAGCGAAACGCAAAGATTGCCTAAATAGTATCGTTTATTTTCACAGGGACTGTTTCTTATATGTGCGATTCAAATCAGAAAATCGTTTTTACTAGCTCCGAACCTTCTCTAGCCGTAGTCTACGACACGAGGACTGGTTTGCATTCTGTTTATAAGATTCGTAAAGCTTCGACGGAAGAATGCCAGTTAGTTTATGGAAACAGTGACAGTAATCAGAGTTTGTTTAATCAGTCGACGAGTGCTTCGCCACTAACCCTTGGCGCTAACCTTTCCGCCAACAAGAGTGCCAACAAAGCCCATCTAAGTCTCTTTGGTAAATGAAAAGCAATATTTTATAATATCAGTTTACCCGATGTAGGGTAAAATCTATTTACATAAGAACATGGAACTATATTTTCAGGGCTCCCTAATCTACAAATCAGTAACGTCAACCTGAGTCTGGGGATAAGCAGTAGTCCGTTTGGTTCTCGAGGTACATCCTATGCTACGACTTCCTCCGGTGGTGGTCAGTCACCATCTCAACAACAACAGCATCCTCATTCTCGATCTCAGAGCCCGATGGCTACGATATCAAGATGTCAGTCTCCGACGCATCCTGCCTTTTCTCCCCTTTTTGGAGTCCCCGCTACCTCTAACATTCATCAGACGAGACTACAACAGACAGTTCTGGGCCATCCTCAAGGCAGCTCCGGTGCTAGCTGCAGTAGCATACAATTTCAAGACCTGGGTATGAGTCCGAGTAAACCATTGTATCCCGAATTATGCCTCGATCATGTATGGACAGAAAGCGTCGGGCTCCAGAAGTAAATATTTTCATCCTTCTGCACTATTCTTAGTTCCTTTTTTTCTGTGTTTAATTTAATTCCTATTAAAACATGATTTCTTAGCACGATTAATAAGTAAGAAATTATATTTTTCAAGGGACATTGTCTCTGGACGTGCATCGAAGGTTCTCTTAGTATCGGACCTTGTCGGACAAAGTTATTTGGGTTACTTGGTGCCGAATCGATCTCAACTTTTTTTGGTACGACTGGAGAAGACGAACATACGACAGCATATTATATTTGGAATGGTCACCAGCATCGTTGCCAAAGACGCAGTTAGTTTACCGGTGTGTACAGTGAATATATATAAAAAATGAAATTCTTTTCCATTATTGAACACATTGTTAATAATTATTTTCAGTCATTGAACATGATCGCCATCATGGATCTTTCTAATGGCGTGTGCCTGTATTCAGGAGTTACGTGTGTGGGGAAGGTCCACGTAACAAATGTGTTAGCGAGCCTCAGCGAGTGCAATTATTTCTTACCCAGCCTGGGACATAAATTTGGATCTCCATTCCCCCGAAGGAGTTCCCTAATACCCCAAAGTTCAGTACCACCCCACGACATTAAATTCGAGGAAGGGTTGCACCTACTCAGTCCTGTGGGATCCTGTCCCAGGCCTCTTCTGCTAGAGAATTCCCTCTCCGATGGAAACCTGCTTGCCTTAAAAGAAGCGGTAGGCAACGAAGTAACATTAGAGTACGGTAACAAGAATTACTTCAGGATCGCCCTGCCAACATTGAGCACGTCCCCTCTAGGTAAATTATTAATCTATCATTCCCTCCTATTATAAAAAAAAATCTAAATTCACCTGGACTACCATATTCTCACCGTAGTCACAAAATGCTTGCAAGCTCTACGGAGTGTCCTACAAAAGGACCTAGCGATGCAAATGTTGGTCAAATGGTACGGAGCAAGAAATGCACCCGGACCGCAGGACTTTTCTCCTCTCCAAGAGTGGCATCTATTCCTGGTGATCTTGCTGGCTCTCCTCGGCTACGACGTGGACAAGCTCGAATTAATTAAAACCGACGAAGAGGATCAGCATACGGAGAAGAACAGTCCCATAGTGCTCCCGAAGAAGCAGAAGATAAACGACAGCGTCTCCAACGAGAACTGGCAGTACATCGTGAACTCCGTCGAGCACTCGGGATCGCAAGCGTTCTTATCGGACACTCTCAATTTGTCAAGACCCACTTCGAGTACCTCGACAAGCGATAAGCCGAGTGCAAAAGTGGAGGAGTCGCTATCCGGAAAAATAAGCGCCCAGGCCATTTTGTTTCCGTATCTACCTCTGGTCCTGCTCTCGTTGCACCTCCTCTACGAGGAATTGAAACTGAACACCGTAATGACGGAGAGCCTGCCCTTACTCGCGCAATTGCTCCACCAATTGAGCACGGATTTAAAGCTCGAGATGTACTCCCATCATTACTTCCTGGACTTCCCGACCTTCTGCAACATCAGCGGCTTAACGTCCCAAGTTAACGCCCTGGACTTGCAGAAGATTACTCCACCTAATTACATGCCACTTAGGCCACCGAGTATCTTTCAGACTTTAAATGATCTGTTGAATGGAAGGGACGTTACTCCATATCCCTACGTGCATTACGTTAATCCCAGGTCGAGGAATATCGTACACCTGGTGGCACTGATAACGCGAGAAGGGAAGTCCACGGTGATAGAGATGGAAAGGTTTACCAGATTAATCGTACCAGCCGGAAGTCGGGTCGATCCCCCGGAACTGGGAGGTAAATACGACCGGGAGATCCCCAGGAAATTGGAAACTTCCACCCCGGAAAGAATAGTATTGTTGTACCATGAGATGGGTGAGTTTCTTTTTTTTTTAAATAAACTAACGCAATCCCACGATCTCATCCTTAGTATTGTCCATGTGTTTCTCAAATTATTTCTTACTATTTTTTTTTTCCAGAGGAATACATTATATCACATTTTTTGTTTAAATAATGACAATTTTTCTATCCTGTATTAGAAAGAAGAACAGCTGCCACCCTGGCTGTTGGTTATCATTTCTCCCATTGTTTCAGGACTGAGCAAAAAGGACCTGGAGATACTTCCACCAGGAGTTTCGCTATTGTTAATGGAGATTATGTACAGGTGCAGGGAACGGCCACTTTCGGGTTGGCCTAAGCAAGTTTATGAATTAGTTGGCCGACAGGACTTGGCAGCCCTGGACAGACATTCGAGGTCTCCGAAACGGGAATATCGTCCTACCAACGAGGAAAAGTCATATCCTATCAAAGACCCGGAACAAGACGACGGCATGGAGTTCGACGATGCCGTAAGTGGGATCATCAACGACCGAGTATAGTATTAATTAATTAAGGTGAAGTGAAACACCTCGAGGAACTTGATCGACGTCGGTAAAAGAGATTCTTCTAAATACCTACGACCCTCTTAACAATTATTATACGAAAACTCAAAACACTAATTGAGAAAAAATTATCAAACTTTGAAAATAAGTTCAAGTTAAAATTTTAAAAGGTGTCTTTTGACACCTTTGGTAGAAATAGTATTAATGATAATCATTTGACCCTAGATTTTATCGCTGAGGTTCAACGAGGACCACAGAGTAGCCGAAGTGCGAAGACTGCTCAATTCATCTAAGCCTGTAAGGATAGCAATAGTGCAGAGACCGGACGTGAGCGACCACGAGTTCATCGAGGAGCAGGAAAGGCATCTACATGCACTTTGCACGAGAACAATGGCCCTCCCCGTAGCAAGAGGAATGTTCACTCTGAGGACCTCTACCCCGATTATCACGGAACAACTGCCGATACCCCGACTATGTCTCACGGGTAATTCCACCACGTAGGATATAAAAATGCCGTGCCGTAAAGGAAACGTTAAGAGGATATGAAAATCGCTAAGATATTTAATCGACGTCGATAAAGTGAAATTCATCCGTACTTCTCGAAGGGTTCTATATGCCGTTTCGGTAAAGTAAAGATAAAAAGATCGAGGTAAAACTGCCGAAATCCCATGAATTCATGACTCTTTATATTCCGATATCTCAGATATATATATAGGCTGACTCTTTCATATCCTCTCGAAACTATGTAAACTTCCCCAGGGAAAGCACCTCCAAGAGGAACCACGGTGGAGCTGGTACACATCGACGTTCCCCCGAACATGAACCTATGGCCACTGTTTCATAACGGAGTGGCAGCCGGTCTAAGGATACACCCGGACGCCTCCGACATAGACTCAACCTGGATAGTTTACAACAAACAGCAGCAGGGAGAATTCGGTATCGAGCATTCGGGATTTCTGATGGCCCTCGGCCTGAACGGACACCTAAAAAACTTGGCACCATTCAGTATGTACGAGTACCTAGTCGAGTGCCACGAGGCAACGAGTGTAGGCTTGTTACTCGGATTGTCGGCGACCCACCGAGGCACCATGGACGTCTCCATGACGAAGTTACTCTCGTTACACGTGGAAACGTTGTTGCCGCCTACGAGCATCGAGCTGAACGTTCAGCAGAACGTCCAGGTGGCGGCGCTGATGGGCGTGGGCCTGGTGTACCAAGGAACGGCTCACAGACACATTGCTAATGCCTTGTTATCGGAAATCGGTAAGGACGCGATACTCTTCCGTAGTACCGCCAGGAAGAAGAAATAACCTAACATGACCTAACGTGGTAATTTCAGGCAGACCACCGGGTCCAGAGATGAAGAACTGCGTCGACCGGGAGTCCTACTCCCTGGCCGCGGGTATGGCCCTAGGCCTAGTGGTCCTGGGATGCGGAGGTGGGTCCGACCTGACCAACATCCCGGACACGTTGCATCGGTACATGGTCGGCGGGAACGTCAGGCCGTTCACCGGGTCCCAGAAGGACAAGTACAAGTCCCCGAGCTACCAGATCAGGGAAGGAGACTCCATCAACATAGACGTGACGAGTCCTGGGGCCACCATAGCCCTGGGGCTGATGTACTTTAATACAGGGAACCGAGCCGTGGCGGATTGGATGCGCGCCCCGGACACCCAGTTCTTATTGGACTTCGTCCGACCTGATCTATTGCTACTTAGGATCCTCGCCAGGTCCCTGATCCTCTGGGGAGAGATCGAGCCGACCAAGACCTGGGTCTCCAGTCACGTCCCGGAAATCGTCTACAAGTACAGGTTCCAAAAGCCGACGCCCGAGATCACGCAGAACGTCGACCTGGAGACCATGAAGTAAGGATGGCGACAATTGGTCCTTTCTCGAGGCTTCCTTAATCGATTTAACGTTTCCTTTGTACAGCCAGGCGTACTGCAACGTCATTGCAGGTGCCTGCATGGCTTTGGGATTAAAATATGCCGGCACTGCTAATAAAAACGCCTTCAAGACTCTTTATAATTACGCTCAGATGTTCACGGCGTTGACCCACAAGTCTATCGCCGAGTTAGCTGGGAAGTCTACTATAGAGACTTGCTTGAACGTCGTCCTGTTAGCAACGGCTGTGGTCATGGCAGGAACCGGGGAGCTGGACGTACGTTCTTTATCTTCTGTCCAGGGTCCTCGAGCCATTGAGATTTTCTTTGGATTTTTTTTTTTAGATCATGAGAATCTGTAGGCATGTGAGGACTCGAGTGGGTCCTGCTAGCAGCGTCGTCACTTATGGATCTCATTTGGCGACTCACATGGCATTGGGTCTCCTATTTCTCGGAGGTGGAAGGTATACGCTATCCAACAGTCCCAGTGCCGTTGCTGCACTCGTAATATCTCTATTTCCGAAGTTCCCTACTCACAGCAACGATAACAGGTAATCAGATATTTTTCTCAACCGGGTCTTGAAGCTAAGGTGAAGTGAAACCTTTAAACGAAGTGTTGTATTAGAATCTACCGATTTGAGAGGGTATCGCTTCACCTTAATACCTCTATCGTCATTTCAGGTATCATCTTCAGGCACTGAGGCACCTCTACGTTCTGGCTGTTGAGCCGCGATTGATTCTACCAAGAGATATCGACAGTGGATTGCGATGCTACGCGGTTGTTCATTTAACATTTCGTAATGAAAAACTGGCCGATGGACAGGAAGCCGTCCTAAGAGCTCCATGCTTGTTGCCTCAGTTGGATAGTCTACGAAAGGTCGAACTAAAGGACGATAGATATTGGGAGATCACTTTTGAGCGGGGTCACAATTGGCAACAGTTGGAAGGGATGCTGAAGAGATGCGACTTTCTGGACGTTAAACAAAGGGCCGGATGCTTGTCCTATCAGGAGGATCCATACGTAATGACCCTTAAGAGGATATGAAAGGCGCTAAAAAATTGAATCGACGTCGATTAAGTGAAATTCATCTATACCCTTTTTGGGGGGAATGCCGATTTCCATTCTCAAGGGGGAACATAAGCTGGCGCGTCCCATTACCGACATTTATATTTATGTCGTATACACACGTATACAGGCTGACTCTTTCATATCCTGTTAATTCCATTTATTGTAAAATAATAATATATCGCTAGATATTATTATATTTTTCTATTTGCAGGGCTTTCGCAGCCTGATAGCGCAGACCCTGACGACCGAAAACGTAATTCCCTGGGCCGTTCATTCCGAACAAGTGACGTCATTCACAAGTGATAAGACCGTACTGAACATTGTTAAATATTTCCTGCAAATCCTTAACAAAGGGGAGGCAAGAACTGACAAAGAGTTAGAGTCGGATAGTAACGATAAGTCCACATCGGCACATCTCACGCAAAGTTTCCTCGACACTTCAGGAAGCACTTTGGGATGTTCGACGGAGAAATTTCCAAGTGAAAAAATGGACGTAGGAGAAACTTCCGTTGAAAAAGACTCGCCTAAGGTTCATCAGGTCCCAAGAGAAGTTACGGACTCGGAGCGTCAGTTTTTACAAACTTTTGCGATAATTGTTTACGAGTGTGTAATTAAGGACAAAGTCAGTCTTCTGCCTCTGTGGGTGAACATGTACAGAAGCATCGAGGCGATTGAAAGACGTCCTAATAGTTATTTAATATGGCAGATAAAGTTGATCGCCTCTCAGATATCGAACAGAAGTTACTCCGATGAGACCAACCCCTTGCTCGGTGCCGAAACAGCCCTGGCGATAAAGTACAAGTCCACTTCGATAATTGGTCGATGGGAACGAGGTATGTACATGTTTTCATTTATCGGTGTATACATTGTTTAACGTTAATAAAGAGACCATACTCCTTTTCAGATCTCAAGCCTCTCATAAAACAGTTTCTAACAACTGGCTCGGTGAAAACAGACTCTACGTCTTTGGCTCGATTGGCTGCGTACTTTGTATTTCATGACGTACCTCCCCACTTCGATGCACAATCCCTGGGTAAGTTTCATAATAAGTGGTGTGATAAAATGAAAATAAGTGTGTAATTAAATTATGTACTGATGTTTCAGCAACATCGGAGTCCTTCTCAAAATATCTGATCGACCCTCCTCAGTCTGTACCGCTAGTTACAATGTTTAAATTACATCTACTCTTGAATGTTTACGAATGAAAATACACATTCCAAGTACAAAATATATAAATATATATATTTCCCCCTGGGTTTACAGTTTTTCTTTCTTTCTATCACAAACTTAATATGAAACGGTCCGTCGTTAAATAATATTTTCTCACATCACAGGTACTGTATTAATCGTATGATTACGCTTAAATTCTTCTTTACCCGTAACTAAAGCCTAAAAAAGATACCGCGCCTTCTGTAAAACTGCTCTTCGTGAACGATTAGCTTTCCTGTTATTTTATAAACGACGTCGTCTATTATCTCGCCGATTTGGGTGTAACAGTAAAGACAGCCGATTAGAATTCCGCCTAAATGACCGATTAACGAAGAATTAGGTACCAACAGATGAATTAAGATCAGCTCTAGCCAGACCGCTATTTTACTAGGAACCACGATCCCTCCGACGTTTTGCATTTTATCGCGTTCCTCGCACACCGTTATAACCTTCAAAGCGAAAAGGACCGCGGAGAAGCCGATCGCACAGGCGGTATAATAAGAATAGTCGGCGGTAATTTCAGTTAGGAGATACCCTAAAAGAACGTACATAGAGCTGCAACCCAGCGACAGAAAAGCTAACAGGATGACAAAATTCGCCGTACCATACATGGGTTCTAAGTACGCGCCCTTTAAGATAAAGGAAATCATATTGTAATAAAGATGCATATCGGACCCGTGTTCAAAGTTTGATACGATAAAGCTCTTCCAGTCGCGATGTTTAAAAATTTTAAGGGCAGATATGCAGGCTTCCTCGGCATTCCATGGAACCTTTATGAATCCAGTGTACAACAGAGCCTTGAAACGCATTAAAAGAAAATTAAATTAACACATCACGCCGTATATAACCTAAAACTAAGTGCCGAATCATCAGGTGAAATTGCTAACCACATAATGCTCCAATAAAAGCCACGCCCTCGAGATCAATTGACTAATACTTATATCATTAATATTAATCGTATTTTTTTTATAACTAATTCATATTTAAACATTACGATACCTGTCCCACAACTCCGATCAACGTTGCCGGCGGGATTTTCTCAATTCCAAAATTAGCGGCCTGCATGCATAACAAAAGTATGCCATACTGCAAACCTTGTTGTCGCCTTTGAGCCGGTCTCATGGTGTTATTAAATTGTTTACTTTGTTTCGGTAATACTTAAAGAGATTTCGTAAGGGAAAATGTTCGTAATTCAAACGATTCAAACTTGAAATGCATACACTTACGCTCAGAGATGAGAGACAGGGGCAAAAAACAGTGAAAGCTAACGTACGATACCAGAGGGCAGCACACGATGCGATCGCGCGACCCTGCCCGTGAGCAATCTCCCATCTATTCAATAACGTGACATATGCTCTGTCAATAATCCACCGTAGCAGTCGTAGCAGTCGGCATGAGATAGAACCGACCAAGACGACATACATCCTAACAAAAAGTAATAGAAAAACGAGTATAAAATTATTGGCATTAGGTCTTTAGAAAAAGGCCGAAATTGAGAAAGATACAGATAGAGATACAACCGACATGAAATTACTGATAAATTATTACTAAACGCGAGTACATCTACGTGGATTAAAAGCCATTTTTGAGTATATCTCACGTGAAGAAGGGGCACACTATCAGTATTAAAACGCATAATCGGATGGGTTACTCGCAAGTCGGTAATATTTCCTATAATAATTAACGAGACCACGTAGATTTAAAAATCCACTGTATGTTACACTTATTTCTTTGATACCAAATTTCGAGGAAACATTGTAACGATGAACGATCTCTTGAGAGAGTTGGAAGCTTTAAAGATAACCGGGAACATAAAGGACGAAGCTCTCTGGACCAAGTCCATCCAGCTGATAGAAAAGACGTTCGTTCCCCAAAAATCCTGTGAGCTTAATAGATCGTACGAGGAAAAGGATTTTAGGGAGTACAGACTGGAGGTCGATCGAAACCTGAGGAACGTCAGATCTATATTACAGCATGTTTTGCATAATTGGAATACGTGTAATACCAGGGCAGCTCTCGAAGATCTCAAGTTTAAGACGTTTTGCGTGGACTTAATTATATTAATCGGGGAACAGAGCGAGAAGAGCTTATGGAATTCCGCAGAATCCGTCTCAATTGCTAACGAACTAGCAGCCGATGTTTGCAATTTACTTGGGTGTGAGAATTTATCTCAGGCATTGACCGGGCAAGACGATAAGTTGACGGCAGCGCTGTTAACGCTGAGACCGAAATTGTTAAAAGATACGTGGAAAACGTACCCGGCTGCTGTTACCTGTTACAAGTGGATGTTGTATCAAGTAGAAGTTGGTATACGTTTAGACTTCTCAGAGATCTGCCGAACGCCGTTAAGATATATTAATAAAAATTCCATTCTCTCTTTAGGTACCAATTTTATCAAATTATCTCAATGCCATAATTCCGACGGCGCTTATAATATTCGATGACTACGAACTTCAGAACAGGGTTAAAGGTCTAGAATCTATACACAGAATACTTCAACACTGTTCCACCGTAAGTAAAGAATCGTATGTACGATCTCTTATTGTTCCTTAATTTCCTTCGTCTTTTCAGACAAGAATCTTGATCGACACAGGCTACGCAGAAGTACTTTTCAGTGCTTTGGAGAAATTAACGCATCAGCGAGAAGTTGCTTACGTGGTGCCACTTTATTCGTGTCTCGCTATGTTGTTGGCGATAATGGAATTTTATGATAACTCGACGAATACCTTTTCGGTAAGTTCTAGCGACTGTAACCTCTTACCTCGATTGAACGACGTCGAACCTCATGATTTATTTTACAGTGGAGCAAACGTGACAACATATTATGTACATTGTTAGATAATATGGAATGCGAACAACGTTTTGAATTACGTCATGCGTACATGCTCAGCTTACCACAGCTCTTGACTCACATCGGATGTGCCAAATGGTGTGATAAATTAATAAGAATCTTGTCTGAATACTGTGAACATCACACGGATCTGAGAACTCTTAAAGCTACGTTGGAGGTATCGTCTCTTATTAATATGCCTTAGTGTTAAAATGGTCCTCAGTATTCTAAAAGCATTTTCATTTACAGACTGCGAAGGTTATCCTTCTGATGTTCCATCCAAGAGTTCCGGCACATTGCAACGCCCTTTACTCTACTTTCCTGAGATTACACTTCGATTTAACCGAAACACCAGTTCTCGATAGTGAAATAACCCAGACATTAGAGGAATGTGTATTTATGTTGTATAAATTGACCCCAACGGTCGGGGGAGCAATAATGCGCGACGATAGAATGAGATCAATTATTAAGAATAGTCTCCAAGTCGTGTGTTTAGGTGACTCAAAGTATTTAAATTGAGACCCTTTATATTCTACAAGAAAGAACCGAAGTACTCGATGGAAATTGCAAATGCGTTGCTTTATCACTTTTACATAAGGAGTCATTAATTAAGAGTAACGTTATATATAGAAATAGTAGTTAACCTAGATGCGACACTTGTAGTAATGTACATTTATTATTTAGTTATAATCCTTTGATTGAATATATTAAAATTTTGTAGTCTTGCAAAATATAAAACATTCTCTTTTGCACAGAGTGACGGGAGAGAAGGGAACGAAAGTCAGAGAGGCTCGAATTCGTCGAGCCTAAAACAATAGGGTGGTTTATAAACGCGATTGAATAATTATAACGAATATGCAAATTTCTTGAGGGAGATTGAATGTACGCTCGACACGTAATACCATGTTTCAAGTACATATAATGATTTGTTCAATTCAATTACTTCCCAACACAAGTAACGTACAATAACTCTATGTTATAACCTCAAAGTTCACGTGTAAAGTACCTATTTAATTGTGCTTCCAATTCCACGCGCTTAAAAAAAGAAAAAAGAAAACAAAAACAATACAGAAATCATCGCGGTAAGAGATTATCCTTTCCGCTTTCCAACCCTTGCGTAATTAATAACTAAATGACAGTCTATTGCAGGAATGACTTATATTTAAAAGTGTTACTCCCTGTGAAATAAAACATATAATCCAAGTGCAAGTAACACCACGTATTTAAATTTAGGGTATTCGTTCATGTATATAGTAATCATGCCAACATATGGTAAAAACCCTCGTGCTCTGCCGACGACATCCTTATGCGTCAACCATAGTTGACCGATCGCGTATAAACCTCTGTCGTCGACCGAATTATTGTCCCCTTTCGTAAGGAATTTTATCGTATTGTTTTTATCACCCCTGCAATAATAAATCTTTCGGTAACCTGGATTAAAACGTAACATGCTGGAAAGACGATTAACTATAATCTAGATCTCCGGTTACGAGGTTATAAGAGGCTTACTTACTTTTCATGCAGTTTAAGTACTCTATGAACTATAGGGATCTCTCTTCCCTCGACTTTGAAGACGACGATCTCTCCGACTCTTATAGGCTCGTCCTTGTAATTGGTTAAAAAGAGCAAGTCTCCTCTGTGAAAGGCTGGTTCCATGCTACCGCTGAAAAGAAAATCAGAAGCATTGTTTTATTATTTTAATTAACACACGAATTCGCAGTATCAATACCCAAGATTAATAGAAAACACGGTCCACGTACTCAGGAAAGAAAGGTTAAGTTAGGTTAGGTATACCTTAGAACAACGACGATGGGGCTCTCGCTCCCGGTGATGACCATTAATCCTTTCCATATCATCAGAGCTGACGATACTATCATACCGAAACTCAATATCTGATAGAGAAGCTGAAAAAGAAACCGAAAAATTTTCACGCGGCTGCCGAAGATCACGCGAAGGAAGACTCAAGGTACCGCATCCATTCCGCATTTAGTTACTTAAACACTCCTTACCTGCCGTTTATTTAAACGTTTAACATCGTCGAACGCGCTACTGAACATGATGCCGGGCTTAAATCAATTTCCGTTAAGACTATTCGGTGGTAAATTAACTGAAAGTTGACACAGCTTGTAGCCACGAAATCAAAGCGCGGCCATCGAGTGTCATCGAGTCTCGCCAAGCCGGAACGGAGCAGTCACGTGACGTGACGTCACGCTACCTAGCCACGGAACGCGGGCTACTCAAATCTTGTACTCTGCCCTTGGGCGTAACTTTATTTAAAGAAAATGATAAATATCCGTACAAAATTAATGAACATCTATTAGCAATGCAAGGAAGAGGAGTTTAAGTTCGAATATGTCGAGGGGTCTTCCAAGCTTCTGGGATTTTCTTCGTTTATTCAAAAATTACCTTCGACGTCTGAGTCCCCGATATTGAATCTCGCAGCGAATATCTCAGGTGCCATGTTCACTTCGGCGTCGATTTTTCGGTATTCATCTGATGTTTTGTCCTGAGGATTTTTCCCGTCAGTGTGGTCAGCACTCCCTTGAATAAATATCTCCGATCTGGTATACGTTTCTATTTTAATTCATTGAAATATACCTCTGTCGTCGGAACATTTTATAATGTCTAGGTTAGAGTCTCCATGGCTTCGCTGATTGGTGAACCATTGCGAGGCGATTTGTCTCAAGGGCTGGAGACAACTGGCATTGTGTTTAATTTTCTCCAGCTCCTCGTCACAGAGTCGTTCGACTTCCATGAGTTTCCTGCGATAATTTGTGGCGACCAGTTGCCTGCGTACGTTGTAACGCCTTTCGGCATGAGCCACAGCCAGATCGTTTTGGTACCTGGCGAGATTCTTCTCGTATTCCAAAATAGTAAACGTTTCAAAAGCTGAGTCGACGCTCATCATGTCCAAGGGATCGTCTGAAGATTACGGATCGTAAAGAAATGAGTAAAACTCGTAGAATGAATATAATTGAAACAAATGAAAAAAGGGCAGACTCAACTTGCCCAAGCCGCTGTGATCGCTTCTTCGAAGGCCAACACGTCGCTCTGCTCTCGATGAGCTTGAAACTCTTCCCGCTGCTTTTTCCAAAGTGCTGCTTCCGATACGAGGTCTTCCCTCAACTTTGCCATCGCTTCTTGCAGGGATTTAACTCGCTCCCTGAGCCTGCAAGCAAAATTCAACGAGGCATGGATTTAATACATATTTATGCATTTTTAATTACCAATCTTACCTCAACTCTGCGTCTTTCAAGTCCTCATAATTAATTTTCACCGAGGAATCTTCTGAACGATCCAAGACATCAGATTTCTCGTCTTCGGAATTAATTTCATAACCTATCGGTGCATAGTTCTGAAGATTGAGTTGAAAATAATCCCTTCCGCCTTTAAGTCCATCCTCGCTCCTTCGATCCGCCAAATCTTCCTGATTTTCTTCTCCATATTCGCAGAAGGACTCGTCAGAGATACTACGGAAGAAAATATCTGAGAAAGAGGATCTTTTGGTGTCCATAGGAAATTTATCGCATCCTTTTTATTAGAACATGCATGCGTTAAAGATGTCATAAACAAAGGCATGAAGCGTCTCTCTCAGCTTAATGACATTTGCAAGAATTCAGTCCTTTTAGTCGCAAGAAAATAATTGAAGATATGACACGTGTCATGCATTTGTTAATGTATTCAAGAACGAATGTAAATGTAAATAACCTCTGTCATGGAATAAATAAAACTGCGTATAATTACTGTTTGTCTGTAACGACCGGTAGATTGTACAGAAAGTTTGGTAATTAATCTTACTTAATCTTGGGACTTATAACGATTCGATTATGTGGAGGATTGTGAGGGAAGGGAGGAGGACATCGATCCATAGTCGAGTTCCACCGAGTTGACGCACTTCGTGGTACCTAACCTCAAAGGTGGAGACAAAAGTGTAGGTTGGAGCGGATCGCCGGTTAATTTTGCAGCGATCAATATTTTCCCCGGTTACGTTGTAGGGTAGAAACGATCGATTACACATCATCGAGTCGGGGATGAGAACGCAAGGACTGGAAAATAATATTATAAGTAGTGACTAACCTCTCATCGGTGAGTTACATGCAGTTACATGTAAACGTAAAGTGGTGAGCATGAAGAGAATTAAATGAAGATAGAAGACCTAGGAAAGTCGTTAGACGGATTCAAGAGATGACGATCATTTAGCGAGAACACTGACCGAAGGGAATGATTAATTTTCTGACCTGATCCGGTCGACGCCGAAGGAAGCATGATCCGATACATTTGGTCGGTGATCTACTGGTATTTCAGACCTCTGATAAAATGGTTCTTGCGCCACACGACGCAAATGTGTGAGCTGCAAAGAATCTGCTATGGAGAACCGTTCGGGGCACCTAGGACGACGGCAGTGGAACGATCGCTTAGAAGTTCACGTAATGCGAATATCAAGACGTTGTTGATGTATCTGGATGATGCTAGTGACCAACGAGGAATTGACAATAGATCGGAGCGAAAGATTTTAGAGGAAGCTATCGGAACTGTCCTGACAACGAAGAAGATAAACCCTATAGCTCACCCAGACTTCGCCAAGAGTTTTGGAAAGTGCGTGGAATTAATCTGGGGATATCGGCAGCTGTGTGTCGAGTGTGAGGAGCTTAGAAGAACTCCGTATAATACAGATGATCCGAAGCACGAACTGCTTCTGTTGAAACTGTGGAATTTATTAATGCCACACGAGCCACTTGATGCTCGAGTGACTAAACAGTGGCAGGACATTGGATTCCAAGGTGACGATCCTAAAACTGATTTTCGTGGCATGGGCATTCTAGGACTAGAGAATCTTGTTTACTTTGCGCAAGAGTATCATAGTGCCGCCACTCATGTTTTACTGCATTCCACTCATCCTCGGTATGGCTACGCCTTTGCAATAGTAGGAATAAACCTCACTAGTATGGCTTTACGTTTATTGCGAGATGGAACAGCGAAGGTACATATTTATAATTCTTGCAAGACTCTACCAACAATTCGTGCCTTTCATCAGTTTTACTGTTACCTGTTTTATGAATTCGATGGCTTTTGGATAGAATCCAAGCCCAGTAACATGATGGAGTTCTCGTCGATACAAGAAAAATTTGAAAACAGCATCCGGATGGCCTTAGCCAACCCTACCACTGTGTTTAGGATAAATGTATCCGTGGACAATATTTAATACAGATATGACTCGATAAAAAGTGTCAGTCGTAAAGTCTAACTTTTGTCTCCTTTGCGATATGTTAACTGACGCCGAAGAAAAATATCTATCATAACGAAAGAGTTATATCTAAGTCAGGAATGTATATTTAATTGTCACGCAGAGCTCTTAAGAATTATGTCTGGCACTTCTTCACTCACCGTACGAAGTACCGCAAGTGTGTTACACCGAGTCGTTGATTTGCAAGTGTGCCGAATGTCCAACATTCCTTGTAGGAGTGACTACAATTTACAACTACATTCTTCAAACTACACAGCCAGAGTTTATTGTACGCTTTTTAAAAATCTACTTAAAGTCCTTTCACCGATCGATAAAAAAGGAAATATATATTTGTACAAGGAGTATTTATTAACAATACGTTTCCCCGATAGTGTGTAATTCTCGATTCAATCCCAATCGTGGCACAATTTACGCACGGAAAATCCCACTCTTACTGCCGATAAAATATATACATGGATTTTTTGGAAAAGAAATGTACCTTTATTTTTCTTTCTTCTGCTGTGATGGCTCAGATTTGCGTCTTAATTTAGATGCAACCGAAACGATAACGAACACGCCAATTGTGATACTACCAAGTTTCATTACCCAAGGGTTATCACGAAGGAAGTTCGCTATTATCTGCGTAAAGTCATCGCTGGAAGAAATTACAGAAAATATTTCCAGTTAATTCCGATGCGTTCCAGAGTTTATTCAGGATTCAACGATTGTCATCTACGTTAAAGAGTTGAAATCTAGTTTTACATTAAAGCATAAGAAAACATAAAGGAAGGAATAAGGCACTAAATTTACTTTCCATTTTCTAACCTTATATGATGTAAATATTCTAATGCATTACCGGGTGTTGGAAGTCAAGATCTGTCTTTGTGACGAAAGGTACTAATAAAGTAATGTTATTAATGGGAAAAAGGAAAAATTCTAATTGCTTGTAAAAATACTTACAAAGGACTTTGAGGCACGGGAACTCTCTCGCTGCGAGCATTTTTATACCAATCCCTAGCAAATGACACAAATGAGCTCACGTCATACTTTGGAATTTGGTAGCGATACATTTTTCCCTGTTTGAATCTGCGAGAGGAGTAAGTATTAATATAGGAACGATGAAACACTATAGATAAGTATAAACCTTACAATATAAATTCTGGTACGTCGACGACATTGAATCTCCTAGCTGTAGATGCTCCCGTTGTATATTTATTCACACGAGCTACGTTCACTCTCTGTTTTAACTTTGCACCCACTGCTTCCCATCTAGCTCCGAGTCGCTGACATTCTATGCAGCTCGGGGTATAACTACGAGTATTAAGACATGTCGAAGTGAGCATTCTCGCCATGAATAAATTGAAATATAATTATTGTACATTAAACAGCGCTAAATCCAACTCACAACAGCACAAACCAATCCCCGGTAGTTGCTCCGCTACTTGCTTGGGTTAAATGTTCGAACGTCTCATCCGTTAGTTCTTTTACCAACGGTTCTTTATTCTCAGTGAACATGGTTAATATATCTTCATCGTTTAGACGTCCTAGAATAATAAATTGATATATAATTAACATCAGCTTTCCACTGAAAAACCGATTATAGTAATTTCCGTACCGTCGTATAGAAGCGGAATTCCATGCCTGAAAAATACCAACGCCGGTTCTTGGCTTATGGTGTAAAGTCGGAGCAACTGACTACTCACAGCTTTAACGACATAAGCATTTATGGAATCGACTAGATCTTCTCGCAAGTGAATCATCTCATTCTCATAATTATCGCACTGCTCGCAATTCTCTTTTGCTGTAAATACAGCGATCGTAAATTTCTAAATATCTGCCCGCAAGCATTAAAAAAATTGAAAAGAACTTACTAAACAACACGACCACATATTTTTCATTTTGTATGAGATTCATAAGATCATCGTCTGTTACCGTTTCCAGGGGAGATGCGATTATTCCGGAGAATAAAATTGTAATTGCAATTATTAATCGCAACATATTTAAATTATACGAAGAGTCGTCGCTCAGGTTCTCACACGTCAAATATGCCAACGTTGGGAAATTCAAGCATCGCTATGGATAATACAGTTTACACATTCCACCGGGTTTAGGTTATGTACTCTGGGCGTTTATTACGTATTTTGTACGAACGCGCTTACTTCTCGCACTTTCATCTCACGTGGGTTTATTCGCCGAATTACTTATTCGCTATATGAATGGTTTCGCATTTTCACCACGAAAAACGTTCCGTAATACCGTCAGTTACTCATTTTTCACATTTTCGCTCAATTTGCTTTACGTAATAGACCCCCTGTGCCGTTTTTAAGAGCCGTGTAAAAACAGGATTTAGGTTATCACTGCCCCATGAGTACTTTCCACAACCCGGTTTCCTATCTCGAACTACATTATCGAAGCAACGCCAGTTAATTTGGCATCGTTCCTACGAAAAAAGAGAGGTTAAAGATTAGCGTTTAGTAGTCCTTAGATTAAATCTGTAAATACATTTTATATTTATCAGCCTAGCGTATGTAATGGCTACTCCTACTAACGGTAACGGGAACATAGTGGACGAGTTCGAAGAAGCGTTTCAGGTAAATTCTAGCCCTAACTTCTAATAATACAGGATAAACGATGTCAGAACTGTACACTAATTATAATTAATAATTAATAGCATTGCCTGAATATCCTAACTAAGGATGAGAGCTTGAGCAGTAACGGCATCGGAACGTGTGGAGGATTAGCCGTGGACAAAGACGAAGCCCGGGCCGAAGTGGAACAAGTTACCCTGAGGTTCATAGACTTGGCGCGTCAGATGGAAGCGTTCTTTCTCCAAAAGCGATTTCTACTATCGGCATTGAAACCTGAGTTGGTCGTCAAAGAGGACATAAATGATTTGAAACTGGAATTGGTACGCAAGGAAGATCTCATAAAAAGGCATTACGACAAGATAGCAGTGTGGCAGAACCTGCTGGCCGATTTACAAGGCTGGGCGAAGTCCCCCGCACAAGGTCCTGCTCCGAACGGTGAGTAAATTTTCTACTCGTGGTGTTTCGATCTGTTTATACCTATTTTAATCTCGGAGACGATCTGACACGATCTCTTTCTCGATCAGGTCTCCCGAACGGTCAAGGGGGACAGGGCCAGCAGGGAGGGAACGGCAGCGGATCGGCCTTGCAGCAGCAACAGCAGCAGCAACTCTTGCAGCACCAGCAACAGCTGCAACAGCAGCAGCAGCAGTTGCAACAGATACAGCAACATCAAATGCAACAGCAGCAGCTACACCAACAACAGGTATTTAAGTAGCTCCGTTATCACCAAAGTTCAGACACATGCTTACAAACGGACTCTCATGCCAGAGATAACGAACTATTATATCAACCTGCCACGAGTGACGATGAATATCGGCCACGCTTTCAAGACTTACTCGTTAGTGACCGTATTAATGTAAGCATTACTTCTGAACGGCACCGTAGCCTTGTACATAGATGTTAAATTATCCATAGATTCTTTTCCGTGATATTAACGTCGTTTTTTCTATATCGTGTTATTGTTTATTAATGCATCGTTTATCAAAGTGCCCATACCGTGCTTTAATTAATATCCTTTAAGCCTAGTGGACATGAACGTATACAAAGAATAGTCGTTAAGTGTATCCTAACAGTTGAAATACTTGTTATGCGTTCAGGCTCGTAGAGAGTAAACTGAGAGAATCCTTCCGAAAGGTAGAGGAGATACTTCGAAGCTAAGAATAGTTTGAACCAAGTCGTACAAGCAGCAACGAACGCCATCGGGCTGCATCGAATCAGTGCCTTATAAAAGTCCTAACGCATACAAGAGACGGAGGAGAAAGTGCTCTTATTGTTTTGCCAAATAATGGAGAAAGAAAGGAAAATAATGAGTTGTGCCGAACCGTTTCGAAGGTAGACGCTTATTCTTTGTTCGAAGAGAGAACTATCGGGTGGACTGTTAAGACTAAATCGTAGATACGGATACAAACGGTGCCAAACACGAGTTGACGTGGAATTGCGTACAAATGTGTAGCCAAAAAAAGGGAGAGGAAGGTATGGAGATATATCGGAGACAATGGTGACATAGCCCGTAGGAGATTTAATTTCGCCGGCTTAAGAGGATACGAAAGGCGCTAAGATATTTAATCGACGTCGATAAAGTGAAATTCATTTATACCCTCTTTGGGGGAATGCCGTTTTGAATACTCAAGTGGTAACATAGGCTGGCGCGTCCCGTTACCGACATTTATATTTATGTCGAAGTCTTTTACGGTCATTTCGGTGAAGTAATGATAAAAAGATCGAGGTAAAACTGCCGAAATCCCATGAATTCATGACTCTTTATATTCTGACGATCCGACGTCGCCATCTGTGACGTTTAGCTGCAACTAAATTTTTCTTCCGAAACATGCGTTACCCACAGGACGAGCCAGCGTTCTCTCGCAATCGTTGATGAAAGTATTTCCCACATTTTCCCATCTGACCCTGTGATATTCGATTTCTACTAATTGGCACCCCCAATTCGGGGAATACTTTCCCCAACGATTTGACCTCTCATATACATAGGCTGACTCTTTCATATTCTCTTAAGGGCCTCCCTTAGATACTTCCTCGCAACGACTGACGCCATCGTTCTTTCCCGCGCTCGAGACGCGTTTTGAATTTAAGGATTAAACCGCGACATGAACTCTTGCAGCCACTCGCGAGCTTTATATGTACGTCTCCCCACTTTATGTCGCCGCCACGTGCGAGTAGACGTCTCTAGAATAAAACTCTGTTAACGGTGAAACGTTGTGCTTTCTTTCATTTACCACGCCTCTACCTGGATCGTCCTCGCCTCTCCTAAGGCTTTATAGTTTCCATTTTCCGAGGGTCTCTCTCTGTCTTCTCTCTTCTGTCGTCCGCCTTTTCACAAGCACCTCCGTGCCCGTTTTTCTTTTAACTTGATGTACCGAATCCTCTCAAACTTGACAACGTGAACATGGAGACTATAAGGAAGGTCCTGACCCTCATGAAGTATCATTTTTTTTTTTTTTTTCTAACAAATTTGAAGTTAAAGTTAAAGTTAGACTCGATTCGGTACGCTCATTTCGTATAAAAGTTTCACGAACTCCTTGACGCCACTTTCACATCCCCTTAACGCGCGCTCCTGTTCTCTCTCTCATGAAAGGCAAAATATGAAATCCGGAGGGGTGTAAACTACTGCAAAAACTGCGTTCGACGTTGCAGGTCCAGCAGGGCGGCGGAGCACCCTCGCCGGCGGGTATGCAGGGTGTCGGCGTCGGCGTCTCGGTGGGCCAGCAGGGGATGTTCATGAGCCAGGGCGGCGTCGGGGGGTCCCGAGCGGCCGGCTTCCCGGTGGGCGGCGTCGGCGTCGGCGTGGGGGGCGTCGTGGGCGTCGGCGTCGGGAGCGGGGCGCTCCAGGGCCCCCTGGCCTACCTGGAGAAGACGACGAGCAACATAGGGATGCCGGAGAGGCGGAGTTGACGCGGAAGGGGGAGGGGGCGGGGACGAGGTCGCGGGAGAGGTCGAGGTCGAGGTCGAGGCGGCGGGGGCAGCTTGCCGCCCCCACCGCCCCTCCACGACCCCTCGGACCCCTCGTCCTACGCGGCCGCCGTCGCGGCGCCCCTTCCCTCCCAGCAGCAGCAACCTCCCCCGTCCTGCACCTGAGACACCTGGCGGTACTCTTGCTCATCTCTTGCTCATCTCTTTTTTTACCTCCCTCCTCCCGTCCCTTCTTTCTCCCCTTCTCGACGCTCCGCCGTACGGATATCGTCTGTATCCATCCAGGGTACCCTGGCGGAGATGAAGGCCTCCCTGCAGATACGGCATCGCCTGTGCAGGATGGGAGGGCATTGATGTCTCCCAGTGTACAATGGCGGACATAAATGCCTCCCCTGCAGATACGGCATCGCCTGTGCAGGATGGGAGGGCATTGATGTCTCACTGTGTACACTGGGAGACATCCTGCACAGGCGATGTCGTATCTGCAGGGGAGGCATTTATGTCCAACTCGCAATCAGGTCGCAACATTGTCGAGAAACCCGGCGATTATTAATTACCCGGGCCGGTGCCTTTAAAAGCCGCCAGCCCGTAAATTCATGTACATAATAATGCGACCGATAGTTCTTATCATTCCCATGTACATACATAATTGCGTATTTCCTTAAGCGTACCTCCTAATAGACGTTAAATTACTTTCCCTCGGTTACTCGGTAATCCTCGTAACATAAGTCCGATACAATTACGTGCGATAACACGATACGATTGATAACGAGCGAATAAACTAGTGTGGAAAAACAATTGGTTGCTTTTATTATAATCTCCCGATCAGACTCCTAAGACTGTTTTTATTACATATCGGCCATTCTCGAGCCGCGAACCGCCGTACAGTGCTCGATTATTAATTTAATATTAATTCCAGGCTAACGGAGGAATAAACGTGGGAGGTCCAGCAAGTGGGGACTGTCTGTACAAAATGTGAAAAGATACCGAACAAAGAGTTGCAGCGATTCTTTAAGGGGATACGAAAGTGCCATAAATAAAGGGAGTCCCAAAGTTCACGCAAGGTTTGAATTTCCCGCTATCTGCGCGGTAGTGTTGCCAACGAAAAAGAAGAAAAAAAAAGACAGCGGGACAGCTTATAGTTCAGGGTTATTAATAATGGGGGCGCTACACGAAAGAACAACGGGTTTTCATTAAACTGGATCAATTAGTGATTATAAACACCCTGGCCGTGCTTAGACGCAAAACATCGAAGTAGTTCGTGGCCCTTTCATATCACCTTAACGTCCTATTATCCCCGTGAAGGGTTCGATTGTATCCTTACGGCCAAAACGGAACGGATTCGCGATCTCTCAATAAAGAAGTAGAACCCCCGCGCCATATCTATGAGTTTGCGTAGGCATATGTATATATTTATAGGCGTATTTATACGAGGAGGGCCGGGTGGGTATTCGTGTTCCCCAGGAGGGTGCGCTCCCCCAGCACCGAGTGGAATATACAGAGGTAACGAGACGATTAGGAGAGCTGCTGCAAGAACTGGACGATGGTGCGGGTGGGACGTCCCGTCATCCCCGGGGACATGTAAGGAATGTCGTCGTTAGTCGGGCCCATCACCCCGGCTATGTCTAGGTGCATCCAGGGCGCGTCCTCCCCGACGAACTCCCGGAGGAAGCCAGCTGCCGAACAGGCCCCGCCGGTCTTGCACTTGGAGACGTTGTTCAAGTCCGCGGCTTTAACTGACTCTGGAATAGCGAATGACAATTGTCAGGGCCCTTCCTACTAGCACTAGGGTCCTATTGTTTAAAGGGATCGTGTTTCACTTCATCTTAAATAATTGGGTAATTGGTACTTGTCATCTTATCGTTGTAGTACTGCCACAATGGGAACCGCCAGACCCGGTCTCCGGTGAGTGTTCCGGCAGTTCTCAGGTTCTCGTATAGAGGCGCGCAGTTGGTGAACACCCCGGTGGCAGCTCCTCCGAGGGCGATCCTCATGGCGCCGGTCAGGGTGGCAAGGTCCATCGTGAATCTGCGGGATAGTTAACGATAAGAGGATATGAAAGAGTCAGCCTATGTATATCTAATTATTATTCTTAATAATATAAATTTAATAATATACTTCTTAAAGTCAAATCAAGAAGTTCATACTTCGGATTGAACTCCTGGGCGTAACAGAGGGCGTCGGCGAGGATGAGCCGGCCTTCGGCGTCCGTGTTGTCGACGATTATCGTCTTCCCGTTCATCGCGACCACCAGGTCGCCTGGTTTGGTCGCACTCCCAGAAGGTAGGTTCTCGGTGAGAGGGATTAGCCCGACGATGTTCACTTTTAGCTGCAACTCAGCTGCCGCTTTAATGGACGCCACGACGGCAGCCGCTCCTCCCATGTCGGCGCGCATCTCGTCCATTTGGGCGGACGGCTGTTTCATAAACATCAGAATTTTATACGTTCTTTATACGTCGTATTATATACTTGGATTTGTTTATAATTATTGTAGGAAAACGACAGGTGGAGTATGCCATTTGGTACAATACCCAATATAATTCCACCAACGTCGACAACATAGGTATTAAAAAAAATCTTTATCGACGTCGATCAAGTTCCTCGACGTGTTTCACTTCACCATAACGCTAAAAGTGAGATATGAGGAAGGACCATACTCTTCTTAAAGCCCAGAGTCTCACCTTGATGCTGATGCCACCTGAGTCGAAGGTGACGCCCTTTCCTACAAGGGCGACGGGTTGCTGGGTAGGTTCCTGGGCACCTTTGTACGCGATTTCCAGAAATTTGGGCGGCTCGCAGCTTCCACGTGCCACGCTCAAGAAGGAGCCCATACCTTTTTGCTCTGCCCAGGCCTTATCGTGCACCTGTACTTGGACCCCGAGGGCGCTCAAGACGGAAGAAACCTGCTCCGAAAATATCGTGGGAGTCATCAGATTAGCAGGAGTGTCGGCGAGCTTGCGAGCCCAGTTCTGCGCCTCCGCCTTGATCATCCCAATCTTCCACTGTTGCCTGTAAAAAAAAATTAACAATTAGCTCCCTGAAATACCCCTCCATATATTTTTCCATTACATCATCTACATCCAGGGTTGGGTAAGTATAATAAAAAAATCCAGAAGTCCCATAGAACCGCAGATCGCCATAAGATTAAGAGAGACGGAGAGATGATTACAGCACCGCCATCGGTTGGCTAACGTACCATTCGTCCAGCATCGAAGGTCCGTATCCTTCTGGGCTTCTATGAAGGCTTCTGAATTATTTTTTTAATATACTTGAAAAACCTTGAAAAATGGGGAATTACCCAACTCTGTCCACATCCATACTCACTCGCCGATGTCTCCGTAGAGCGAAACTTCGGGCAGGACCTTTTGTTTCTCCTTTCGCTTGAACTCCTGAAAGAACCACAATCCAAGTCCTGCGCCCTCTGCTGCGGCTTCGGCATCCCCCAGGGGCTCCAGGTCGATCTTCTTGATTTCCACGCTGTCCAGGGCTCGGCACCCGGCTAGAAAATTCGGAATGAATGATAAATAAACCATTAATAGGGAAATAAAAAAATGGCTCGAATAAATAAATTTCCATATTACCTGCCGCAGCGGTGCGAATGTTTTCCTTCCCCTCGTGGACTTCCTCCAGGTCGTTGACGCCCAGGTTGTGCTTCCCCAGCCCGACGACAGCAACGGCGGCATAATCGGCATCGTCCAACCCCCAGAAAATCCGTGTATCTGCTTTGTTAATCTTTGGCCCGGCTCTAGGGATAATCGTTTAAACATTAATTGATTAATTCAGGATTCTGAATTAATGGATGGCTGATTCAGGATTCGTGGATTCTTATTGACAATCTTAAGCTTCGTTATAAAATAAATAGAAAATCAAGCGACAGCAGATCGAGGCAGGGACAAGACTTTCCGATGCACGGTCAAACATCAAGTCGTATATATTTATTATTTGCGACATAATCTAGGCTTTTCTGGACATCGATCGCTTGTGTTACAGGATGCTTCTTTACGTCATTAAAATATCCTCTTAAAATATACTATCTCTTACATATCTCATTAAATCGGCATTTATCGCGGGCCCATATACACACTCGATCCGATTTTGCCGCTAATCGTCCGACCGTGTGAAATTTACATTCAGGGTAAGTTAATTAACGTTTAGAGTCTCGAAAAAAAAAGGAAAAAAAAATAGATAACAGTCAACTGTTTATCAAGACGCTAAACGCACGTTTACAACCAACATTAATAAGGTACTTCTTCCGTGTCTAACATAGTGGGAAAACTATATACATTAACATGGCCCTACCGAAGCATTTAAACAAATAAAGAAAACAATAAAACACGATTATGTCGCACCCTCGACATTGGCACGAAAGAAATAGAACTCTCACATCGCCTAGTTATTTTTTTTCTTTCCTTTCCTTTTCTTTTTTTTCTACTACTGGCTCGGTACATCGAAGCAACTAGGTACAATGGCGGACATGAATGCCTCCCCTGCAGATACGACATCGCCTGTGCAGGATGGGAGGGCATTGAAGTCTCCCAATGTACAATGTAGACATGAATGCCTCCCCTGCAGATACGACATCGCCTGTGCAGGATGGGAGGGCATTGATGTCTCCCAGTGCACAACCGGAGCGTACACTAATGTTCCAACCGCAGGAAATAGATTTATAACTAGAGATCGGAAAGTTAGATGCGGCTTAAGGTGATATGAAAGTGTGATATATACACACCAAAAAGTCAAGATATTTATAAAATTTTTCTCCAAATTGTCTAAAACTTTAACACGTGATTATGGAGGCTCTAAGGAAGAACGTGCTGTCCGTAAAAATTCATTCTCCGAAAAAAAAAAATATATATCTTTTTTGGTACAAAAAATGAAATTTCATGGGCGTCAGAATCTTCCTTAGGATCTCCATATTCACGTTGTACAGTTTAACTCGATTCGGTGCACCCAGTTCAGAGAAAAGTTTCATAAACAAATCCTCTTCGACGGCACTTTCGCACCCCCTTAATGTAACATAGATCCCCCTTCCGATCGCAAGACGTACCCGCTACTAGCTTTGTCACCTCGTTGATCGCAAAATACTCCTAAACTATTTAAATCCTACATAATATATACACATTGAAAATGTCTGGCACGGTAATGAAAGGCCCTCCGGATACTTTTTTCCCTTTTCCTCTCCCTGACAAATCAGTATACACACCGAACGCATCGTTGGTAACGAGTTGTAGAGCAATTATAATTAATCTAATCACCACGTTTAATCGAACAATTGGATATACAAAATAAAGACGACAAATCATTCGATCCCCCCCAACAAATACCTGACTTAGTTCGGTAATGACTTTGTGCATTAATCGAATTCACTAAAGCAAACGTCTAGATCAGTCTCCGGATTAATTAAGCATGTCCTGGGGTGCAAAGCCTCTTCCCTCCCAGGACTGCCTTCCGGCATGGCCCTCCATCGAGTCTCCATTATCTTCGCTGTGCACCAAACAACTCCACTGTACATCGTTGACGAATAGAACACAATATGGATGCTACCAGGTCGCGGCAATTTAATATTACCACACTGATTCTAGAAACAACCCCAGAAAGCACGATTTTATGGTGTCGCCATTGCTCCGATATCCAAAAAAAACCTGGAGGAACATCGAGCAATAACCCTCTTCCTTCAAGATTTCTCTGCGATGCACACAAAGAATATTAAGACTTCAACAAGTTGCAGTTGATCACAAACAACGTGACCATTCTCCAATAATGGGACACTGGAATTCTCGTAGGAGAGTCATGGATGTCAATATACCGCAGGCTTTTTAAAAAATACAGAAGCCTGCGATGTGCCAAATCCATCGTGCAAGACCGAAGCATGATGCATCCATTCTCAAACTAATTCCAAGATCTTGACGATGCCCTGAGAATTGGCTGCAACGACTACGTTGGACATTTGTCTCCAGCAGACCGCGGAGACGAATTCATTGAGATCTTCCTCTCTTCTTTCCTGCAGCTCAAGGACACTTCTAACAGCATCGAATTTATATGAGAAGAGCTGCTTGGTCAGTCCCTTGTAATAGACATACAGTGCATTGTTCTCCGATCCACAGGCAACATAATCCCCATCCGTAGCGAGGCCCACAAAATTCTTCTCGTTGACGTGTCCGACAAAGGACCTCAAGCAATGAGGATTATTAATATTCCACATTTTCAATTGCGAGTCCGTGCTGGCCGACACTATTTCCTCCTTGTTAATAAACTTCACATAAGAGACGGCCTTACGGTGTCCCTTGAAGATACACAAGGCTTCCTTCATGTTGCGAAGGTCATAGTAATGGACACAATGGTCTGCCGATCCGAATGCTAGGTGACAAGAACTCCTGGGGTTGAACTTAACACCGCACACGTTAGCCTTAGCCTCTATCGAGGCAACCGAATGGTCTACGTTGAGAGACCAAAGTTTCACTCGGGCGTCATCGGAGCCAGATGCAATGAGTCGAGTGTCGACATCATTGAAATCCACCGACCAGCATCTCTTCTCGTGTTCTTGGAATGCTTTGATCTCCCTTCCCATCCCAGCATCCCAAACTGCCACGGTGCCCTCGTAGTCCGACGAAGCCAGCATGCCTTTATGATAAGAGTTCCAAGAGACGCAGGATATCTTTGAGCTGGAGACCATCTCCACGCAGGGATAATGGATATCAACGGTATCACGTATCACTGCACCATAATCGAACACCTTGATGCGCTTTGTTACCCCAGCTATTGCGAAGAACTCGTTGTCCTTATCGAACTCTATACTCGAGACTATGGTAGAATTGATAAATATATCGGAGGTGTAGTTGAAAGTGGCCAAAGGTCGTAGGGAATTGTACCTCGAGAACTTGACGAGGTTCTCCCTGAAGATGTCGAGGCCCGAATTGGTGCCATGCTCGATCTCAGGCTGCGATTGGGTTTTGTGCTGTCCGAATAACAGTTCCTTAGCTCTGGAGTCGAAATAACATTGAACGAAATCATCGAAATGAGCATGCATCCTTTTCCTGCGAACCGCCAAGGTGGAACCCACAGGCCGATCGCTGAGTTTCTGACCGATGCCAGTGCTATTAATACCTTCGATCTGACCTGTCATATTTGGCTCGTTAGGCTTCACCATATTTGAGTCTATTATGTCTATCAAGTCCATCATTTCCTTCCTAATGGCACAAACTTGAGCTGTATCGTTCTTGCTGGAGCGTTTCAAATCTTCTACCTTCGGGCATTTGCTCTGAACGTCTCTCAGGATGCTCTCCACCTCTTCCATGTCTCGTTTAATCAGAGCGACCTCCTTCTGCAGCTGTAGCCTTTGCTCTTCCTTTTGCTGCAGCAGGTGTTTCAGAAATTCATGGAGTAACTTGTTCTGCGCTGCACAAGATTCCGCTTCCAGCAGATGCTTCCTCTGCGTTAAAACTTCCAACATCACGTTGACATCTGGTAATGTCAAGTTTGCACTCTCCGCTGCCACAAAGTCTCTTAAGCCATCGCATGGAGGCACAGGCAACTCCGCTCCGAAGTTACTTCTGTTTCTTCCGTCTCCTGTGTGGACACATCCTAACTCCGAAATCCCTTTAACCCGAGTCTTGTATTTGGAGACTAAATCGTTCAATAAAAAATTGGGAAATATGTCCTGCTGTCCTAAATTGCTGCTACATTTCGGACACCGTCCATTTACCTCCAGGGATTTCACTATGCATCGGAAACAGAAGGTATGACCGCAGCGGGTTATGTGAGCTTCGTCGATAACTTCGAAGCAAATGGGGCATAAATAATCATTGTTTTTATCCTCGACTGATCCACCTATCCCATGGAATACATATGTCGACTGTAAATTCCGCTTCGGAGGTCTGGTTCCATAATCAGAAGTCTCTCCGCTACTCCCTGCCCCATTTCCATTCCCAATTGTCCCGCCACTGACACTCGACATCTCTCGACGACTCTTTCCACTTTAATACACGATATTTTTACGTCTTTGCTTTGCCATTAACTTTCTCGTTTCACATATACTTTACACCGTAATCACAGTTGAACATAAATTGCTGGTAAGATGCCAGGGTACGAGACGCGTAATACCAACTATCCTGTACGCAATAATCTTTTCAATTCTTCTGGTGCAGCGAGTCCATGGTTATTACATTGTAAACGCATATTACAATTCTTGTCCTAGCCTCTCCTGAAACAATCAAAATAATGCCAGTGAGCTCAGAAAGTGCGGGTAGGAATAGCTTTTGAAATTTCTCGAATGTAACAAAAGGTAGCGTAAAAGAAATCACTGTATTAGATGGCAAATGGAAAACGATGGAAAATATCGGGTAAAGCTCAGGCAGCATTATAACAATTGTTTCAGGCTGGAAAGGTGAATAAAATATTTAGAAACATGTTGTATCGGGTTTTGCTATGCGTTGTGAAAAGAAATAAGAATCCATGAGATCGGTATTAGTAAAAAAGAGAAACATCCGTAAAAATATGTCTTGTTCATGCGTCTAAATATTCCTAACCCCTTTGGTCTCTACGTAAGCCCACATATCTCTTAAGAGACGCAAGTATAAATTTCCACATATAAGTACAAGCACTAAGAGCACCTAAAAGAATATATTTGAACCATAAATTGCAGCTATCTAACCTCCAATACTCAAACAAGAACGGATTTAACCAATGAACCGAACATTAGACATCGAGTAGCAATGGCGAATTTTCTATCGGTACGAGATAACATTATCGAACTAATATCTGTATAATCTAGAGTGATAAAAGTATAACGATGTAATAAAAACCATATTTCACTTACAGGCAAATATTTTTCAGCAGTCTTCCATTAATGAGATCGTTATATTTGGCCGCAGTGGGTGTAAGTGTAACGCTATCGTTACCTTCCGTCTCGTAGACACCGAGCACCAATCCCTTCTGTAGTAACGAAACCCATGTACGTAATGAAAATACAGAATATAATAATGCCAGGAATAACAGAAAAATGTTTAGTCAAAGCTATGAAAACAGATAACTCGCAATGATACTTCAATTCCATTAAAAATCGGAATATATTAGTATCTGATAACACTATCACTCGCCATTTCGGAAAACGTGCCACTGGCGCGTTATCTTAATGTAACGTGCAATAAACCGTCCAGCTCGAATTTCCCTGATCCCGGAAGGATGAAATTATTATCCCGTAATAGCGTGAAATCCCCCGGTGAAAAATACCTTAAATGATTACCTTCATGTTAGAACAGCTGCTGAAAACTCGGGACTTCAAATTCCTACAATGTAACGTCTTCGCCCTGATAAAGCGTAATGCCATAATTTGCTCAGACTAGCAATTCATTGGTATTTTCGCAGCGGAAGCTACAGGAAGCTACGATAACCAACGACATCACACACACTGTTTTGAAGATGTGCGAGCTGAAATCGTAGGGATCGAAAATATTGCGGCCTTGCCTAAAGAGGAGTTTAATGGTGATTTCCGCCGCTGTGGAAGTAGCGCTGTGCTGGAATTTTTGTCCAAACCAGCTTTATATCACGTCGCCGGACGATTCCAATTCGTCCAAGGTCTGTAGCCGTTTCTATGGGCGTGCACGTCGCAATATATCGGCACAGCAGCGCCCTTACAACTCTGTACTCACCGCTGACTTGTAACCAGGTAGGTGTCGCTCTGTCCTTCTCTATCCCACAGCATAGCTACAGAGAAGGTATCTCTCTCTCTCCCATTCACTGAAGGATGTACATGCTTACTCCTGCGTGCGCAATGTCGCGCCGTTCCTTTTGAGGTTACTTGTTATTCGCATTATTCATGATTATATGTACAAGGAACAAGATTTGAAATATTAACAATGCAACGAATTTCCGTATTGATAAGGTGTGCGCTCGTTGTGATAATTTTTTACCTTTTAACTGTTTTAACGCTATCTTGATCATTTCAGCTCGGTATATGGAGAATACAATTTTAATTCATTTTCATTTTATTTATTCGATGTATTTACACATGTAACTTTATATTCACATAACGTATACGAATAATTACAAACCATGCTATTCTATGTTTCTAAATATACAAAGTATAAGCAATTATTTTTAGTCTCCGGACCAAAAAGAAGTGTAAATTTAGCGAGTAAGATATTCTCATTTGTTCGAATAAGTAGAGCTCTACCGCTTCTTCGCATGTGATTCACGTCCGCAACGCGAAGGATCTAGATATGTTCGATTTACTAGTTGAGAATTTAACTATCTACACTACAAAGAGTAAGTAGTTATGTGAGTTCGATTTATTTTACAGCTTTCCATGAACACACGGCTCTCTGGTCGTCCGGAGCCTGCCCAAAAGGTCTCGAACCGTCCGGTGCGATGTACTCGTTAACTTGGTAGTCCAAAAGTACGTCATAACAGTACACGTCGATGCCCAGTTGCTGCGAATTACAAATATGACTTTGAAGGATCAAAGAAAAAATGTACATAGTCTCTAATGATACATAAAATTAGCGTATAATTTATTATTCATACTTTCCTAATCAGAGTTAACTCATTGAGCCCATCGATCTTCGTTTTATATTAAACTTGAAAGAAGCAGATAAGGCAGTCGATAACGTTACTTGACATGTGTATGTTAATTACCTGAGTTAGCGGGCTTGTGTTGGTCGTAAATATTCCAGCAAATCCTTTTTGCCTCGCCAGGACTAAACAGTGCTCTTCCATTTCTCTCATTACGATAACATTTTCAGCAGACGTTAGGCTACTATTAGTTGCCATCATAAAACTGTGAAGGATTTGGCCCTTTCCCTTCGGCAGTCTGTTATCTCTGATCGGTCCTTCCAAATACTCTAAGAATTCGAAAACTATAGTCAGCTTCGAGGAGATCGACACTTCTGGTTCATCATGAGCGTCAAAGTTGAGTCCAACGGCGAGGACGTTATTCTCAGGTCGGTCCCCAATGGATTTAATTACAAAACTGAATCCTTTCTCGATTAATGGTTCCCACAGAGCCTCCACCAGCTCTCGATAATCTTCTCTGGTAATGTCCGGCATCAACCATTGTTCAAGATCAGCCTTCGAGTAGAAACTATCCGTCACCATTCTGAAATATTATTTGATAGATTATTTTTCTTATACTCGAAACAAGTATTTCTCAATTCTTCCTCTAGCATATCATTTATATCGATCATCTACCTTATGACGTCTTCTTTGTGGGATTCGTTTAATTCTTCGAGCACATGCTCCTCGAGGTTCACCGTCTCCAGGAATGAATCGGAGTCAGTACCGATCTTCATTTTACTCAGGATACCCCTCATGTCCTTCGCCTTGATAAAGTCTGTAATCCCTATGTAATAGCCTTGATCTCTCAGCTTGGTCACCGTGTAAACAGAGTTCAATGAATTTCCACCAAGTTCATAGAAGTTCGAGTTGACCGATATAGTCTGTCTAACGCTGTGCCCAATTACAGATGCCACCGTGGGGAAGAGGATCTTCGCAGCAGCATGGAGTTCCTCGGGCACGCCATCGTAGTCGCAGTCGATCGTGCGATCGTGATCTAAAATGAAAAGCTGGCAGTGTGACGATACCCTTGGACCAAGTTTCAGGGGAAAAAAAAGAGAATTGTGGCGACCTTCCGATGCCCAAAACGAACTCCATCTGTCATGGTACTCCGACAGCTCATGGTCAGTGTCTCGATGCGAATCATAGAGGTCTAAGATAAATAGAACCTTACCATTTTTATTTTTTGTCTCGTACAGCGTCAATAACGCATGCCTGTCCGTTTTGCCGTTTACAAGAAGCGGAATGGAATCAACAGTGACCACCTGGGGAATCATGTAAGGGGGCAATCTGCTTCGTAGATGAGCTTCGATGCAGGACTCCGATACGTAAGCATCTCCCGTAGTGGTTACGAAGGCTACTAGTGTCTGGAATTGAGACATAATTTTATTCAGTCTCACCGGTGTGAATTAATGCAACTACTTTTGCAATGGGATGTAAAGACGTTGACATTGACAGCTGTTCGGTGAGTACACATTTAGAAGGTCGTATAGAATTAGCTTCGGTGCATGTTTAATTCTAATTACCTGGGACAGTTCGCCAGGTTTGTAGCAAAGGACGACTGCTTTATTAATCATCGGCGCAGTCGAGAGTACTTTCTCAACTTCCGTAAGGTCGACCCGATGGCCTCTTATCTTTACTTGAGAGTCCTTACGGCCTTCGTAGATCAGGACACCCTTGACGATCTTTGCGTAGTCGCCCGTTCGGAAGATCCTCGAATATTCTGAAAAGGACCGAAGAGGAACCTAGTCAATGGGGAATTTCAAAGGATTACGATCATCCTCGGTGGTAAATAAATTATTTTTAAGATAGCGTTACGTGGGTCGACCGTGTGAGGATTCTGCAGGAACTTCGTCGAGTCCTTTCCCCTGATGTATCCTGCGGATAGATTCCTCCCGGTGACTATCAGCTCTCCGATTTCCCCTTGAGGTACGATTTGCAGATCCTCGTTAACCAGATAAACAATTGTATTGTCCACGGGTTTCCCTGGAAGAGGAAATTTAAATGAAATAAATTATTATAAAAGAAATGAATTCGGAGAGATCGACCTTGGGATACCTTCCTTCTAACTTTTTACAACTACTCACCGATGGGAACTTTGTCCACCTCTTCCAGGTCGCTGAGATCCTTCAGGATGTGGTAGGTCACGTCTCCCATCACCTCGGTACTCCCGTAGAAGTTTGCGAGTACGTAATCTCTATTTGGGAACCTCTTGAAGAATTGCTCCGCTAGTGACGGCATAAGAGTCTCCCCGGAACATATCCAAAGCTTCAGAGCGTCTAGGGCGCCCCTTTCGTCCTAAAACCCCGAAGAAGGACCTTGAGTAGCGATGGAAATAGTACCTCGCGATTAGTATCGATTCCTAACAGTATAACCGATACTTCGGTACTTTGTTACCGCATCAGTTATAATCTATTGTTATGTATCGCTCTAAAAGGTATCAATATCGAATATTGATGCCAAGTATCTCACTTTTTATGTTTTCGATACCTCGGAATGAATACCAGAGAATTGAATTATTGCAATATTATCATTAGATATCGCATCAGTCCCATCGCTAGTCTCGAGTCGCTTTAGCAATTCCGAAAGTACCGTCCTAACAATAGAGGCCGTACCTGGAGACTTAAGTACATGAGCAAAGATTGCAGCAACGAGGGCACCAGAACCAATCGCTGAATCTGGGGAAAGAGGAATCGATTATTCTTCGGATTTAGATTTAATTTCTATCGTACCGCCGTTAAAATAGTCACCTTGTGGTCGTCGAGTACTTGTATGAATGCCTGCGGATCTTTTGTAACGTGCTTCGGTATTACGACCAATGTACGACCTTGTAAGAGCGGACCCCAAATTTCGGAAACACTGTCGACAAATGTTAACGCTGTCTTGAAGATACACCGAGTCTCCTCTCGTTGATAAGGGAAAAGTCCCCATTGCCACTGCAGTCGGTTTAATATGGTACGATGAGGCAACTTTACCCCTGTGGTTAAAAACAATTATTATCATCCGACGTTTATTTTTCAAAGTTCAAAGAACGGCTTTGATAAATAATTATTCAATCAGGATCAACCTTTCGGGACTCCGGTGCTTCCCGACGTGTACAGGACGATGGCGATCTGTTCGGGATCCTTTTTATCCTGGACGATAGTCTCCCCCTTTTCGAATTCGGCCTCTTTGATAAGCTGCGAGTACGTGATAACCGGGGTCCCTTCATAAATTGACGCGTCCTCTAAAACAGGAGTAATTATTACCACTCATCTAATGCACCGAGACTCGAGTGGGATTAATTTTAATTAGCACTTTTTATATGCAAAACCAAGCGTAAATGCGTACACGCAAGTGGATGTAAAGTATTCCTCACCTTTATCATCTACTATCGCCAATATCGGCTCGGCATCCTGCAGGATGTGTTTAATTCGAGAGCTTGGAAAATCAGGATCTAATGGCAGATATGCCTTATCAGCCTTTAAAATTGATAACAATGTAATCGGCAAACAATTGGTAGGTCTCATTGATACGGCCACGACGGAATCCTTATCTTCATCCTGACTGTATCCTCGAATAACCGCAGCTAGTCTGTTCGTCAAGTCTTCCAAATCTCCATACGATATGCTGCGATCCTTATCGGTGCCGTCTGAAAGAGAGGATAAGAGAAGAGAAAAAAAAGCAATGACGAGGAATCGATTAATTTAAATATAAAATTGGGAAAGATATGGGTAATTAATTAGTAGTAATTAAAGTACATACGCTCGTAAACAATGGCCGGGTGGCTGGAGCATTTTGCGGCGATTTGTCCGAAGATTTTGTGCAGTTTAAACTGATCGTTCCTGCGGGATACGAAGCTGCCTTTCAATACTGACTGAAGTTGAAGGGAACCCATCTGTAAAGAGTCATTACAGTAATTACGGTCATTAAGGTGAAGAGACACACGTCGAGTAACTTAATCGACGTCGATAAAGATTTTTCTAAATGCCTACGCCTTAAATCGATCCATCGAAGAGAAATCAAGGATCACTCGGGTTTAATAGCTTCACCAATGTCCTAATTACTTTAATTGCTTCATTGATTAGCAGTTAACGATACTATTTACTCGATAGGGAATCGTCCCAAGAGGTGAGGAACGGATTTGGCAACGACTGTCGATTTCATTTCGACATCGCGGGATGTGGTTTCGACAGGATGCTTGCTCAGCTGATTACGCATTTGTGGGATTAAGAGGATATGAAAGAGTCAGCCTGTACATATCTAATTATTCTTCTCAGTAACATACTTCTATGTTATGTGGCTTAATAATATAAATCTAATAATATAATTATTAAAGTCAAATCCTTGGGAAAAGTATTCCCCCGAGTTGGGGGTGCCGATTAGTTTGAAATTTCCCCATGGGAATGTGGAGGCGCTTAAGTAGGTAATTTCAAAGTATACACGTGTACATGAAAGCAAACACATGTAAACATATTTCTTGGGCAGGTTAATCGTCAGGCCGCGCATAATTCGCTGCTCTTCCACGAAGGCTCGTAAAAAGAGAGAAAAAAAAAAGAGCGTACCAGAGCCATTTTACAATGTTATGAAACATACGAGTTAAGGTAATAACCGGGTTTACGGAATGCTCTAAAATACTAATTGCGCGCAACCGATTTATAATTACCGATAGTAAAATAACCAAATCCGTTCCATTGTACGTTCAACGAGGCTCAATTACTCCCACTGAGTCAGACACCACTACATGCGCGTTCCTCTAAACATTTTACGCTAACCCAGATATACTTAATCCATACTTTAATCGAGCAGCAACGAGCAATAGGCTCTGAATAGTCTCCAATTGCGACCGAATAAAATTCCCCCCCATACGTTAACGACGTCGCAAATGTCGACTTTAATCTGAGAAAAAAAAATTTTCCTTCGGTTAGATGAATTTTATTTATTTCTTTATTTATTTTTTAATTCAGTGCACTCTTGTAAATGACGCTTTTCCTGGTTGTACGTTAAATTCATGTGATAGAGTACCTCGTGGTATTATTTTCTTCCGAGCCATCGGCTAGACGACACGATGAACTGCACCACCCAAGAAATGAACTCATTAATAATTAATAACTCGGGGGTGATAAGCCGGAAGTCGATGTTTATAGATTTATCACGGGCAGATGTTACTTAGGTAAGTATGGAATTTATTGGAAGTCACCTAAACATTGGGATTAGACATCACTCTGGAGTTAGTCAACTCACCGTTATTTTACGCTTTCAGGTCCACCGAACAGGAATGGGCCACTCTCACCTCACGAATTGCCGCAAGACTCCACTTTCGTTTATTGCAAATCGGCCGCCACCTGCCAGACCTCACGGATTATTACTACCACTTGAAACGCACTTACGCACCATGCACCATGCACCATGCACCATGCACCATGCACCATGCACCTAGGAGGCGGTTATGTTCCCACCTTCCTCTACCTGACAGCTCTCACTCCGAATTCTGCCGACGAAAACGCACCTCGTCCCCTGCGGATATTACGCACACCCGTAGGAACGGATCTGCTCGGCCGCGATGCGAGCAGCCCGATGGTTACCATGCGACTGTCCGGTTCATCTGACGTAGCAGCCTTTTATACCCAACCGATCTCGAGGACCCTGAATTGTTTGCCCTCGCAACGTCCGTCAACTTGGACGGATGCGTGACGAAAATCGCCGGTTTTTAGGGAAGATCAAAGCTAGGAGCCGTTTTATGTCTAGCTGACCGAAATCCATCTAATTCTTGTCTAGTTATATCCAATAAGACTTGTACAACGCGGCGCACATCTCGGTGCACCGAAATTCGTTCAATCCTCGTCTAGTTACATCCACTATGGACCGTACACTTTGCGCGCACTTCGATGCACCGATAATGTCGCCGATAGTCCAGGTAGTGCCTTCAGGGAGAAAAAAATATTACGGACTATCAGTCATGGTGTTTTTTGGCACGTCACGTTACGCGTTAAAAACGCCATTACTTATGCGTCAACCTAATAAGAGTACGTAGTTACTCGCTACTTTCTCTGGTAATTCTCTCCCGACAGAACTTGTCCTAACTTTCGGAGCCGCTCGAATTTTCCTCGCTTTCGGATCCACCATTCGAGAAGGATGTGGCTTTTGTGCGAGCGAGACACAAAAGAGGAAAGTCCAATCATGCACTGAAATGGTACGGTCGCTCGTGCGTCAAATACGGCTTAGAATTTACTCAGGTGACGGAGGTGCGTGTAGAATGGCGGACGTGAATTCTTCCCCTGCAGATACGGCATTGCCTGTGCAGGATGGGAGGGCATCGATGTCTCCCAGTGTACCCCGCGGACACGAATGCCTCCCTTGCAGGTACGACATCGCCTGTGCAGGATGGGAGGGCATCGATGTCTCCCAGTGTACCCGCGTGAATTACCCACAAGAAGAGAGCGATAGATTAGCCTCTAAACTCGGATTAAATCTCGAGACAACTCCCGCCAACGAGAGGAACCGATCCACCGGCCTCGGATTTGCATCTCGTTCTCCTTTCTCCACCTCTCTTATTTTTTGTCTCTTTCCTCGGGTACCCGACCAGATACCCAGGAGGCAAAGAAGGCCCCGGAGACCTGGATCTCTCACTTTTTGTTTTTTTTTTCCTGCCTCCTAGCTTCTGGTTTTCCCGCCGTTACTCATTGTACACCGATGGCCGCGGATGCGATGAAGTCTCTGCACAAGCGACGTCGTCTGCAAGGAGGGAAGGCGCATTCATGTCCATCGTTGTACAATGACGAATGCGAATGCCTTTCCTTCTCGCGGCAGACGTCGTACAGGGAAGGTACACCTGTTTACCTGTATGAATAGCTCTAGGATCTTCTCACAGGTGCGACGACCTGCGGCGACTTTTCACCGCGTGCGGTAATACTGAGCGTCATCGTCATTAAGGTGGAGTGAAACACGTCGAGGAATTCGATCGACGTCGGTAAAAGAATTCCCCTAAATACCTACGTTGCCGTACGCCTAACGCGCGACAATGCCCAGTAATCCTGAAGAGGGAAGACATTTTTTAATGAGTCTCTTTCCATCTTCCTCGATTGCCTACACATCGTCCGAGGTCGCTCCTTCGTACGCACTGTTCTAATCACGCGTCCGTTGCTCCTGATAGTAGGACACAATACTTTTTAAAGATCCAAGGACTTTTTCTTATTACCTTCGCGGTTATTCCCGTTACATGGATTTCATAATGCGAGCGGAACACCTCTTTATAACTCCTATCTCTGATACATAATGCAAGATTTGTAGCAATAGCGGATTGTGTTTATAGACAATAATGAGGCCGTTCCGCGTTATAGACACGTAATGGAAGCGAGATCACCGCGCAAAAGTTAAGAGGATATGAAAGGCGCTAAGAAATTTAATTTACGTCAATAAATTAAAAAAAGCCAAGGGGGGTGGCAACAATCAGCCGCATTTCTATGCATTTCCCGGGCGGAATGAAATGCGCTCGTTATGCAATCACAGATATACGAACGAGATGAGCAGCTTCGTCAGTACTGTTACCGTGTCCCTAAGGTAATGAGCTCAGGTTTCTAAGTCAATTTGTAAACGGTTCTCATGCCTCGAGCCTACGATGACTAACGCGTCGGATCTCTGATAAGGAGTCTCGATAATCGTAGGAGTCGACTTGCAGACTATTTTTGTAGAAACGGTCGAACAAGATTTCACTGACGTCACAAAATCCCAAGTAGAACACAACCTTGGCCACAACATGGTTCGTTATGTGAATGTTGAAACATGCATACCGGTATAATTTCCCAAAATGTTTACAAATATTATTGGGCAAAAATCCGAATTTGTTATACGACCAATATTTAAGCGATATTGCTTCTCTACTTGGTGCGCAATTGCGAGTTTCCAATAACGTTAGCCGGTTTGAGAATTCCTTGCGACGACCTCGGTTAAAATCCAATAAGTGCATTATGCACTCCACCCTGGCTTCCTTATAAAGCCTTAACTTTTCAATACCAAGGTTCGTAGTGCGAGAGGGACCTCCACTGTGTTTTCATCCACGATAGGTCTAGTTGCGAAAGGGATAGGGTCCCGAATTTCCATCGCCTCTTTTGATAACTCCCTAAGCCTTAAAGAAGAAGTTGCGCTCCCCTAAGACCAGCGTTAATTATAAAGAAAATACCGAAAAAAACATCGACCCATTTGTGATAAAGTGTTAAGAGACTAGATCTGGTCTCAAGAGAGGAATTCCGAAATTCATTGATTCTTGAAGGCCTCCATCGATCAGGGACGATGCCGATGTGACCGTCCCATAATCGGGGTCTGATCCGCGTTGATTAAGATATTCATTCTAATTATGAAGTACATATGTGCGGGGCTTGTGATTGCAATTGTCGCGGCATGTACTTGCGGAGCTCGCGGTGATTGCACCTCGCGTACGCAGATTTCCTTTCTTACGAGCCTCCACGATGACCCGACTTGCAGAAGACTATCACCTAAGGGTGTTCTTTTAGCCGAAGCTTCGCAGTTCTTGATAGAGGCTCACAACAATCGCACCAGTGGGAACAAAATAGGTGAACTAACTGTCCAATAAGCACGTACAAGTTAAATCTACGTTTCTGAAACGTTATATCCGTTAAATCAACGTCTCGGTTTGAAGAAAGCCGACGTCGACTTTTTATTCATTTCTTCACAATTTTCTGATATGAGTTTTTAATTTTATCATACTATTTTATAATTTCGTAAAAGCGCGAGGGGTATGGTTATACTTTTGTTGCTACATTGTCACAGAGGTTGCTGTACTGGATACTTGTAACAGTATCACAGGTGCGGTTAAAGCGACGATGAAGGCATTAGTTCTGGCGGACATGAATTGTCTGCAGCCACCGCAACATCTAGGCAAGCGCTATTTAATTGTTTCTATTTTTTGTTTAATATTTAAATTTAATCCCGGACTTGGCATTCCCGCATCCTCCCTGGTGAATTTCAATGGTTAATAATTTATTTACTTATTTTACCCCAGGTTTCATCGGACCGGACAGCGCGTCCAATGTAGAGGCGGTGCAGAAAGTCACGTCCGTCCTCAAAGTGCCACATATCGTTAAAAAATCCTCCGACTCGCCGTACATGCACCGTTTGGTCAAAGAATCGGACTCCTACATCGTGCAGGTTGATAGGAAAATTATTTAATTAATTTCTCCTACGTTAAGGTGATATTTTAATTTTATTTTTATTTTTCCATTTAATACAATACTCAATATAATTCGATACGGCTGTCGATATAAAAACCAACGTCGGAAACGTAGATATTTAGAGGAATCCTTTTACCGACGTCGATAAAGTTCCTCGACGCGTTTCACATCACCTTAATTCGAGATACACCTTCGTTTCTTTCGATCGGGGTGTTTCGGTCTCGGAAAAAAAGAAAATAGGAAATTTATAGTTCTGTTTACTTAAACTATTCGTTAGTCTTTGCGAATTCTAATCACCGCAAACGCTGATTGCACTTTTATCGCCGTTTTAATAGTTCGGGTAAGAAGTAAATCATCCATTCTGACTGCTGGCGCGTCTCAAAATTTCCATTGTGATTTCAGGGCACTTTGAAGGTAATTGAAGCCTTGAAATGGAAATCGTTCACTTTGGTGGCTTATCCCGATGAAGACGGAGAGGACGACATACAAAATATCGCCCGGAAGCTCACCAATGGAGCCATTTTGAAAAACTTGTGCGTAATGGTGCACGATGACGAGAGTGACGGTATGGCATAATTAATATTGTACGGATTGTACGTCGAAATGACTCCGGGTTCAAGGGGTTAATTACGCTTCACTCGTCCTAATTACTTTCAGATTTTACGTCCCACGTTGTACACATCGGACAGCCCGAGCCTGGGTTTTTGTCGAAACCGGCTAACGCTACCATTTTAGTGGTTAGCGAAGGAAACGTGGAGGAACTCCTTAATGGCATGAACACCACGAACACGGTTCTTCTTCTTGAAGATGCGAGGTACTTCTTTTTATCGATTTTAAGAGGATGTTAAAGAGTCAGGCTATGTATATCTGAGAAGTCAAATCGGTGGGGAAAGTATTCCCCGTCGGGCTTCATAAGAGATCTCATTATTTTAAGTATGCAAAATGTTTTCTCGGTCCACCGAACATTCTGCCCATCAAACCAGTCATAAATACTGAGAAAAATGTCCGATTTATTGTAAATCGGGGTAATTATTTCAGGAATATAAATTGTTATTAACTAAGTGGATCGGTGAACGGCACGGTGACCATGATGTTTGCGTTTTGTGTCTTAAGCTGAAGTGAAAAGTTTCTTAACTTAGCTTCATAAGAGATCTCTTTTTTTTAAGTATGCAAAATGGTTTCTCGGTCCACCGAACATTCTGCCCATCAAGCCAGTCATAAATACTGAGAAAAATGTCCGATTTATTGTAAATCGGGGTAATTATTTCAGGAATATAAATTGTTATTAACTAAGTGGACCGGTGAACGGCACGGTGACCATGATGAAGTGAAAAGTTTCTTAACTTAGCCCAGACAAGAACTAAAATGGCGTCGAGCTCTGATATTTCGATCTCGACGTGTTTCACTTCACCTTAACCAAGTTAACCTTCGGTCTCGATGGATTGCACCTAGAAATAACGTGACTATTCATTTGCGTATATTTAAATAATGCGAATGAGACACAGACAATGAACTTGCCGAGATGCCGTTCTGCATCTTTCAATGACGCCAATCAATGTGCTAATAATCCAATGTCCATTAGATCTCGTTTAATAAACGGTACATATTGCGTAGCAGTCGACGAGCAATGAAACAATGTCGTTCTTCCAACTTTCTTTCTTTTTTCTTGTCATTTCTTCATACGAATTGAATTTCCTTCTCTCTACTTTCATGTTTTTTGCAAAAAAATTTCGCCGACAAAGAAATTTTACATTGTTGCAACAAAATCGGTCAGATACGTCGTAAGAAATATCGGAGTAAATAAATTTGTTTATAGCTTTGAATAGAATTGTTTTTTGGGATTATCTATGATTTAAGCAATAATATATATGTTTCGGTCAAGTAATGTTTTTTTTTCTCGGTGCATATGTAATCCCGGATGATTGCACTGTTATCAAATTACCTATAGAGTAAAATTAATAGTCATTTAAATATTCCTCTTTCTCGTCATTTGTCATTTTTTTATCCGCGATCGTAATTCTCGGCTACAGCTAGTAATCAATATCGACAATGAAGGTAAACCCCGTTTCGACTTTTGTCCAAGGCTGTGCGAATACCGTAATCACTTTCCAGTCAATTTCATGATTATGCAAATTACTGTAAACCCTCCCGCGGAAATGAGGCCTCTCTTATGTGCATGCTCTACGACTTCTAACAATTAACATTAAAAATGCCAAGGTGAATCCTTTCCCATTGTTTGCCTCTCTTCCATGAGAGTGCAAAATTGTTTATTAAGAGGGAATTGTAAATTAAAAGACAATCGCGCCTCGCATACAATTTATTCATACGTGAAACGAGGTCTTGCGGAGTATGACGAGGATTTCCGCATTTCGTACTTCACCTCAGGTATTGCCCGCAATTTGCAAGTAAATAGCTGTTCGCAGAGAGCCTTGGCCGATACCGTGAAAGAGTACGTGCAATGTTAAACAACAAAAGAAAAAAACATAAAAAATGCCGCAAGTGAGCGAGATGAATGAATGAATTACGAAGGAGTACTATAAAAATGAGACTATCGTTACATACTCATTACATATGTTCATATCTATCCACTGTTATTTGTTAATCCAAGTTATGCAGCCGTTTGGTGTTCAGTGGATAAAAGATAAATTTTTTAGAGACGACCTCGATGGTTTGGAGAGTCGAGTCCTGAATTCGAAGTTATGGTCAAATGACCAAGCCACATACGACGCCGAAGAGTTAAGAGACGTTCGTTGGCTAGAAGACGCCATCTTGGTGTACACAAAATCCCTGGAAACGGTCTGGTGCGCCTAAAATCAATAACCAATATATATAAACTTTAAATAATTCTCTCACCCCAATGTCCGGTTAATTTTCCAGTAAGAAGAAGAAGTGCAGGAACCCGTTGAACCCCGTCGAGTGGAACAACGTGGTGGAGGGTGCGACGTCGAAACAGAACACGGACTCTACGACGGGGTCCAGGACCCTGGAGCTGTTCATGAAGGGTTCATCACCCACGGTGGAGGAATTGGGTAAGATTGTCGTTAACAAGGGAGCCGCGAAGATCTACTGGAGAGGCCAGGAGGTGGGAAGCGACGAAGACGACGACGACAGCGAGGAGGAAAGCGACGCCATTCCGAAGACGCTGAAAAAGGTCCTCGCCAAGGGTAAGGACGTTCGTTCGGGGTGCGCGACATCCGGCAAAGAGATCAAGACCCTGACGGAGGACGACGAGCAGGAAGCTGCTCACATAGTCGTCTCGGAAATGGACGATAGCGAGTGGTGGACCATGGTGAGTCCTTAGAGTGGATTTACTGACGGTACAATGATCTTCCCAAACAATGGAACCTTTTAACCGGGGTTTTAACCGGGGTTTAACCGATCCCTAGGTCGGCACTGTAAGCGGCGTTGGGGTGGCGATGTTCGCCGTGGGCATTCTTGCCGTGTACATCCTTTATTCCAATATTCGGGGCCCTAGAAGCCCAAAAGGGAAGACTAGAACACTAGAGCGAGATACTAGCCTGAGGAGAGTCGGCAGTGACCGGGAATTGCCTTCCACGATAACCAGGAACACCCGTCCACAAAGGGGACCGCAAAGGAGAGACAGCAACAGAAGCATAAGAAGCAACATATCCGATAAAAGCGTATGAAGGGAGCTTTCGATTATGGATGTTAGTAATCGAATACTAATTGTAAGGACAAGGTTACGCCGGAAGTGATGAATTATTAGCGTAATGGGGTTACCAACAACTAGGTACTTCAACGAGGGAATATTGGCTATTGTTCCCGTCACTCCACTTAATCAAGCAACCAACAGCGATTATATAACAGGGTCTTCGCAGACAATTCCCGAATCGATGGTTTAACCTTCACCTGTTGTGAGAAAGAAAATCGAAAACCATCCATGGATCACACTATATGCACGTGGAAAGAGATTCGAAAGTGGTTAGGTATCGCGACAGGGAGAGAAATAAATTGTAGATAAATTCAACAATTGTCATATGTATTTATTGATATAAACAATGGTTATATCTATTCTTCATTTCACGAAGCGATCCATCGTTCGTGAATATTCTCGGACTATTGCGAGAGAGAGATTTTCTCGCAACCTGTGAGAATTGTTCCGACAATGAAACGCTATAGTCTTAACTAGGAGAGGTCTCTTTGGCGGCAAACCCCTTTACCAGTGTCCCTGATATAACGTTGATACGCAGAATTGGAACGTCAAAGGCGCGTATGTATAACGAAATATCAAGTCTCCTTGACAAACCTTTGATCAGAGGATAATGAGCCAATTAGGACGCGAGCACAACTGGTCCGAATTCTCCCCGTCTCCTGTTTATCCCGAGAGGGAAACGTGAGAGCAAAAGCCTCATCCGATACGCGTCGAGTCTTAAACTCCTTAAGGTGATATTCGTACCAAAAAGTCAAGATACTTTGCCTTTTCGGTACGTATATATCACCTCGAGGTCTGCAATTAGAGGCCCCAAGTGGGATCGAAATTCCGCAACATATATCCTCCTCGATCGTTGTCGATTTATCGCTGTAAGTTTTCCGGGGAGAAGGGAAGGAAAAAAAAGGTAAGCGATCGGGAAATCTGGTCACGCCCGGCCTCGGGGAGGGAAAGGGCTTTTCCTCGGGCACTCGGCCATTAAGTGGAGGAAAAGCCGGAGGCCGGTGGGATTAAGAGCCATCGGAGATTCTCGCGAAGGGTCAGCCTCCTCTTCGATTGTCTCCCCCGAGGCGGTCCTCGCCAATTAGTCGCCATTATCCTCCCGAGGATCGCATTTCCCCGGGTGGGAAAAATCAATCCCGCCCCCCCGCGATTAATTGGAAACGTTCCTCTTCGGCGATTCCCGAGGAGGCTGACGGACCGAGGGCGGAATTAATAGCGAAGGACCTTGCGGAAGCGATTATTCAATTGCCCTCCTCGAGGTGGAGGAGCGGGTCCTTTTCTTTTTCCTTTTTCAAATAAAATCACTTTGAGGTCGAGGATCAGGCGAAATCTCTTTAGCGTTGGAATTTGTCGAGTCGATTTAATTTTTTTTTCTTTTCTTTTCGTTTTCTTCATTTAATTTTTTCCGTCATTTTCTTAATTTAATTTCTTTTCCTTTTGCTCTTCCCGTCATTTTCTTGATTTAATTTTGATTGCTCGACCGAGGAGGGGAAAAGGGGAAGACTGCGAAGGGCTCGAATAAAACGCGGACGAGGGCGTAATATTCCGCATGCGGAAGCGGGAGTTTAGGATTACGAGCGAACGAGCGCGAGAGATTTCTATCCGGATCGCGGAGGAGCCGGAAATCGCGGCGAGGATCGACGAGGGAGGAAAAAGGACGAAGGGGGAAGGACGAAGGAGGAACTTAAGGACACCGTAAAAGTTAAGGTCCGACCTCCGAGGTCGACCGAGGTGTCGGAGGCGTTTTTCGAACGATCGGTGCAATTCGATCGAGACCGTAAACTCCGACCCGAAGAAGAGTTCCTATCGTAAAAGACGTAGAGGTGGCCGCGCGAGGAACGATAAATCTGGACAAATTTAATTGCCCGCGACGGATCGTTGGCGATGTTTCGAGCTTAGTGAATCCTCCGGTAAAATGATTAATCGCGGCGATAAATTTGTGCAGATCGATCGGCGGAAATTTAATTGAACCCGACAGATCGTTGCCGATGTTTTCACTTTCGATTTTTTCGATGCCGGAAAGTTCGCGTTATAGTCGCGATAATAATTCGTAGTGACTATTCGTCGAATCGAACGCGAGTCGCGGATCTTTTCCAGGAGGGTCTCCTCGAGGAGGAAAAGCCCGTCGCCGATTTTCCCGGGGAATGTCCTCGCGAAATTGGAAATGGGAACTCGTCCCCTCCGATAATCCTCAACCGGATATCCTGTTCGGGGCAGGAACGTCGAGCTCCTGTCGCGGAAATTAAAAAAGTCCGGCGAGCAGATGGCGAGCAGGACTTTTTTCCCGATAAGACGACGACGCGTTTCCTTTTGTCTCGACTTTTCCGGAAAATCTGATATATCCCAAATGAAATTTTTCATATTCCTTGGAACCTTTAAACGTAAGCCTTGAATGGATTATTCGATCTCGCAATTTCGTACACCCAGTTAGAGGAGAAGTTTCATGAACCAGATCCTTCGGATCTCACTTCGTATCATTCATATCACCTTAAGGAGAGATTTCACTTGAAAAAATTGTTATAAACAAATTTATGCAGAAATGAAATTTTAGTGGGCGTCAGGTCTCCATTTTCGCTTAGTAAATTTTCAAACAAGTATATAACAATTTGGAGAAAAGTTTCATAAACCATTAATCTCTCGGTTGTTTCTTTCGTACAAATGACAGGAAGCGAAATCGCTTAAACAATAAAATCCGCTGCGGAACGGAGCGCGCAAGCTCCCTCGAAAATTCCGTCGAAATTCCGCGCGGCGGGCCGCGTCTGCGCGGAAATCCGTGGAATTCCGCGCCGCGGAGGCCGCGCTTTCAGTTCCGGAGCGGAGCTACGACCGAAACGCCGCGGAGCTTGCGACAAGGACGCGCGGAATTCCTGCGGAATTCCAACCGCGGCCGAATCGCGTAAAGTTAATTCCGCTTTTACGCCTTCCTTCGAGGTGCCATTTCCGCACGCGGAATACGGCCATTTCGCCGCGGATTTTTCTTTTTCCTTTTAACCGGGATCCCTGGTACTCGCGGGGAATCCGCAACGACTTGCCCGCGTCTTATGTCACGTTGTTGAATAATTTGTCATTGCAAATTGACATCGATTTATCGTCGGCGAATTGGACTGCGCTGAAATTAATAATTGTACGGTGTAATTATTATCTCATTTTTTAAATATATCTGCACCGCATCTCGGAGGAACGCGTGAATAATTTTCTCCGCGTCCATTTGTGGGGAATAATTTATTTATAAATGTCAAGTTAATTTACAGTGAAATATGAACGTGGGTGAATAAGAAAATTTCGTTCCAATGGAAAGTACTTATGAGAGGTTGATAAATTATCGTGAGTATGGATAAATTGCAATTTTTTTTTTTATTACCTAAGGAATAATTAAAACCTATGAACAAATATTTATCTAGGTGCTGGATCAAAGGACTCGGTTAATAGTCATTTAGCGAGTTAAGGTAGTTTATTAATTAATCGTATATTTATTTAATTTAAGCTCTTCCAGCCTGTTACATCTTAACTCTTAGACACGTGCTTTGATAACGATTGATAAGACGATCGATCGTTGGCGTCACGTGTCTTGTCTCTTTAAATATGCATTTTATTTCCCAAGACAATATTGTCCCGCGGGAAATAACAAGAGAATAAAAAATGCTTTAAATAAATAATCTATTAGACTCGAATAAAATCGAATAAATTCGATGCTACGAGTTATCCGAGTCAGGTAATTATTTGTTGAGAAATATAATTATTCTTGGAATTAAAGATATATTTTTTAGGCTATTATTTTTTTTTTCTTTCCTCGGTAGAAATGTTAATAATCCGGTTAACCTAATGTTCTTGACACTGGATGACGATTTGTCAAGAGTCCTTTAAGGGTCCCTAATCGGAGACTCGATTTCTTGCTCCTCCTCCATTTTCCTCCTGATTTCCGGCGATATACCCCAAAAGGAGGTTAGGGTCGACCCGGCGATCGGTCTTCGATGAAACGGGCCGTAAATATCTCGCGTTATTTTTCCAAATTTCCCTCTCGAGGTACGCAGAATTGGAGGAATTGAAATATGCGATTGTCGAAGGAGACGACAGACCGATTGCCGGGAGGGAAAGTCCTGAAAAATGGCCCCGAGGACGGGACTGACCATGAAACGTTTTAGTGTAACGTAAATTATTTGGCCAGCAATAAAATAATGCACATACTTTAGCACTGACCGAAGAAAGTTTTGATTTTCAAATATGAAAATAACGTGCAGTTTAATTCCTGACGGTTTTTCGACGCTTTTCAGAATGGCGTCGCCGCGTCGAATCCTTAGCTCGCGACTTTTCGATCGCATTGCGGATTTGTTTGAGCGTTTTTCCGGGGAATGCTCTTGGAAGTAATTAATCCCTTACAGGAAATTTCCTTTCATTTAGGGGTTTAATTAGTTCGCGGAGCTGGCTAAATTTCGGGGAAGGAATTTCCCTGGGGTGGCTTGATTTAACGAGGCATATTGTTCGTCGGTGTAAACGGTTCAGCTTTGAAGCAACTCGGATTTACGCCTTGTCGAGCGAGCCTATACCTAGAACTAACTAAAATGACCCGAAGAGACCAATTTGTCGAATTTTCCTGCTGGTCGATACAAGGAAAGGAAGAAATGGGGAAGTACTTCCGTTTCTAGGGTAGACCACGCGAGAAAGAGAGGGTGGCGTTCCCCATTGTTCCCCATTCATTATAATAACGCTACGTAAAAATATATAAATTCCGGGAATTTTCTTGTGGAGATGGACAATGCTTATAAATTCCAGGAATTTTCTTGCAGAGTTGAACGATGCTTTGGAAGAATTTCCTCTTTAGGCGAGGGGATATTTTATATAGTCAGAGCGTGGTTTTTAACAGCGTATGGATCTGTTTAATGTTCCACCTCGGAAATTATTAGTTATCACCGGGGAGTGTCGATCTGTCCGAGAATCGATCACATTCCGGGCACGATTATCGGTTTTCCGAGGAACTGCCGAAACCGACGACGCGACCCAATCTCGCAAACGTGGGGGAAGATCGATCGAGCGATGGGGAAAAAAAGTAAAGGAGGGAAAAGAGAAAAAGGGAAAAAGGGAAAACATACGCGTCCCTGGCGACCCTCGTTTTTTATTCGGCCTCTCGATCGCGAGAGTTACGTCGATCACCGAATCGGCCATTTTTTCTCGATAACAGGGGACGAAGACAAGTCATTTAACCCTTTAGCGACGAGACGCCTTTATGGTGGTTTTCCCATGAATTACGGTTTTTCACGAAATGTTAGATTGTTGCGACGACTTAATATTTTCAATTTTTGTCTCTTATCAATCGTTGTCACTCCACCGGGTATCATTACCGACTCGATCAGGATCAGGGCTCCTTAAAGCGGAAAATCAGTAGGGAAATTCCCCGAAGAGGCTGCGATGACATTATCGGAAGTTGGATTTATTAAAAGGCCGTGATTAAACCTGACATAAACCGAAAGATTGATAATCCGCGCGGCGTCCAAAATGGCGGCGGGACAAAGCATCCCCTCTGGGTCGGTTTTAGTTGTCTCGTCAATGTCATCCGGGATTTTTAAACCCACGGCGGTTTCCCAATTTTACAAAATATCAACTACGCTGCAAAAGGGATTTTTCCCAGATTTTGTATTCCCTCTAGTAGCATAGAATAATTTCTAAATATTTCTTTACAACTAAACGTTTTGCAATGTCTTCAAATGTCTGGTAAATATTTACAAAATGTACGATATTCGTTAAATATATAGAAAATATTTGTTTCTTTAATCTCCACTTTCCTCGAAAATCGGAAAATCGCGATCCTCCATTTCGGATTTCTATCAATGGACGCTCGACGCGACTTTTTCGAGTTTTCCCGTTTTCTTTTCTCCTTTTTTTCCTTTTTTTCCCGGCTTTTCCAACGCCTATCGGGCATCTCGTTATCGCACGTCGAGAGCAGACGCGATTTATCGGAGTTTCGGAAAATGTCGGCCTTCCCGAAAATTACTTTTCAAGCTTATTTTTCTTTTTCCTCGTTTTTTTTTTTTTCATTTTCAATACGCTCGGTGTAAAGGATGGTTTTTTAGTTCATTTTAGGGAGAGGTAAAGGGATGTGCCCTCGTAAAAAAATAGATTTTCCGAGGCTCCCCTTCGAAATTCTTCCATGAAGTTGAATTTCGGAATTTCTGGTGGCGGATTTGAGTGGCGTGCCTGGAATTCCGGAAAATGCCATTTTTATTCTCCCCTTTTCCCCCGGATTCTCGCGGAGGGAACCGATTAAACCCTGGAGAAGACTTCCATGTGTAATCTCTGGGAAACTTGGCCTCGTCATCCGGACATCATTCCGTGATAACGTGAAGTCATCTTGACGGAGTTTGCTCGGCATTCTATCCGGCAATTTTGCCAATTGGCTTCCTCGGATATTGTGGTACGGAAAGGTTGACAAATAACCACCTTCTTCGGGAATTTACGAGGAAAAGGGATCACCCCTGGTAGCAGAAAATATTTCTCTTATATTTCCTATATATTTAACGAATATCGTACATTTCGTAAATATATGCGAGACACTGTCTAATTACATGTAGCAGTATATCATTACTTTAGGAAATGAAATAAAAATGTCGCATCCTCGAGGGAAGGAAAGAGAACGGGGGATGAAGAGTCGCCATCTTGGTTCGTCTTTTTCATTCGCCTTTCGACGCTTTATTTCCCTCCTTGGGACTTTTCTTTCCCTCTCGTTCCTTCAATTTCTCATGCTCGCGCCTCTCCCCGGTCTGCTTTCCTCGTTACTGTCCAGAAACTTTGCTTATTTCGCCATCTCGGTGAATAAATGCCGATATTCCCACGGGTTGACGACCGTTCCCTTTAGTGCACTTACGGGAGAGGTAAAGGGAAGTGCCCTCGTAAAAAATTGATTTTCCGAGGCTCCCCTTCGAAATTCTTCCATGAAGTTGAATTTCGGACCTGGAAGAGACATGTTATGGATGTAATAAATCTAATAAACATGATGATATAAGACCAATAATAAAATGAGGTTTCAAATTTAATTAATACGATAAATTACGTTAACTTTCGTGATCATTGGCATTTAAATTGCAACCACATAAAATTAATATCGGAGAAAAGTGTTGCTTAGGCCACTTTCAGTGGTACGCAATGTTTTTGGAAATTGTGGAAGGCTATATTTCCGTTTCATCCGAGAATCTCTGTTTGCTTCCTCTTTTGACGTCCCCTTCCTGCAATTTCTCATGGCCGCTTCCTCCGGTTGTCTACTTCCCTCGTTACTGCCCTGAAACTTTGCTTATTTCGCCCTCTCGGGGAATAAATTCTGATATTTCCACGGGTCGTCGAGGTGTTCCCTCCACTGCAGTTATGGGATAGGGAGAGGAACGATCGTAAGGAATTAATTCCAGGGCGAATCTCGAGAAATTACTGCCTTCCATAGGGCTGGATTTCCATATAAGAATCGTAACAATAGGATGACACGAGATGAACGCGATCCTTGTAAAGCGACATGTTCAAAAGAATCTTTAATTGACGAAGTATTTCTTCGATATTCTCTAATTCTTCTGAATTTTTTAAAGGTAAACTCTTGTCGTGTGTATTCTCTTCGCTCGTCGTCCGCCATATTGGAATCTCGTTTCTTCGCGACGTGGTTTTCTCTCGTTCTCTGCTCTTCAGGGGTTTCTTCGTGGGGAGGTCTCCATTTCCTCGGGCATCTCCTCGTCGAGGAAGCTGGAGGAAACTCGATCCTGCATAACCGAGTCAGGAACGGAAACGTATAACCAGCTCTCGTTTCGCGAGGATGCTGCGATTTTTATATTTCTTCTATTTTTCTATTTCTCTACTTTTCTTTGTTATCCCGAGGTTATCGATTTTCTTCACGTCGAGTCCTTTTTCTGGACTCGAGAAGGTCCTGTATATATTTCTGGGACCTCGGGAAATGTTATCACTTTTAGGGCGCCCCTAAAGATGTTACGAAAGTGTCATATATATATATAAATAAAAAATATATATATGTATATGAGATATATGTCATGCCATGCCATCATACCACGTGTCTACATATTTATAAAACTTTTCGCCAAACTGAGTGCATTGAAGTTTTGGCATTTTCGCCAACAATTCGGAATTCGATGAAGGTTTCGATGGCTCGCTTTATCGATCGAAATATCGAGTTTAAGGACTGTCACCGATTTTATCCGCGACACCAGGCCATCGTTCGTCGCCGAGGGAATGCTCGTTCTGCCATAAAACCCGATTACCGCGAACGAGCAATTCGCGAGTGCACGTTCCATGGGGATGCACAATGCACCTGCATAGGATATATCCACGGAAGTGCATTGTGCATACGCCATTCAAAGACCTTATTTTCACCCCTTGATGGCGTATCCTGGAGAGAATTCCTCAAGAAGATCGATCCCGTAGAAAACTAAAGAAATTCGATCGATAAAACTGTATACCATCGAAAAGCGAAATATTATGATTTTATAATTGAATAATATCTATTGGGCCGGGGAAGGAAAATCCAAAGTAAAGCTCGAAGGGTCCTCGAAAAAGACGTATCAATTTCGATGAATAAGAGGGGCGACGGAGGGGAGAAAAAAAGAGGGAAAAAAAGAAAAAGGAGTAGGCCGCTTTAATACCGCGCCTCCACTTTTCTTCGGCACGTCGGAGACGAGAAGGAGGATGATCGATTTTCCCGGCTGGTTTTTCCGCCCGGGGGTCGATAAATTATTCCCTGGAAAGCCGGGGCAGTAAATCGAAAGGTTTGCCGAAGGATATATCTCCCCGGGTCGTGAAATTCGTTTGAAAGTACACCAGGAAGTTCAACAGGTCGCGCTTTCGGGAATTACGTGCACAGGAATGATGCGCGAACTTGCGCGGTTTCCCCTAGACTAGGGAGAAGGATATTTCCCTAGGGGAGGTCCTCGGCGCGAAAAAGAAGAGGACTTTCCCCGAGAAGAGAAATGCGGGATTTTGGCAAAATGAAGTTTGGTTTCCTTTTGTCGAGAGAATAAATTTTGAAAAGTTGAATGAAATTTCAAATGGACGAAAATCAATTTTTATTAGAGGAAACGGAATTTTAAGGAAGTTATCGTGAAGTCAGAAGGGAACTCCGTTATCACGGTCGGCCTAGTTTCGGAGGGAAGTTCGAGGGATCCCTGATAATTGTCGAATTTCCCCTGATAAGAGCGACGATCTGATCGATGTCTCGAGTCGAGGATCAGGGTCGACCTTCCCAATCGGGGATCGCAATAATCTCTTCAAAGCCGACCATAATCGTCTCGGTGATCCATATCACGGATGACCGAGGTCACGATCGATCTGCCCACAGGAGGGAGACGAGTCGATGATAGAGAAGGGACCCTAATGGATTTCCACGTCCTTAATTAGGGCTTTAATTAATTTCTCTAGGAAATTTTACATATATCGCGTAATTTATAAAACGATACATGAATTCATATAATTTGACAGGAAAGGTCGAAGGACAAAAGGGAGAGGGAAAGCTTTTCCAGAAAGACGGAGGCTCTTCGTCCCGAAGTGTCCTTCCGAGGACTTCCTAATCGGAATGGACCAACGTCGAGAGGACATCATCCAGGAAAGGGAAGACCCCTCTTCGAGGTCGGAGAACTTCTCAGGGGAGGAATTCTCCCCAGATTCCCATCTTCGACACGCCTTCCACCGACTTCATCGAGAAGTCCTCGGCGCCTTGTCCACCCGGGGCAGAGAGGACCTGGACGACTTCCAGGACATCGACAGGTTCCTCCTGGAGAGCACCTTGCACCCCAGGAACCTGTCGAACTTCTCCGAGAGGAACTTATCCCAGGTCGACTCGGTCAGGGAACATCCACAGAGATTGTATTATCTCTATGGCTCGCCCATCCTTATCTTCTTCTGCGTCCTTTCGGTCGTCGTCAACATCAAGATCCTCCTCAGCGTCTACTGGATAAGGCGTCCTCTCAGCCCCACTTTGCATATCAGCCTTAGTCTTGCTGGGGCTGATGCCTTTTCCGGCGTTATTTTGGGAACTGGACTCGTTCTCAACAGTTTTCTACCTTATGGACTTGGACTCAGGTTGACCGGTTCGTTTGCAGAATTTATTAGCTGATTTTCAGGATAGGCGATAGGACATTTTGGGTTCGTTTGGAAAATCTTTTAACGGATTTAGGCGATGGACGATAGAAAATGTTGGGGTGCCTTAAAAATGAAATACAGGGGGTTGTAGCTGTGATACTTAGCCAGGCTTAGAGGAGGTACTTTTTAAAATTGAAAATATACCCTGGAGATGCTCTTTTCATTTAAAGGAATTGACTGCTTCGTGCTCTTGCTGGAAGCCATTAGACTGGGATCAATCATCGTGACGGTTGCTCACCTGACTGCCCTGGCTATCAATCACTATCTCGGGATCCTGAGACCTCTCCATTATCTCTCCATCGTGACACGCAGGTGAGAATTCTTCGAGTCCCGATGCATCCCAAAAATCAACTCCACGAACCTTTAAAATAATTCGGTGTTACATTTAATTTCTATTCATTCCTTTATCTATCCGATATCTTCGAATGAAATCTAAGATATTTAGCAAGGATTGCAAAGAAATATTTAGAAATTATTCTATAGGGATCTTTGATAACTGTGATAAGCTCCCATTTTTCCAGGAATACGATACTTGCCATAGCGATTCTCTGGATTTTACCTCTGGCGTTTTTCCTCTCGTACTTCAGTCTGGTGGAAAACGAAGGTTTCCAATCCCAGGGCTGCGAGAACATGATGTAAGGGTTTCCGTAATCTTCTGTTAATTTAAAAATGCATAAAAATGCATAAAGATGAATAATAACGCTTCAGGTTCTTGCAACACAAGCAGTTCCGGATAATGTTCAGTAGCTTGTTCTTCGCTCCCTTTCTGCTGATGGTCTGCATTTATTCTCACATATTTTGCATCGTGAGGAAGCATCAAGCTTCGAGGCTTCGTTTCAGCAGAGCTGGCTCATCTCGTCACAGGAACAATGATAACAGCCAACAAAGTACTCCTCAACAAATGGTGAAGAACGTGAAGGCCATTCACACCACTCTATACATCCTCGGTATAGAAATTACTATTTGATCTTAAAATGTTTATGGCATGATTTTTAAAGGATAAAATTTAAATATTTTGTTTGTTTATGAAGTGTTCAGGAAATTATTGTAACTCTCATCTTGACATTTTCTTGACAAGATTGCTGTTAAATTAGATATTTTACTGCGACAGGAAGCTACATGGTCGGTTGGATGCCTGCAACAATAATCTTCGCTCTGGTTTGCAACGATTGTCTCCTAAATTTCGACTGGATGTCGGAAAAAAACAAATTCATCTTGTACAGCTTGTTCAATTGTCTGATCATTCTGAAGACACTGGTCAATCCGATCATCTATGCGGCGAGGATGCATGAAATAAAGGTGATTCAGCGCCCGGTTTAATTAAAACGGATCAAACTCTCTAGCGAATCTCCGCCTCGTTGGTCAAAGGATTTCCGGGAACGATGGGATGTCCTGGAACATCCTGAAACATCCCGGAACATCCTGGAACACTCGACACAGAGAACCCTGTTTCAGATTCCCATCGATAGGATGTTCCAAAATTTCATATATTATTTTTTAGCTATTCTATTAAACATAATTTTTAGAAAAAATCAGACAAATAACGAAACCAACAAACTCAGTTGACTTCGTTATTTTTTCATTTGATTACGTTGAATTTTATTATAAAAAGGACGTTGTTTTTATTAAAATAACCTTAATTATTATTATTAAAAGTATAATGTACGAAATTGAGATATAATGGTGTTTTGTCGTTTTAGGTGGCTAAAAGGCAGATGCACGCTTCTCTTTGCGGATGTTTCGGTTTAAATAGTCGAACAGGTGAACGAATGGCAGTCGGTGTGAGTAGCGAAAGGGCTCCCAGCAATCGATCCTCCTTGTCGAAGACCGCAGTCTGCAGATTGACTAGCAACGTCAGTATCAGGAACTCCAAAAATGGGAGTTACACTTGTACTTATACTGGACACGAGAGCCATGCTCGAGGAAATACTATTCTCTGAGAAAATGAGAGACATATGTCTCTGACTCGCAGCTGTCCGGAAGCCTTTCGATGGTTCGAGGACTTTTCACATATGGAGGATATCTGAACGCTAGGAGGTGCACATTTTAACCTCGAATTGGGAATAGCTCTAAGATCTTGCGGAATTTCTCTTAAGCGTTTTATATCTTTGGCGTCTTCGGATTGAGCTTACTCTGGAATGTCTGGATCACTCGATGAGATAGTCGTAGGTTAACTCACGATGCATCGTTAGACACTCTTTGTACATATTGTGGTCTTCTTTCGTTCACTTTTGCTCTTTGGATGTTCATATGCTCACTACATGTTCGCGAATACGGTTTAACACTGCAGGAATTAAACTGTGAACAGCTCAACGCATTTATAAGGATCCTATGATGTTAGGTTATGTCTTAAATATCAGCAGCGGAAAGACTCAAGTGGCTGGAAAAATAAAAACTTTTATTATGTACAGTGTCGACACTTGTATGATGATTTGTATGATGGTTGTTGCTTAGGTCTCTAATATCAGGATTCAGTGCTTGTCGATGGTTTATCTTTTTTCTTCTCCGTCTCTGTTTTCTTTAGAAACGGCTCGTGCAATGTTTTGTACAAGTATTCGGCTTTGTGAGCACCGAAACCAGGACAAAGTCTTAAAGCACTCAACGGTGCCTTAACGATCCCAGCTAATGATCCAAAAGTTGACAAGAGAGTCATGGCATCGGTTTTGTTGATCGGTCTCATTGTGGTCAAAGCGCTTATTATCTGAAATAATGAATATAATTGGCTGGGCTTTGAATCTAGTCGAGCAGATTTAAAGAATTCTTCCATTTGGTAGAACTAACCCTTTCTTGCGGTATTTTATCTACGCGCTTCATGAGCGTGTCAGGTGGTTTGTTTTCGTAGATCTTATAAGTTTCGATAATTTTCCCAGCATCTTCAGCATCCCAGGCCAACATTAAAGTCAGGTCCGCAAGAATGCAGATCCTGGTGAGATGCTTTAATGCGTGATGAGGCTCGGCAATATCTATCTGGAAATTCAAGCTACTTAATATCTCTCACTTATTCAATGTGGAATAAACGTAATACAATTTGACAGTAACTTGCACTACGAGAACGCGCAGAGTGAATGCATTTCCCAGGAGCTTCAGTCGATCGTGGATATAATCTGGATTCAGTTGATGATAACGTAGAGACAAGAAGAGGGCGCACATGGTTCGCCCCATGACATAATCAGGAACGACATCGGAAAACTCCCAGGGAACATTGGTAATGAATTTCAGTAATGGGTTTCCTTTCTGACGACATAAAAGAGAAATATTCAATAACATGCTACAATTTTAAGTAAATATTTTCAAATCTCACTTCTTCAATATGAGGAATATAACATGCAAATACCCAGTTTAATACCACACCTGTTTCGGGTTGACTAGGAGTGTGTTTAACTTTGGTCCGCTTTTAGGTCCGATACATGACTCGTCTTTAGAACACTCTGGAAAATCCTTAAAGAATTCAGAGGTTTTCAAATTACTGAAGGCACCTGAAAATTGTCAGCAATTAATTTCTCATTTTCTTGGGTTTTTTTTATTTATGGATCTGTCGTAGGACTTACTATTAAATGACGATTCAGTTTCAATTCTTGGCTGCTTTGACGGACCTGCTGCCAATTCGTCGCATGTTGACGTCACATCTCTGCGACTCATTTTTCTTTTCTATTATTCACTTAACAATTGCCGATAAACTTGAATATTTGAAACGTATTATTTCCTATTTTTTAAGCAAGTGTAACAGGCAATGTCCGGTTAAAAAGTTAATCCTCGGTTACGAGCTGCACGTTCCACATTTTAACGGCAGGTTAATTCCCAGTAACCGCCGTTTAGATTAACCAGCCAAATTCCATCGTTTACCTTTATTTAATCGAACTTTACCTAAAAACTGCCCATAGGTGAGGGAAACATAGATTAGATCGAGGATGTATTAACATATCTTCTTATGACGAAACGGATGAAGACGTTTTTGATTTTATTTACAATTTCTTAACCAGAGAACATTACCTCTTGAGGTTAGCGTCTCTGAAGTTCTTGCGAGCTCTGAGGAGTCTGCGCACTGCGCAGTGAGGACTCAGCCATAAGCGGTACCCAACAAACTAACCTTATCCGGTTTTATTTAAATCCTCTAGTTATTTGTTTCGTTATTGCATTAGATAAGATGGATTACAAAGAGGAACAGATTAATGAGATAGAAGCGCTGGATTCGATTTACTGCGGAGAATTGGAAGGTATGACGTTCATATAAATACTGCGACTTAACCTCGATCTTCCCTATTACCATAGTAGGGTCAAACCTCGAGGAAAATTAAAACATCTTGTTAAAAACGTATTACATCTTTCTGAATTGCATCCATATGTGCAATTTATAAGGGCTTTTTGTTTAATTCGTAGTTTTGGCGACTGATCCTTTTCATAAATTCGCTGTGCCCATAAAAACGGAGGAATATGAACCGGATACCAGAAATGGATTAGCATGTCGATTAGAGTTTACGTATATGCCTAAGTATCCTGATGAACCGTTAATTATATCCATTGAAGAGCGAGAGAATTTTGATGAGAAAGATGCGGAAAAATTGAAGGAGCACCTAGCGCTTCAAATGGAGGAAAATCTTGGAATGGTTATGGTATTTACGTTAGTAAGCGCAGCACAGGAATGGTTGAACGTTCAGTGGGATAAAGCCAAAATACATAGAGAAGAGAGTGCGGCTCAAAAATTGCAGGAAGAAGAGGAGGCGGAAAGAGTACGGATAATCCATATTTATCTCTGTGTATCATTATTTATTTTTTAAGTTGTATCAAATAGTTGAATGGGTTCATAGTGTTACGTTCATTATAGAAGCGATTTGAAGGAACAAGGGTCACGGTGGAGACGTTTCTTAGTTGGAAAGAGAAATTTGATGAAGAAATGGGATATACAAAGCGACGGGAGATGGCCGATAGAGAAGGGAAAAAGTTAACAGGAAGGGAATTGTTCATGACCGATAAAACGTTGGATCAGTCTGACCTTAAGTTCTTGGATGATGGTAACAAGATTCTCCGCTTGTTACTTAACAATTTCCATTCCATTTTTATTAGGTAATAATTTTTCTCCCTACTTCAGGAGATACGGTGAAGGTTGATGAAAGTTTATTTCAAAATTTGGATGATTTGGAATTAGACGACGACGACGACGACGATCCAGATTATGATCCAAATAATGATGCATACGACAGTGCTTAAAAGATATCTCTGGTCTGTTTCTCTTTTCAACTGTAATAATCTGTACAAGATGGAACGAAACTGAGTACAGGGCAGTTGGTCCTAGGGTTAACTACTCGCCGCATGATCTTACGATTCCAGGATATATTAGTAATTATAAGTGGCATTGTGTCAAAGGTGAGAGACATTTACTACTTTACATCTTAAGCAGAGTTGAATTTTACCGTACCCCTTGAAGGCTACGGTTGTGGAATATATAAATCGTGATCGTTTTTCGACACGACAGCGTTCAGTGTCAGTGGAGTGAACGAGGATTCAAGTGTTTTCATATTTATAAATATAATTGGACGTATTGTCCATAGAGCATCGTTTATTAAAACTAAATGATCATTAGTACATTCTCTTACTTCCGTTTTACCTCGCAAGTTGTAGGTGATGGCGGAACGATACCATAACCTCAACTAGTGGTTCGTGGTCGACATGTAAACAGAATAAGATACGAGTTACGCATCGACATAATCCTCGGGATTTAGTGTTTATTTCACTCCTGGTTAACGTAATTTAAAAAACCAGCAACAAATTCTACATTACTAATTGCAACTAGATACATTTCGGTTTTCTTCTTAGTTACGCATGTTCCGATTCACAATGTTTCATGTACGCACGCATTGCATTGCACCAGAGAATGAGTACAGTATACTTTCGTGGTAATGGCAGTAATACAAGTTAATTTGACAATTCAAATAACATTCCACGTGACATCCTAGCTAAGAACCATGCGTTATCGAAGGTTCCGCTTTAAAATGACAGACGATACACCTGCGTCTACATATTTATTCCCACATAATACTGCGTACTTCGCAAATACGTACAAAAGAAAAAAAAAATACTGTTACAATATTGCACACTTTTAAAAATAATAAGAAACATGAAATGCAATGACGCTGCGCTTTTAACCGAATATAAATTGCACTCGATCTTAATGCTGATTATCGGAAAGTGCCGTTAAGCAGTTTTCCTTTATTTTTTAAATATTCACCCAACTCTCTTGCAACGGTGCAATCAATGTACAATACGGCCATAGCTCTAAAATGATGTCTCGAATGTCGTGCATTACTGTCCGAACAACGTATGCCTGGCTGTGATACTCAGGAACTTTCACAGGGGGTACGATTCTTGTATCGAGTGGTTAATTATAATTAATACAAGAAACGAAGAGGTACATATTGGAGGGTCATACAAGGGCCTCGGTTCTAATCAAATGAATTAGCTTAACCATTATATGCCTAGCTGCCGACAGATATTATTTTCGAATTCTCATTTAAATAATCCACTACTGCATGGGACTAATGGGATTAAACTAAAATAACGAGGCCATCATTTGGTACATTAAAAAATTGTTTCGTCGTTACGTTTTGACACCGGACTGTCCAAAAGCTAAAGAAAAGAAAATGGCAGTTTAAGGACACATATTTAGCTGCCCATTGCTTATCGTAATCATTCCAAGGCTGTGGACTTATTGTGTTTTTGATAAATAAATGATAAATAAGTAAAAATATCACTGCATCATGATAATACTTAATTGGCAATACATGAGTACATTTAACATAAGGCGTAGCCATGTACGTTTCTTTGCTCTCTTATTTTTTTCTTTTTTCTTTTTATCTTTGCAAGATGTTTCGTCTCTTCGAGAGTAATCTACAATGCTTTTGTATGAGTCAACGTGGTCTTCTTGTCTTTAGACTCGCCAACACGTCATAATCTGTCGGGAGAAGAACACGATTAGTGACAAGTAACGCTAGTTTATATATAAGTGACAGCCATGCAGTAAAATATTCAAGGGGCACTCGCATGCTGTTTAATCGATCAATTAATCGTAAATGAATTATGAAGCTTTTGGGCCTGGGATATCTTCCTTGTAAATTTCCATTCAACATAAATATGTTTACACAGCTTTTATGGCACATGCAGTTACGTGGATCTCTCTTGTAAAATCAAATCAAAATGATTAGGAGTCAAGACGAAATGCCTTGTAGGGTTCTGACGAAACGAAAAAGATGGCCAAGTTAATTGGAAACCCGATATAAACATTAACTGGCTTCGTTAAATCGCGTTCCAAGCGAACGTTAGTATACTAAAATAAATACAATTTAATCGTTCCATCACAGAGTGGCGAGACTTTTCCACGAAAAAGATCTCGACTAAAATCTACTTTAAGTTTATATATAATATGTATATATCGGTTCTGACGAGTTCAAAAAATATAGGGACGTATATTGAAAAGTGCTCTTGCCGCGCTATGACCGTCTCTCGACCATAAAGCAATATTTTTCTTTCTTTTTCTTTCATTCATTCTCCAAACGAGAAGAACGGATAATACCACGTTTTCTTGTCGCTTTTCCTTTCGTTACCGTAATTGTAATAATTATCCTACTAATTCCCAGTCCTCGTAAAGTCACTACAGTTGTTTCAAATCGTGAAGGATATCTACACATTCTCTGAAAACATATTAGTTAAGCTTGAGCCTCCGAGATGGGAAAAGTAGAAACTTGGGTTGATTAAGGCGAAGTGAAACCCGTCGAGAGATTTGCTCTCGCTGAAAAAAAAGTGTTGTCTTCGAATCGACCGATTTGATTCACTTCACCTTAAAAAGAACGTAAGAGGAGTGGATAAATTAAACGATAACGTATCGTTATTAAAATGTGCGCCAAGCTGGTAAGCACGGTGTAATTAAGCCATAGTAGAGAAGAGGAATGCTTACTACAAATAATTATAAATAATATATATAATACTGGATTTGCATACGCTTGATATGTATAGAGCACATCCGAGTACAAGATGCTTGTTACGTCTACTTGGATACATCTACAAAGAATTTAGAAGCCTCGGCATAGAGCATCGGCATAGTATCTAGGCTTCTATGGGACTTCTGAATTCTTTGACGTCTATATGAATATTGTTATTTATTTAAAGTGTACTTACTTCTCAGGAAGAGTGCGCGGCTTAGCCGAGTCTCCCGGCCATTGGTAGAGATTTGGCAGTGGGCTGTCATAATTGGCATCGTACATTTTGCTAGCGATAAAGGAACGTTTGTCCCTGGGCTCTGGATACTCGCTCGCCAAGCCACCTGTAGGGAAAAAACGGAACGAAACGGCGTTAGACCTAACGGCTCGATCTTACCGACAACCAGTTCTTATCCAGTACTTATTACTTAAGGTGAAGTGAAACACGTCGAGAGATTAAAAAAAAAAAGTGTTGTATTCGAATCGACTGATTTGAAGGGGGTTTCACTTCACCTTAAGGCTCGATCTACGTGCCTTTTCTATACGCATAATTGGCGATTCTGACGGCTATTTCAATCGAGCATTCTTTAATGATGTCCAGGGGAGGGTAAAGACTGCCACGATTAAGGTCTTCGTCGGTGACGTGATCGGCGACCGCTTGCGCCGAGATTAGGAACAGCTCCTCCGTGATGTGGTGACATCCGGTGGCGATGACACCAAGTGCGATACCTGGGAATATGTAGGCATTGTTGCCCTGTCCCGGTTTGTAGGTTTTACCTTTGTAAACGACTTCACCGAACGGCGACCCCGATGAGAACACACATCTACCCTGTAGGATGAGAAAAATTACCACGCGATACCACACCGAGATAAAGGAAACGTCATCGAACCCAAGAAATATCTTGTTAATTCAAAGGATTTCACTGAAACTCCAATAAATTGGATGCAACATTTATTTCAGTGTTGAATAATTATTCTTGGAATTAACGAGATATTTTTTTCTCCGCAAGGCGGATTGTATACGTGGGTAGATCTTTTGTATGCAAATGGTCGTGACGTACATCCGTGTGGTCGTAAGCCTGTTGGGCAGTACATTCGGCTTTGCTTGTAGGATTACTTAACGCGAAGATTAGCGGCCTCTCGTTGTTCTTGGCCATTTCTGCGAGGACCTCCGAGGTGAAGGCACCTGCCGCTGCCGATGCGCCTGTTGATGGGCACCTCGACTTTAGAAGGAGATCACTAAGTGTCGCCCATGCTGAGGGGAACTTACCAATCAGCACGGTGGGTTTCACTTCTTTGACGACGTCTATGAGCTTCTTCATGACCTTGTAGTCTTTTGCGTACCAGACTTTGTGGCCCTCCAGATTGCCCTCTGGCCGTTCCTTCACCAGGAGTCCGTCAATGTCCATCATCCAGATGTTGTCCCTTGCCTGCTTCTCCGTACAGCCATCGGCTTCCATGGCTTTTACGCAAAGGTCCGCTATTCCAATCGCCGCCTGAAGCAATTGAGGCTTGACTTAACACCCACGTGTTACGTCGTCTAATTCGGGTTTTAGGATCAGCTCCTAAATTGGACCTAGTGTTCTAGATATACGAACCTCACCCGCGCCGAGGAAGACGAACTTGTTGTCCGACATTTTCCTCTTGGTGATCCTCTTGGACGCCAGGATCCCAGCCACGGCGACCGCGGCTGTGCCTTGGATGTCGTCGTTGAATGTACAGTACTTGTCTCGGTACTTGTCGAGGAAGCGGAACGCGTTGTGGTTCCCGAAGTCCTCGAACTGAAAACCCACCAAGACCACTCTACAGCATCACGGCATAGCACAACGTGCACTTCATCAAATTAGGACGATAACCTTCTAAGAAGGAGTTACCGAGTCTTAATCGACATTCTCGTTAGGAAGTCTCACCTGGATTAATACATTTTGTCCGTACTTCCGGACACAGGCGGCCATGAACTCGTCGATCAGCTCGTCGTATTCGGCGCCTTGGCTTCTGGGCTTGTTCAGGCCAATGTAATGAGGGTCGTTTCTCAGCTGTTCATTGTTCGTACCTACGTCTATAGTAATCGGCAGACATTGATGGGGCTTGATCCCTGCCAGGGCAGTGTATAAGGCGAGCTTTCCTACGGGAATTCCCATTCCGCAAGCTCCAAGGTCCCCGAGGCCCAGAATTCGCTCGCCATCGGTCACGCAAATCGCTCGCACTGCTTGCTCTGGCCTTAATTAGATGCAAAACCGAGATGGAGAATTAGTTAGGGCGGTTCCCTTCTCTTGTAGCTGGACATTTACCAGTTGTTCAGGATCTCGGAAATGTGACCCTTGTCGTAGATGGTGATGAACAGACCACGTGGCCTCCGGTAGATAACTCCAAACTTCTGGCAGGCAAGTCCCACCGTCGGGGTGTAGACAATGGGCATCATTTGCTCGATGTTCTCGCTCAGCAGACGGAAGAACAGCCGTTCGTTTCGTTCCTGCAAATTAGATGGTTTATTAGGCTCGTCGGATCATTAGTTAGGCCGGAAATAGTCGTATTGCACACCCGAAATGATTCTAGTCTGTCTTAAGATGATATGAGAGGCGCTGAGACACGTTATTCCCGTGGTGGAGTTTGAAACGAATCGGTACCCCCAATTCGGGGAATACTTTCCCCAACGATTTGACTTCTCAGATATGTATAGGGCTGCCTCTTTCATATCACCTTAACGGAAGGAAAATACCGCCTTTTAGTTCCGGTCTTAAGGTTTTGCGGGGAAGTCGGGAAGCAACGCCAACCTGGAGTTCCACCAGATAAAGATATCGGTTCAGATCTTCCGTGTACTTCATGACGGAGGCTTTGCAGAGGGCCAATTGTTCCTCTTGGGTTTTAAATCGTGGTGGTTGAAGGCCGTGGATCCCGAGGGTTATTCTCTCTTCTAAAGTAAAAGCTAGTCCCTGAAGAAAGTGAAAATATTTGTCCATTGTGATCTCCTGCCTCGACTATTGTATTGGGTTGATGCATAAGTATTGCGCACTTTTTCAAATATAAAAATGCGCGCAGAAATTAAATATTTCAACATAATGTTATATGTCATTTTGTTGTGTACTAGCTGCGAGACGCTTTCGCGGCTCTTGATATTGTTCGTTATTGGCGCACCTTGTTCAGTCGTGGGTCACGTAGATGTCCGATGCCTTTGATCATGTTCCTGGGGACGACGTCTCCGGACATTTCGTGGATGTCCCTTTGTTGGATATCCTTGACGGCAGGGTGCGTAGGAGGGAGCACCCGTGCCCATGCTCCTGTGCCATTTCTGCCGCATGATCTGGAATTTAGGATAATTAAAAGAAATACTTATTACTAGTTTCGAGAAAAACGGGGCTTGGATTCTCCTTATTCCTCGATTTACGCAATGTCAAGAAACAAGATCCGGGCACGCTATTATTATTTAAATGGCTCAAAGCCAAGTTCGAAAAAGTGACTGAGTTACGCGAAGGTAGCGCTCCGATGTTCATTTTGAAATTTCGAAGAAGGGGACCTTGGATCTCTTGAGTGATCGTTTTTTAGCATTGTAATGCTTAGGAGGTCCTTGCAAAGTGTCGCAAACCACTTTATGCTGTGTCCAATGACGGTCCATTACAATGCACTGCAATTACGCATTCGCAAATAGGTTTAGGGTATCTTGCGCTCGCTCTCTCGAAAATGATCTTTGCTTGGCTGGTTTAGCGAACAGATCTCGTTGGGAAGAAAGTCATCAGGAAACGCTCAGCAGGTTTGGCACGTGGGGAAAGGTCTATTTAAAGGTTTCGTTAGCTTTATCTTGCGCCACGCTGTGCGAAGGGTCACAAAACTGGGCCAGAGGGATTACATCGATGCGTCCAAGTGCATTACTCCCCTGGGTGCATAATTATAAACCTAGAACCTTGGTCCGAGCATTTCGACACGCACGTCCCAAGTGCATCTGCTGCACCTACCAGTACTTAGTTATCAACCGGGTACAACTTTCGACACTCTTCCTACTAGATTGCCCTAGTTGCACCTTGTCATACATCAAAGATGATTCCTTTTGACACACATTGACAATGCGCTACGATAATAGACGAAATTCGGGCCAAGAGGTGGGCGCGATCAAGGGTAGTCACCTTTCGGAACGCCAAAAGACTATAATTAACCCGTAAGCACAGGTGCGTTAATCACGATCGGCCTTTACGACATGTTGCCTTCTTGCCCCCTGCCCATGTAGAACATTACTTTGGCTACATGGTGGAATGTTGGTCCATTATATCATCTACCATCTGAATTTGCCATTAAAAGCGACACTACGCGTTTAGAGGGCGCCTTCCATTCATGGATCATGGTCTCCAATTGTTTCGCAGGCAAGCTGAACATTGAATTTCCGGCAAGGCGTCGCGTCGTCCTGTCACCGGGACAAAATGCGGCTTAATTGTTGCATGACGACAATTGCTGGGACTAATTGTTCCGGAAGTAGTGTGCAGGACCAAGGTAAACCTTGAAAGGCCGGTAGATAGGTGGAAAAGTATAATACTTTGCGCGGCTCCGAACGATTGAAAGAAGGAATTTCTTTTTATAAATTTGATATTCGAGAGTCATTTAGTACGCATTGTTTGCAAATTTACAATGGGTTTTTTATTTTACGGCGAATCGACGAACGGTGATTTAGCCGAAATTGCGAAGATTTGGTTGCGCCAAAGGGGGGGTGAACAAATTAAGAAACTCGGTAGAGTTTTGCACCAAATATACATATAGAGGCGCTAACTCAGACCTAGTCATTATCTGTGATGTTCAGCCTGGCGCGTCAAATTGGACAATAAATGTCGTTTTCTGAACCTCTTGAATGAGTAAAGTCAACTTCAACAAGGCCATCGAGATTGGACGATCTCTCTGCGTTTTTTAAGCTACGAACGAAACCTGTTGCCCGATTTAATACAGAGATATGCATTTTTTAATATTTCACTTCGCTTAGGTCGCTTGAATTTTTCCATCGGTCTTGTGAATTAAAAAAAAAAGCACTAAAGCAAGGCGAGACCCGGAACTCCAGCGTTCCTTCCTGGCAGCGACCGGTGCGTGGCGACGGTATCGATCCCTTATTCGAGCCCGACGCATTGCGGCGGTAAAAGACGCTCCAGGAAGACGCCTCGCGCCACTAGGGAATTTTCTACGGTGGTCGTTTCCTCCCCCTAGGGGCGGAGGGCCTCGGATGGCCGCACCGGACCGACCGCGACTACTGACAGAGACCCTTCCTATTCCCTGACCCGGGAATCGGACGGGTCCTTCGGACGACTTGAATTTTATTTTCTACTCACATTATGGACCTCTGCAGAAAGAACATCGCGGCCGCGAACTCTCAGCTATTCGCAGCGATCCCTCGTGATCGCTCTTCTCCGTCCCTTTTCTGGGTCCGGAGCGCGACTGCGCGACTGCGCGGACTGCGCGGAGTCGCCGCCTCGCCTTCTCCCGGAGGTGGAGGAGCGCCGCTGGCTGGTCGCGGGATGTGGCGAGTACATGCACTTTGGTGCCGGGTTCCGATGTAGACTGCCAGGTAGTGCCACTTCGCGGTGGATATGACGCGGTTGGTCACATGCGGTACTTAGTGATATGAAAAATACCAGTTCACTAAATTTAACGAGATCGATCTACCATTAATACTCTTGACTTTTAGTAACTTATTCGCTGTCTAATCTCAGACTTCCTGGATTTTTTTCAATGTCCCGTTTCGCCTGTTCTTTTGTGCCCCTTTCCAGGTTTAGGTGGATCGCTACAGAATCCATTTTTTTTTTCTCGTGTCATCATGGGTAGTTCATCTCCGCAGATCTTACTGGACTCGTTGATAAGAGAATTTAAAATATGTTAAATGAAGTTTGTAATCATAGATATGAGTTGGGAGCGGAGATGGGGATTTTTTAATGGGGCCGCCATTGGGGAGCATCAGGTGGCAAGTACGTTAGTTATCAGTATTCCCTGCCAGGGGGCAGCACAGAATACGATCGCGCGACTCTCGCCATGTGCAATCTCCCAACTCATCTCTATTTGTGGATACACACGTAATGATACAACTATCGAATCATTGTTTGATTCGGCGTCATATTTAATTATTTATATGCCAGGATACAGGCGGGACAAAAGAAGAATAACAAGGAAAACCGACCATGCCCTGTAACGAAGCATCCGTAACCTCTAATAGAGCGTAAATATAAGACAGAATATTGCCATTTTTTATGATGTCTTTTAACGATTTTCGATCTTTGAACGAAGTTGAGTATTATAAGCTCGCGGGTCACTAACGGATTAATGTAATGTATCTGGGCAAGATTTATCCTTTTATTCGCTCATGTTGTAATGCTGAACCATCGAAGCAATCGTATGTGTAATAATTTTTTGGCGGGGTGATGTTTCAAATACGGTCAATTTATTTTGTATGTTATTTGCATTGGATCCCTTTAATGTAACTGATAAAAAGTCTGGAAAAGGGAAAATTTAGCTTTAGGAGGTATAGAGGTTCTAGTGGTATCAAACGGAGGGGAGAAATAACCAAGCTCTATGTTTTGTTGGTGTGGATCTGTACGTTAAGATTTCGGTTCTTTTCCTTTTTATTAGTACAGTTAATGACAGTTGCATTATAGTTCGGTAACTCGTGAGACGATCGGGCAAGAGCCTCAAAACAGAATAAGAAAATACGTCCGCCGGTTGGCGGATATCGCAGTCGGCATGGCAAGCGATTTCTTTTGCGGTTTGGTGATCGCTCGGAAGACGACTGCGATATTTTTACGGATACTTTTGAACCTCGGGATGAGAGAGGTTAACTTCGCCCTGGGTGCTAGGTGAAAAACCTAAAGGCCTCTCACAATGTTCAATGTGGACCGAGTTCTCTTCGCACTGGGTTGAGGAACTTGCTGCTGAGTCGACGTCCCAGGCTTTCTGGCAATCTGCCGATAACTAAATAAAGAAGTCGCTTTCAAATGGCACTGGCCAGCCTGTCGGTTAATAACCGTCAACTATTTTATTGGTTCAATTCCTTTAGGTTCGCTCCCCACTGGAGCCAGTGCCATCGAAAGTGATTTCTCCTGGGTAGATAGTGATAGTTGATGAATATCCATCAAACCGCAGCAGCTCGAGTGGGATTGTGTGTAACGATATTTACAGCGTGTGACAGCCAAACATACCCAGTGAACACTGTTATATAACTGTTAGGTAAATGTTACGTTTTCGAAACTAACACGTTATGTAGCATAAAAGTAACATGGAAGTTAGATGTTAGTTATTATCTCCTACTCGGTAAGGTAACATGTTATGTAACCCGTTAGCTCCATGTTACACAACTGTTATGTTCGGTGTTCAGTGGGTAGGTACTCTTCCCTTCGTAGTGCCGATTCGAGTATAACTTACTGCGTAGTAGTGTCGTCTCTTTATCTCGTTTAACATATTATAATTATATAAATAGCTAGAAATCGATCCATTTACACGCATTTACGCTTATCTCGCATACTCAGCTTCCTCTCATGTACACGCGGACTCGCGAATGAATCAACGGGGGATCCAAGAGAGCCGATCCAACGAATTGTAAACCTATTAGACAATTTTCACAACGGCCTAACACTCACGATAAAGTGATATCGCTGTCTGCCTATCTATCTATCTATTAATTTAACTATTTACCTATAGATACATTGTTATCGAGCCCGTAAACGAAGGAACGTCTTCGTCGTGTAATCCCTTCTTCGTCGATTCTCGGAAAATTATTTCGAGGTTTCGTCTTATTAATTTAAGGTGAAGAGAACCCCTAGATTTGCTCTCGACGTCGGTAAAAGATATTCTTCTAAATGCCTACGTTGCCGACCAAAGACGATCCGAAATATCAGAGCTGCGCCATTAATTTTCAATGTGTCGGGACAATTCTTAGATGATCAGGAGTCATGTGACGAAGTTTCGGACATTTTGGTCCAATACCCTTAAAAAAAATGTGTATTAGAATCGACTGATTCGAAGGGGGTTTCACTTCACCTTAATGCGATCAACATTGACATGGCTTTTGAGGATGATTAGTCGTCTGGGTTTATACAACTCGCCTCTCCCCTGAATAGCGCTTTAATTTTCCGAATAGAGGAGCTTATCGTAAACCGATTATCGGCCGGGTAAATGAAGCACAATTTCGCCGGATGTCTAAATTATCGACTAATGCGTATACGTTATTATTTTTTTAATATTACTGTGGCCGCTTTCAATACCCCTCGCTCTATTAAATGGACTGAAATGGACTGAAATGGACATTGAAGTGATCCTCCATTACGGATCGGCTTGCGTAAATGAAGGGAAAATCGGTACCAGGAAATTAATGTAGATGGCGCTGCAGTATCTCGAGTATCTCGCTTATTTCATTTATTTAAATGTTCGGAATGCAATTACGTACGGCTGAAATAGCAATTATGTCCATTAGTCCATTCGCGGGGGCGCCGAGGTCCGACTCCATTTTTTTTTATCCCTTTATTGTACGAGGATCCATTTAATGGTTATTGTAAACGTACACTGCTAAAAAAAAAGTGTATGAACTTTTTTTTAACAGTGTACAAGATCCTTTTCGGTGAAATATTAGACTGAGGAATAAGTTTCCGCCGTTTTTGACATAACTTAACGTAATTAAATCGACAGGAACTTATTCCTCAGCCTGATAGATGGTTCATGAGTGTATTGCAATTTTTGCGGAACCTTTTAACAATTTCAAATGAATTTAATTAGGCTGCGGTGAACTGCTAATGATGAACCGAAAATGATGTTGCGAAAGGATGCCTTGAGATTCTGATTTTGACTTCGATAAGGTGGGCCCAAGAAATGCCCAATTGTCTCGACATTATCGACAAGCTGATATGATCGCAGAGTTAGAAACAATCTCTATCCCAACTTGAGTGAATCTCCACCTAGGCGTTATCTTTATCAACTGGCTTGAAATGACCCTTTGATTGTCCATATTATTATTTCCCTACATTCGACTTATATTTGATCGGGACGAACGAAATATCGAATATCTATCCAAGCCGTTCGATAGGCCAACGTAACGCCTTAATCCGCGGTTAAAAGTCTCGTTAACCCCGGAAAATAGGGAGTTTAATCGTGCAGATTGACTAGGGGAGCGAAAAATGCTCCAGATAAAGGATTCCCTGTGGAGGATTTTTCCTGTACTCCTTTAACGCGTCGGAAACGAAGGAGGGAATGATAAACGTCACAGATATCTATTATGTACACGCAGTATGACGTTATCCACCGGAATGTTGCACCATCTTGCGCGAAAGCTCGGTTTATATCAAGCGGTTAAGTTTTAGCGATCCCCACGTAGATTAAACGGAGCCCGACAACACGGTATTCATCTAGTATTGCTCGTTAATTATCTCTTCCATTTCTGCGTGCAAGGAATTATTACCCTCTAGTCGAAAGGCGGGCAGAATTAAAGGTGTCCTTTAATCGGTGAACAATTGCTAAGTACGCAGTTACGCTCAGCGCAGCCTCTGGAATGGAACGCAACAATTGTAACAGCGAATCGCTTCGACAACTTGCACCTGATAATTGAACATATTACCGACACTTGCGCGGGCTAACGTTAACGTATGTTGCAGGTACTTCTGCAGTTCATAGGCCTGATCGTTGAGTATGTCCAGGAAAAGTCCAGGGATAAGATGATAGCAAGGCATGAAAGTGGTTTGCCTATCGGCGAGGGAGCTAAAGAAAATCGGTAAATAAATTAATTTATTAACGGAAGGGAAGTTCCGCAGGTCCTCGAGTGTCTGCATTCTGCAGCTTATCGGCAATGTCTACGTAAACCGGTATATCAAAGGAACCGCCCGTGGAATTCAATCAGGGCGTCGAGCTGCTCACCAGGGTGTCGTCTTGCCTCTTTCGCATGCTCGGCGCGTTTCTTTTACCCGGGGAAATGACAGCGGTTCTTCCCTGTACGTTACTAAGCTCGGTGAATTCCGGATCCGACCCCTGGTCTACGTGACCCGCACCTATACGACACCTTAGGGCCCTAACGAGTCCGTAAAGAAATCCCGGATGCGAGATCGAGTGGCGTTTGTACATTTATAGACGAGGGTCTGGTCTCCGAGGAACGGGCCTCCTCGATTTCGGGGCTGCTGAGCCAGAAAGCACTCGATTACGGTTCTGCCCACCCTTCGCACTGAGATCGACTTTGATTACATTTATTGAGACGCAGCTCGACCTGTGGGGAGAGGACAGAACCATCGGTCACTTTTTGCCATCTGCAAGGTCTTCGATCTTTTATGCACGCTTTTACTGCGTTCTCTGCATTCATGCTTTCATATCACCTTAAATCCGCACATTTGGCCCTATTTAACCGCTCGGTATCTCCGTCCGTGTTTAATGCGGAATAGCCCGAGGAATAGAATCTCTTGTTATGGCGAATGTTGCGCATTTGATTCGGAAAGCAAGCGGGGAATGGGTACAAAAGTCTTAGACATCTCGTCGACGAGCACCGAGAGATTCCACCTCGATGCAACGTTCCTGGACACTTTCCATCTTGAGATTCAACTCCAGGAACGGTTCATCGGGTTCAATCGGACTCCCCGTGAAGGTTCAGCCTTCGCCGAGGTCTCCTGGGGGGTCGCGAAAGGAATTATATCATCCGAGGTCGAGGATGCGAGAACTGAGAGATCCAACGGTTCGGAGCGGCCATTCGGAGCTTTCGGAAGAGCGAGCTGGTGACGCTCACAGGCTGCTCGTTCCGATGGGTCTGTAGCGTGCAATAAAACGTGATTGATATCGTCATTGGCCTACGTAATTCCGAACAAATACCAGTCGATCGGCGTGGGAATGCGGAGCCGATGGAATTACCGGGAGCGAGTAATAAAGGGCTGATTATTCCCCGATGGTAATTCCTTTGGCAATCTCGTCGGTCGGGATGGGAGCGACTGCGTACCCCGCTTCCTCGGTCCCTCGTGCCGACTCGCCCTCTATAAACTGTCCTATCTCTTTCCCTTTTTCCCCGGGACTTCCGGCTAACTCTCCGAGAAACTGACTTCGTCGTGGCTTTCAGCCGGAATTAGGAGTCTGGAGCTTGGCCGACCAGGAGACAGCACGCGAGCAGTGCCACGAACTTGGTACCTGGAACAGAAATCGATTGATAAGCGGAGTCGACGCACCTTTATCGAGCACGTACTATGCCGAATGCTGCACCGAGCGCCGTTAATGCAAGTGGTATAACCATTTACTTATTACCTTATTATCCTTGATATCGGAACAGAATGTGGGGAACTCACGCGCGGTCGAAGGGAAACTTCTTTAGTTTCAAAGGTGTACAGGAATATGGATGATGGACGATAAACTGTCGTTCCGATTGTTTAATTTTAAGTGGAATGTAGGGTAATCATGGTAATTTTATACTCTGTTTCTGGCAATTGTATGCATTTTCATGTCATGTTATGTGTCTTGTCTTCTCATGTGGGGAATCGTTATTCTACTTGGTTAATGGAGATACTGACCACTAAACTACCGAGGAAGTACATGAATGTCTTTCAGCTTATAATGTACTTCAATGGCGGCTTCTATCGTACACCACGTGGAGACAAAACGGTAGTTTTGTCACGTCAGACTATCTCTAGGAGTCACTGCACCACGTCGAGAATCAACTACAAAGTAAGTTTTTTAAGCCTTCATGATGTTGCGATAGATTTAATTGGGCTATCCACTCGGTGTCGGTTTTTATGTCTGGAATTGATCAGCACGCTTCGCAAGAAAATAATCAGTGGTACAAAACTGGACGCTTCCGATTCGATAAACTCCAACTGATACAGTACTGGGAATATAAGCACGCCTTTGTGGTTACTCACAGATGAAAACAAACGTACGTAGTTCGCTCGGAAAAGGCCAGGATGCGTGAATGATCGATCGCATTCATTCGGTATATCTAACGCCAATGGTGGAGGCCGTTTCGTCAACTGTTATTAATTCCTGTTATATGGATGGAAACCAATGATGCAAATTGCAAGATCCAATATATGTTGAATTAAATTAGTAGGGTATGATCATGAGGAAGGAAACTCCTAGCCGGTTGAACTCCTACCTTTGCTTGAATCTATCATTGGCATGCTTAATGTAAGGGAGAAAGAAATGTAGAAACCACCCGGGTGAACGAACGCTATTTATTAACCATCCTTGGAAACCCGCTAAAATTATACAGGCTCGGCTAATGAACGGTGGAGGGAACGGGTTGATAAAGGGGTGAAAGACGTCGATGGAAATTCAGGGTAACGTGACGCGACGCCGAATGTCGATTAAGAATTAATTGCCCGACTGCCTCTCATTCAAGAGAAGACTCGACATACTTATTCGTTTAACAACCTGTTGATCGCATTGCAGTAGCGCGTCGTTTTTCCCCGTTCATCATTCCGCCCGGAATAAATCTTGAGGTGTTTGCACCCCAGGATTTCGCCCTGAGCTTTTCCCCATACATCGTGGGAGATTTTGAATCCTGGAATCCCTTACGCGTTTCCCCGACTAGGGAGGCGCAAGCGGTAAAAGTATGAATTGCCGGGAAATAATTGCGCCAAAGGGCCCCCAGTCCGTTCGTTCCACCGTTGGCCATTTTGACGACGGCAATTTACTCGGTTTTGCATTTATTCCCGGCCGTTTCCACAGTGCGATTTAGTTTCAATAAAATTCCCTCGACCGCCGTACACGCGTTACCGTGCTCGGTTAGTTACGGTTCTGTGTAGCTCGACTTCGAGAGCCATTGAAAGGTCCATTGGATTTCATTTTGAGTTCCCCTTTCACGACGACCATTAAAATAAATGTGCCTTTGTTGCGATCAATCCCCCATTTTTTTTTGTTATTTTCTTTGTATTTCATTCATTTCTTTAACGTCGCATCACGTGCTCTGGTCATTAGCGACGCACCGTTGAGTTAAATAGATTGTGTAAGTGTGTAAATCACGGTGATTAAGTTTTACATTATTTTTCTTGCCATTTGATATTTTTTTTTAATATTTAACTATCGAATCGCGGTGGAATTAGATCCAACCGCTGAGATACTTGATAAGCGAGTGATGCCAAATCCTCTTTTTTGCCGGAACAAAAGGCGCTTTTTGTTTTGCTGCTGATGCATCGTTTCGAGGGAAGGGATTGAACAGAATGCCTGGGAAACGCGAGCCGTATAACTAGACTTTTAAACCCGGCGAACCTGAAAAAGCTAAAACATGTTCCAAATAACGTTCTGCATTCGGTGAATTCGGAACAAACTGATGGTGGTTATATCGATCTCTGCGTTCAACGCGGCATGCTATTAGGGAAGAAATCGAAATAGTGCCGAAGAGCGAGTGAAGTATGGCATGTGTACGCGAGAAAGAGAGGGATAGAGACAGGGAAAGATCTGAACGCGTGTATAGTCGGAAAACGAGCCAGCGGTAAACCTGAATAATTGCGGACATGGCCTGGTAGTGGATTAAAAAAAGGAAAGAAAGGGAAGATCGGCTTGGCGGAGCATGAAGCAGTGTTATCACACGGGACGCAATAATCTTGATGTTCGAATCAACCAATCGAAAATCCTGATTTTAATTCCGCGGAATGGTTATAAAAACGGATAAATCAACTTTTATCTCTGGCCGCGGTTACACTCGGGGAAAAGCATACAGCATTCGCGGAATTTCTTTGAAACTCGGGAGTTTTCACAGCCGAAATGAAAAACTAGACATAAGCCCACGTGGGTTTTGATTCAACTCTTCTATTCACGGAAGCCATTTATTTATTCTCCACGTTCGGCGGAATTATTACACGCGTAGTTGCTTTCCGGAGAAACGCGAAGCACGAAGATATGAATTGCACTCGAGTAAAAAATTGATTTACCTGGATTGGATACGAGTCGCGGTTTTAAATGGTAAATTAAAGACAAATTTGTGCATATAGCAGCGTTGGGTTGGGCACGATTAAAGGGATTGTATCGACGTCGTTGACAAAGTCTATTTCTTTTTACGCTCGATTCGCGAGTTGACGACCGAGGCACCGAAACGATCGTAAAAACTCGTAGATCCTTGACATAAGACAGAATGTACCCGTGGATGGGTACATTTGCAGTATAGTACAAGCTGCGAGTCTCTTCTCAGCAATGAGGTCTTTGGAATCAATTTCCTTCGATTTAGGAGTCGACGACGAGGGGAGTCCTTGAATCGAACTTAAGGCTCATAAGCCTTGCGGGTTTATGTGCGACGAAGGGTGTAAAGAGTACACTATGTACACGTATGTACCCGTACACCTGCACGGAGTCGTGCAGTGCCATTCTCTTCTTTTTCCCATTTCGGCAGACGAGCGATCCCCCCCTCATGAAAGTCACCACACAAAGACGTGGTTTTGAAATTGCCTCTTTCCGAATCTTCGACCCCTTCTACGGATCCAACCCACTGTATCTCTAACCTCAGGTCCTTATCTTATCGGGTTTTATGTCCGTAAGTGGTATCAGAGAAAGGGATAGAACTTGGAATCTAGGATCTTTGGTGTACACGAGTGGTTCCTGCGATCGAATGCGGATAAGCTCTCTGCGGTTACAATAGGCATCTCTTACACTTACCGATTAACATGCGGACCCCATTCACGGGCGCCTTGACTGTGTAATTGTCCTCTTCGTCGAAGAAGACGTAACTAGCGTTGAACCCTGTACCGTCTAGCCTATCGTTGCTCTTGAAAGTCACGCGAAAGAACTTCCGATCGCTCTCGACGTCGAACTCCTTCAGCTGGCCGCAATGTCGCGAGTGCTTCCGGTCTCTGGCCATATAGTTGGAGAATTCCACGTAGTCACTCGCTGAGACTGCTTCGCACCTGAAATTTCGTGATAAGTACTCAACCCGCCATCCAACAGCTTAAATACAACAATTCTTCCTAATGAAAAACACGGCGGACGTAACAGATGAAACCTAAACGTTCATCGGGAGCGTCTGCGATGTCGGACATGTTTTGTGCGATCGCTGTCTCACGCGTAGATGGACTCGAATTTTATGCTCTGCACGAAATGTCGGGGAATCGGAAGAAGTCGCGTGCTCTTGGAGGACTGCCTCGAGGAAATCCCGGCGATTTTTCTACGGAGAGGACGACTATCCCCCGTGTGTCATAAATTACTTTGATAGCCCCCAGAGTGGCAGTTCCATGAGTAATCCAATCTTGGTTATTCCGCGCATAACTCTTACCTCCCCGCTTGTGTGCGTACCCCCGCGATAAGGGTGTACGGCAACTTTCCTCGGCCGGTAATCGGAATGTCAACGGAAGTATGCGTGCCGAGCGGAAGTGACAAATTTGCTTATGAGGGAGCGGGCCAACGCACGTTAATATCCCTTTGTTGAGCCGTCTCTCGTACGACTGCGGGTTCTCCGCAGGGGGGAAGGCACGAGAGACGACTTCTGCATTCGTCTTCCGGTCTTGAATCGATATGCGTAAGATATGCGTACGTAAGGGATAGCACCAAGTTCCATTGCGGTTTTTGCGCAATATAAGGGAGAAACGTCCCGGGTCAATGTTGGTTCCAGTCTATGATATGTATATAGACTGACTCGTTCATATCACCATAATTGCATTACGCGTGACGCCGTAATTCGCCCAGAGGAAGGTCCCGGGGATAGACAAGTGTAGGAGCAAACCGTTCGTCGACTCGTTGACATAAGTGGTCATTCTTATGATCGATCCACTCGTCTCCTCCCTTTAGAAATCCCCTTGCTTGCGGGCTCCCTTTACTCGGGCTTACTCGGGCTTTACGAGTGGCGTTTATTCTCGTCAATGGTGCTCCCGAGTCGCGATTACAGCACGCCGAAATCAATTAACCTGACGAGAGCACTTCTTGGGCAGGTCTAGATGTCTCCTGACTTCGGATCTTCTCGAAGGAGCGGCGCCGTCGTGGAATCGATTAGGAATTTATTCAGAATTGACCCTTGTATTGAGGTATCGGGACCAGTGGAACCTCAGGAGATAATGATGCTGGACGGCCGAATGCCGGGTGTGCGTTTTCATTCTTCTTTCGACTTTCATCATTTCTTCCTCTTTTGGCCAGGCAACTTGGAGTAACCCCAAACTTGGTCCCTTTCCCTCGGTTACTTTCGGAAGTGGCTCCTTGGAGTGAGATGCCCTGAGTAACGAATTGACTTGGTTCTTCGAGATCCACGTAAAGACGCAATCCTATTCTCACATTCTTCCGCCGGAAGTCCTCTCTTCCCTCTTACGATT